CACATGTTCTTTGCCGAGATGCTTTTCATCACTCATCAGCGTCCTCTTTGACGTCCCGTGCCTGTTACAGTTGCAAATGGACAAACTATTATGGCACGATCCATCTGCAGCGTCATGTTGGAATCCATTTATACTGGTTTTTCCTTACACGTTACGAACGTCCTCATCATTGCTGGACTTGGTTTTAATTTTCTTTCGACGACTCAACTCCTGCGACATAAGATCAGGACACAAGGCAATTGTGAAACTATGGACCAGGAACTGTATTACAACGATACCAATACTTACATCGGCAGAGCTGCCACTCAATATGGCGTCTCCGTTCTTCAATTTGAAGCACAAGGAACTTCGGGTTATTCCGAAAGAGTGTTATCTCTTGGACCTTGGCAACATCCTGAAGAAATCAATCATCAAACAATTGAAGTAGACTTCTGTGCAACTGCAGTTCCAACGGCATCCCGTACAGTCGCTGCAAAATTACTATGATACATATTGAAGAACAGCTCTTGATTCCTCGCCAATAAACACAATCGAAGAAGAAACATCAGCGTGGCGGAAATACTATGATACTCTAGCACAACTCAATAACAAACCTGAAGAACCTTAGGGGCCAAGCAGCAGTGGCAGTGAAGCAGAAGCAGCTGAGCAACAGAGTAGCAATGAAGCAGAAACAGGGGTTCTCATCGGTCAACCTGCAACAGAAACAACGGAAACAGAAACCGAAGAAGGAGAGTTCGCTCTAAAACCGGAAGAAATACTCAACTTGGAGGTTAAAACTACCAAGTTACCTCTTACTTGCTTCGTTACTGGGCAACTCGAAGAATCTCCAGCGCTTTTATTCTAACGCCGATTTTTATCTGCGATCAACAGGACACAAAGCAACAGAGGATATATGGCATCAACGGTTAGGTCATCCGTCTTAGGGCATACTTAATCATTCTATAAGGGCATCAATTTTTGACAAGTACAGTTTACTCTTACCTGATGGAACAGAGCTAAAGCTGTCTTCCCGACCGACAGTCTGCACGACGTGCACCACTGCCAATCTTCCTCATGAACCTTTTCCAAGTCATTTTCCAGGATCGACTTGCTACAAACTTATGCAAAAAGTCTACAGCGACATACTCAACTTACCTAAAGCAGGACCTAAGGGGAAGCTCTATATGATCTCCTTTATCGAAGCTTCTACTCGCTACGTTTGGACTGCCAACATTCCATCTCGCCATATGGCTCACTCTATCTTCGTCGCATGGCTCGCGGTCGTTGAGAGAGAGTCGAAGGAAAGCTTCAAGAAATTCAGAGTGACGGCGCAGGGGAGTATATGAACACAACCTTCACTGAGTATCTTCAAACCCTAGGCAGCAAACGCCGACGGTCTCTGCCACATCAACACCAACAGATGGGGGTAGCGGAGCGGATGAACAGAACATTACAGGAGAAGATGAGAGAGTCTTACTGACTCAGGCAGCACTTCCACCCCATTTTTTTTACATACGTTTTGGACCATGCAGTTCTTCTACACAACTTGCTTTCCACAACATCTCTTCCACAATTTTCTTCATCACACCTGCAGTGGACAAAGACAGTCGGCAATACAAAACTTTTAAGAGTTTTGGGGTGTATCGTCCAATACCGACCTCCGACTGCAGCACTTGGAGATTTTTCGGAAGGGCCAAGTGGGGGGATTCATATTGGCATTGAGAAGCCGTTTTACGCATGGAAAATTATGGATCTTTGCACGATTCAAATCGTACCAGCACGTGATTGTCTTTTCTACGAACGACTCACCTTACATGTTTTTCGTGCTCACCAGGCAGCAGCAGCCAACCCTGCCAGGCTGTTTGAAGGCTTGCGTGCTTTCGCTAACGACGAAGCTGAGGCAGATGTACAGGATGTATCGGTTGCCGAGTCTTCCGAAGCAGCCACAGAAATCCCCGCACCAACCACGTTAGCTAGAACTGCTGAATTTATTCCCCTCAGCGAAGCAGAATCTGAAGATGTCAGGGATGTTCTTCTTGATTGCGAACGTGATTGCCAGCAGCAGCCCATGCCCGTTGTTTCCGAACCGGCTATCCGTGTGACACCTGAAGAAATTGGGGGGGAACAGGGGTCAGAACACAACTTCTCCGGTGTCAACTCAAATCGTCCTCGTTTCACAGAAATTGGGTTACATGTATTGGGACTCGCAGTCGCAGTACAGTCGAACAGCAGTAAGATTTAGGAGTCGAAAACAGTTCGCCAAGCTTTGACGAGTCCAAACAGGAAAAAAATGGCGAGAAGCCATGGACCAGGAGTTAGCGGCTCTGGAAAAGCGAGGTACCCGGGATCTCATCCCACTAAAGGAAACAAAGGGGAGTAAGGTATTTACCAGTAAATGGGTTTTTCGTGTGAAGACGAAAACTGATGGTTCCTTAGAAATTTTCAAGGCGCAATGGGTTGTCCGCGGCTTCGAGCAGACCTTTGGACTCGACTACGAGTTAACCTTTGCTCCCGGGTCAGCAGACACACTAGTGTCCGCATCCTACTCTGCGTCGCGACCTGCCGGAACTTCAAACTTCGCCAAATCGACATCGCCAATGCATTTCTATATGCACATGTCGACGCATTAATTTTGGTTGAGTACCCGCATTCTTACGGAACTAACCCTCCCAACGTCTGCCATCTCAGAAAGTATCTCTACGGCATTAAACAGTCTCCACACCTATGGCAGCAGTATCTACACAGTCGGTTACAAACTGTCGGGTTTCGTCAACTCCCGCACGACCAGAGAATGTATTTACTTACCGACAATCTTATATCCTACTCGTCGTTTATGTTGACGACTTACTCTACATCAAAACCACTGATTCCCTTGCTACTTCCTTCGAACAAACACTTCAACAACGCCTACAGATCACCATCACACCTACCGTCACACAGTTTCTTGGCCTTAACATTCACCGCACACCAACTACTATTCATCTTACAGCTTCCGAATACGCAGCTACACTAGCTGCCCATTTTAACCTCACACCTTCAACAGTCACCACACCTTACCGATCTCTACCTACGGACTACAAACCCGATACCACTCCACTTGATAGCACTGAACTACAGCTCTATCAGCAGCAGCTGGGTTGTCTTCTATTCGCAGCCGCTACGTGTCGTCCGGATCTCGCCTATGCCGCTAGCCAGCTCGCGCAATATTTGCGTCGACCTGAGGGGGAGAATCGGCTAGATCTTCTTCACGCTCTATAGTATTTCATTTCGACACTTGAAGTTGGACTTACCTATCAAGTCACCACAACAAAAACTCTATATATCGCGCCGGCTTCATCTATCGTCTCAAACCTATCGGGACAATCTCATGGAATTATACAAAGCAAGAGCTCGTAGCTCTATCATCTGATGAACCCGAGTTCATAGCTGCTTGCACAGCTACTCGCGAAGGTCTCTATCTACAAGAGCTACTGGAGGAAGCCAAATTGACGACAAGTACACTGTTCACCCAACAGTGCGACAACCAAAACGCAATCAGAATTGCGCACCAACATGGTTTCGCTAACAGGACGAAACACATTTCGCTACGATACTTCTTCGTTAAAGATGAAGTCGAGAAAGGGAGAATGTGATTGGTCTACTGCTCGACCAATGAAATGGCTGCAGATTTCCTCACCAAGAAGCTGGCACATCAGACGCTCCAGTACTGCAACGAACTCTGCGGAATTATCAAGAAATAACACTATTGGACTTCCAGAAATGAAGGGGAGTGTTGTGATAAAATCGTACTTAAGCATTTCTGTAAGTAGTTCAGATAGATATTGTCGAGTTATACTGTCCTAGCATCCGTAGAATGACGTCAGCAAATAGCGCTCGTCTAAATGATTACGCCAACAGGTCGTTTTAGTCACGCGAACAGTTGTGCCCCTTTCAGTAGCGGTTAGAGCGCATAGCGCAAGTAGTTTTGAACATGTACATTACCGAACAGGTACTTCTAGCAGATATAAGAGTAGCTTGTATGACTTCAATTATCAACTTGTTCTTGAGTAAATTCTGGTCAACACTTACAAGTTCTAAGACTTCCGCTATCTTACCGTTCCAGCACAGATCCTTGCTCAAGACTTGAAGTATCACAAGGCTGTAACACTGATTTTGGTATTCCAACTTGTTAATACTGGTTGTTATTGGAGGTACTTCCAGTCCAGTATTACTTTCTACTTCAAGAACTTGTGGTTGCAGATTCTTTACTTAGTCTCTGTCACCGTTTTTCAAATTCTTACAGATGCAAGAGAATGCGAAAGGGCCTAACTAGGATGTACTTAGCAGAGGTACATTCCCTTAAGGTTCAAGATCCGACTCGGGTAACCGTACACAACTCGGGTAACCGTACACAACTCGGGTGACTGCACGCGTTGTATTACAGGGTCAGTTATGTGACATTGCTGTCGTGACGGACCCTTGAACTTCTGCCTGTTCGACTGTCGGTCAACGGTCAACGACTGTTGCACTTCGCGGTTCGCGTTATGGACTCGAACTCGACAAGGGTTATGGCTCGAGTGTCACTTTCAGGAATGTAATTCATTCCTTATCGTAACAGAGGGTATGGGAGAGGGCGATAGGGAGTATGGATAAGTGACTAGCAAGGTCCATAACAGTTTATCGTAACAACTAGTTGTATAGCCCCGCGAAGGAAATGCATTTTTGGTTTCCAGAAGGAGACACAAAATAACAATTCATTTTCCAAGAGGAGTATAAAAATTCTCAATTGTATGGGTTAGTTGCAGTTTCAGCAATAGAACCCCAAGGTGGTAGCTATACCCCAAGATGAAGTGTCTACTTCACAAACAACGTGCTAAGATTGGGCTGAAATATTACTGGGATGACTGTATTTGCATCGTCTTCCAACCGAAACCTCTGGCAGTATATTATCGAGGTACTTTTCACGCCACCCTTCGCCTCTGCGACCCAAGGCTTGTCAGGGATGTATGTCACAGGGCAGAACTCAACATCGCACATTCTTGAACCAAGTCCTCCGTCATTCGTGCTGACCATGTAATTCTCAGGGTTCTCGAATCCTGCCTGATCATTCTCTACTTAGTCCCACGAACACAGACGCGCGTTCCCTATTATCAGAGCAAGCCCTTCCATACTTCAAATAGAAGGCTCTGTGAATCTGGAGCTGAGCCTGCCTTCACCCCCCGCTTTGTTAAGTACCTTCTCGAGTTGTCCTCGCAGGCTCAGCCTGTGACCGAGCCAGAGCGAGTAGGCCAGTGGGTCTCGAGGGAGCGCAGGATAAGCTATTCTACCGTCAGGGCGGCGGTGGCTGGTGTTCCTGAATCGGGTCCAGTTGCGAGGCGCACAGCGTAGGTTCAGCTGAGGCTAGGTGGCATGCGATGGGCGTCAGGGAGGTTTAAGGTTGAGGCGGTGCTGTTGACACTAGGTCGCGTCGTCGCTCCGACTTCATTAGGGCCTCGTGCACGCCGAAGCGGAGCAGCAGCGGCGAGCAGGGGAGCAGAGGCACAGGCGTTCAGCCCGTGATAGCAGATCTACTAGCAGATCCGCTCAACACCCTCGTTCTGCTTTCTCCTTCCCCATTGCCCTTGACCGCCCTTCGTCAGGTCGCAAGTTCCCGTCCACGCGTCCCGCACTTCTGCTGGGGTTTCTCGTCCCGACTCGCGGATGTCGCCGACAGGTCTCTTGTGACATTCGCCCTCCGCACTTCCCTTGGGGTTTTTCCACGGTGCCTCGCATGGGGTAGCTCGCTCTGTCGTCCCTTGGCGGGAAACAGGGCCAGACGGGTGCAGCATCAGGGGAGGGGGAAGGGAGGGAGGGGGAGTGCAGGGTGCAGAGCTGGGAATAAGAGCAGCGAACGGTCAACGGCAGCAGAGCCGCCGGGAACGCCGTAACACGTAGACAAGATCGGGTTACCTCCAGGGGGGAATGGATGACCTCGAGCGAGCCATTCTCTTCAGCTTCGACCAATCAGGAGCCGTCGACGTGTCACTCCGCGCACGTGCGCACGCTTTCTGCGCGGAGGCCCGGCGCTCCCCGCAGCTATGGCGCGTCTGCGTGGACCGCCTGATCTCGTCGCGCTACCCCGAGGTGCAGTTCTGGTGCCTGCAGGCGCTCGAGGAGCTGCTGCTGCGCCAGCGCCTGCAGGCGGACGGCCAGGCGCAGCCACAGGGGGGAATATCTCCAAGTGGCGGCCCCGTGGCTGCTGACGGCGCTGGCGCAGGGGCGGATGGCGAGTGTCTTCCGCCCGAGGCGCTGGCGGAGCTGCGGGAAACCCTCATGGCAGTAGCCTTCCGGTGCCCCGTGGTCTCGGGGCTGACGCCAGGGGCGGATGGGCAGGCGGGGGGAGCAGCGGGGGCGGGGGTGCCTCTGTGCGCGGCGTGGGCGGTGTTCATCCGCAATAAGGTGGCGCAGGTGATCGTGCTGCTCATCCGCCTGCACTACCCCGCGCCCTGGCCCTCCGCCTTCGACCCCATCGTCGCCGCGCTCATGGCAGTCGGCGCAGCCGCCAACCCCCAAACCGCCTCTGCCGGCAGTAACACGGTCGCCGCCAGCAGCAGCGGGGAGGGCGCGGGCGCGTGGAGCCTGGTGTGTGTGGACATGGCGTGCCGCGTGCTGGCGGCGCTGGACCAGGAGGTGCTCAGCATCGAGTACGCGCGCACGCCCGAGGAGTCGGCAGCGGCTATGAGAGTCAAGGACGGCATGCGCGAGGGGTGTGTTGCGCCGCTCGTGCACGCCTGGTACTGCGCTGCCGTCGCCCTGCTCACGGCGCTGGGGGCGGGGGGAGAAGGCGGAGGAGGAGGAGGGGTAGGGGCGCAGCAGGGCGGAATGCAGGGGAGTAACGGGGCGGGCGAGAGAGGAGGGGAGGTGGTGTTGAGGGACGGGCGAGGGAGCGCGGTGAGCAGGGACGAGGCAGTGGCGTGTGTGGCGTCGCTGCTGGAGACCCTCCAGCCGTACGTGGCGTGGATGGATATCGGGCTCGTCGCCGACTCCCGGTGGCTGCCGCTCCTCTTCGGCCTCCTGGCGTCGCAAACCAGCGAGGTGCGCCTCAGAGCCGCGGCGTGCGGGTGCATCCTCGCTATAGTGAACAAGCGCATGGACGCGGTGAGCAAGATCTCCCTGCTGCAGCGGGTGCAGATCGGGCAGGTGGCGGGCGTGCGCCTGGTGGAGGAGATAGCCGCGCGCGACGAGGGGCTGACGCTGCGACTAGCGGAGCTGCTGACGGGCGGCGCCACGGAGATCATGGAGTGCATCAAGAAGCTCGAGGCGGGGGGGACTGGCGGGGGGCTAGGCGGACGGGCGGAGTCAGTTGGGCAGGGGTTCGGGATGGAGGAGGGGAAGGGCGCGGGAGGCGGCGAGGGGGGAGGAGGGGAGGCGTCGGAGTCGGTGGCGGTGGCGGCGACGGCAGCGGCGCAGGGCATGCTGGACTCGATTCTCCCTGCTGTGTTCTTCCTGGCGCAGCGGCACCCCGACGAGGACGTGTCCGCCAACTGCTTCCAGTTCCTCCTCTTCTTCGTCGCCGACATGCGCCGCGTCGGCGGCGCCAGCAGCAGAAGCGCCGCTGCCCTGGCCGCCACAGCGGCAGCAGCTGGCGCAGCGGAGGCAGCGGCAGCAGCAGTGAGGGAGCGGCAGGAGCAGCATCTGCGGCAGGTGCTGCTGGTGGTGGGCGAGCGCATGCGGTACCCTGAGAGCAGCTGCGAGGCGCTGGACGCGCCGAGCAAGGAGGGCTGGGAGGAGGAGGAGCGCGTGGCGGAGCAGCGCAAGGACCTCTTCGTGCTGCTGCGCTCCGCTGCCAAGGTCAACCCCGCCGTCGTGCGCTCCTTTGTGCATGAAACCCTGGCGGCAGCGCTGGGGCGCGGGGCGCACGCGACGTTTGCGGAGACGGAGGCGGCGGTGCAGCTGCTGTACCAGCTGGGCGAGGGCGTCACCGAGGAGGCGCTCAAACCCGGCAGCGGCGCGCTCGGCGAAATGACCGCGCTGCTGCTCTCCTCCTCCTCCTCCGCGCCCGCCCAGCAGCAGGGAGCAGGCGGGCAGGCGGCAGGGGCGGGGGGTGGAGGGGTGAGGTTCAGAGGGCACCGGCTGGTGGCGCTGGCGTGGCTGGAGGTGATCGTGCGGTACGTGCGGTTCGTGCAGCAGCACCCCGAGTACATCCCCGCGGCGCTAGAGGCGTTCCTGGGGCCGTACGGGGTGGGGCACGGCAACGCTGCGGTGGCGGGCAGGGCAGCGTACCTGCTGATGCGCGTGGTGAAGGTGCTGCGGCAGCAGCTGCTGCCGCTGCTCGACTCCATCCTCATGGTACGCTTGGGTGCGCGCGTGCGCGCATGGGTGAGGGCGGGTGTTGAGTGGGGAGGAGAGGGGTGGGGAGTGCTTGGTGCTGCTCGTTTCTCTCCAATGCGGGCAAACTTTCGCGTCCCCCTGCCATGGCCAGCTTGCTAACCTCCCTGCCCCCTCCCCAGACCCGTGTGACAATGACAACCGTGCCTGACTTCCTTCCTCCTCTCCTCCCATCCCCCCTCCCTGGTGCCTCCAGGGCCTGCAGCGCATGCTAGAGGCCATCACGTCCGCCACTCCCACGCCGCCACCAGCAGCGGGCAAAGCGGGAGGCGCGCAGGGCAGGGGAGGGGGGCCTTTTGCACGAGGGGAGGGGGCCTTTGACGACCGCATCTACGCATTTGAGGTCAGGGGGGCGGGCGTGTGCATGTGCTAGCTTCCCTTGGCTAACCTCACTTGCCCAGCTCGCACCACTACTTGTCGCCCTGTGAGCAGCACTGCAGCTGCTGAAGCTGCAAGCTTTGTCCACTCGTACATTGCTCTCCCCCCCCCCCTCACACTCTGGCAGGCAGTGGGGCTGCTATTGGCCCAAGAGGAGGTGCCAGCTCAGCAGCAGGCGGCGTGCTTATCAGCGCTGCTCACGCCGCTTATCGCACGGGTGAGCGGGCATGGATCTGTACGGGGTGGGGGCAGTGTGCTGCAGGGATGCTTGGAAGACTCGAGCTGTCGGAGTGGCAGCCGACTATCATTTCTGAATGCGCTGCTCGGGAGTACTGCCTCCCATCGAAAGCCCATCCAAAGCCCATCCAAAGCCCTTCCATTCCAAAGCCCTTCCAAAGCCCTTTCAAAGCCCTTTCAAAGCCCTTTCAAAGCCCTTTCAAATCCCATCCAAAGCCCATCCAATGCCCATCCGAAGCCCATCCGAAGCCCATCGGAAGCCGATCCGAAGCCCATTTAAAGCCGCGGTGCAAGATTGGGGAAAACCCCAAACCCTAAACCCTGAACCCTAAACCCGTGGAGGTAGTTGGGTGTTGGCGAGGTTGGCGAGCGAGTTGGGAGAGAGCGAAGCAAGTGATTGGTTGGGAAACTTGTGTTTTTGCCACTCTGTAAGGAAGTTTGAAATCAGCCGAGGCGTACAGGGCGGAATAGGGGGGAAGCGTGGGGACGGGATGTTGAAAGCACTTGAAATCATTCGGCGCGGAACCGCCTGAGCCCAGGGCGGAATCGAATTGCTCATGGGGGCGATTTCTAAACGAAGACACAGTGGCGGAGGTTTGGGGGGGTTGGGAAACTGACGGGCAGCGGGGGGTGTGGGGAAACGAAATCGGCTGGGGGGCGGGAAATCACCTGAGGGGAACCGAGCTTGCAGGGGAGCAGAACGACACTTGAGGTTTGCACTGCACAAACCCGGTTCAAGTTTTTGCACAGCTTTTGGCGAGCTCTCGCCAAACCAGCACCGCCTCACTGGGTAACCTGGCTTTTCAACTTATAAACAATTGAACCTCACAGGCGATATTTGCACCGCGGCTTTAAAGCCCATCCAGTTCCTCGTGCCCCTCGCCCGACTTTGCCCTCTGCCATCCATTTTTCGCCTTCTTGAAACCTACCTCTACCACCTCGTACCTGCCATTACCACCTCATACCTGCCATTACCACCTCATACCTGCCTTTCCCTTGTGATCCGTGCCGTTACCTGCTGCCCTTTTCTTCCAGGCAGACGCCTTGTCACAGGCGGCACAGGCGGCAGAAGCAGGGGGAGGGGGTGCGGAGGCAGCAGCAGGCATGGTGGCGGCGCTGCAGCAAGTGATCATGGCCATGAGCTACCTCTCCAAGGTGCCGTGCCACTGCCACTGGCCCCCTCGTGCACACCACTCTGTGCAGTGCTCTACGACTGCACCATGGCGTTTCCCTACGCCGTCCTCTGCCTGACCTGCTCTTGCTGTCTCTCCGTGTCTTTCTCCGCCGCCAGGGCTTCGCATCGCACATGGTGACCACGGCGCGTCCGGAGTTGGCGCACCACTTCAAGCGCGCTGTGGAGTGTGTGCTGCGCGTGCTGCACGCCTTGCCACGCAGCCGACCCACTCGCACCAAGGTACACCCACTCGCACCAAGGTACACCCACTCGCACCAAGGTACACCCACTCGCACCAAGGTACACGCACTCGCCGTTGGAGGGGCATTGCCAGGAAATGTCCCCCTTCGTGCTTCTCGTTTTGAGGCGCCTCAAAAATAGACTCCCTTCGTGCTTCTCGTTTGACCACCTCAAAGCAGCTCCATGTGCTCTCTGTTGCCATTCCTCCATGGCAGGCTATTCGTCCTCCACTCCCTCACACCACGCTATCGCTCTCCCCTCTTTCCTCTGCTGTCTGCTATTTTCCACTCTCTCTGTCATCCCCTGTCTTTCCGCCTTCGTTCTTTCGCCCCCCTCGCCCTCCCCCAGGTGATATCCTTCCTGCACCGCATGGCGGACTGCCTGGGGCCGCACGTCATCCCCTTCCTGCCACAAGCCCTGCCGCTCCTCCTCGCGCACTGTGAGGTACGCGCACGCCTGTGGCACGCACTCACTGCTGCTTGTAACCGCATGTCATCTGCACGTGTCAGCTTTTCCCTGTGTCTCCACCTTCTTCCCCTGCTCCCCAAGTGCTCGATTTTGCACTTTCAGTGTGTCTGTCCCATCCCCATCCACATCGGCACATCTTCCCCAATGTCCCATGCTGTCTTCCCCAATGTCCCATGCTGTCTTCCCCAATGTCCCATGCTGTCTTCCCCAATGTCCCATGCTGTCTTCCCCTTCTCCCCCCCCCCACCTTTCAGCCGCGGGACATGGTGGAGTGCTTGCAGCTGCTGTCTCTGCTCACCGCCAAGCACCGCTCGCACATGGCGCCCATTGTCGACGCCCTGCTAGCCCCCCTCTTCACCCGCCTCGCCCTTCTCCTGCCCTCCTCCCTGCCGTCACTCATGGGCCCTCCCTCCACAGCCTCTGATGCCTCTGGCACCCCGGAGGTATGTGTGTGCACGGCTGGGCATGGGAGACTCATGCTTCGCCCAAGGAAGTAGACGAGCACCCACGTGGGCTTGGTTGCGATTTATTATTTTGAGGGGATACTGTTGAACAGACACGCTCAACAGTGTATGTTCTTGAATCCACACAATTGCCTACCAGTGACCTCACCCTCCCCAAACAAGTACCACATCCCTGGCGCGCATCCATGCACAATGCCCCCTGCAGGAGGTGAGGGAGCAGAGGGAGGTGCTGCGGGCGGTGATCATGCTGCTGCACGGCATCACCATGGCGGACCTGCACGCCGCCTTCCTCTCGCCCGCCAACGCCTCGGCAGTGCTGCCGCGCGTCATCTCGCTGCTGCTGGACGCCGCGTCCCTCCATGCCGACATCGCCCTGCGCAAGGTCGCTGTCGCCTGCTTCATCCGCTTCGCCTCCGACTGGTGCTCCGTGGAACCCGAGAAGGTATGCCCACTAGACCAACAAATGCACACACCCGCAGGCGCTGGGCGGCGGGGTTGGTTCACAGTGCTGGGGTAGCGGTTGTGTGGTGGACATGCATGAACAAATGGGCACACATTGCTCATGCCCCTCTTCTGATTCTCCCCTTTCCTCTTCCCACCCCCCCACCCCGCATGAATCCCCCCAGGCGCCGGGCTTCCGCGCCTTCCTGGTCGACCAGTTTGTGGCCACGGCGTGCCTGGTGCCGTGCGTGCAGCCATCCTTCTCCCTGCAGGACGCCAACTCCGTGAGACCCCACATCACACTCTCTGCTCCTCCTTCCTCCTGGGCTTCTCCTCTGTATTCTCCCCACCCTCATGCGACCTGCTTATTCCCACTGCCCCCCTTATGAGCAGAGACAAATGCAAGCTTTGCTGCTCGGGCTCCCTGTTCTCCTTCACCCCCCCCCCCTCCCCAGGCTCTCCTGGTGAACGACATCTCTCTCGCCCTGCTGGCTCTGCACCACACGTGCGGCCAGCTGCTCCTAGACCGCCTCCTCTCCTCCCTGCTGCCGTCCCTCAACTGCCCGCCCGCTGTAGCCGCCAACTTCTGTACCCAGCTGCAGGCAAGTAGTGAATATGTTGGCATCGCTGCCTTCATACACAGGTTCACCTTGACATTCTTCATAGAGTCGTTGTGATCTGATGTTTCCCAGTGTTGCCATTCGTTGTGCCCATGCGTGCAGAGAGGAGATGCAAAGATTGCCCGCGATGCCTTTAGAGAGTTATTAATTCAGCTGCGTGCACAACATGCACCCACACAAGGCAACATAGCAATGGCTCCACGAGGTTTTGGTTAGTGTTGATTGGCTTGTGGAATTTTGTTTTGGTGCATTTCTTGGTTAATTGATAAAGGCCTCTCCCGTTCAATTTGTCAACCTGTACTAGCACCCCGCCTCTGGCTTCCCGTCTGTGTCAGTATTGTCACCGATGTTGAGTCGAGCCAATGCGGTGATGCGATTGCCTTCGTTGGTGAAATGATAAAATCCAACAGCCTGGGCGAGGGCCCAGGTGTTGCTATCTGGCATCAGGCTGGCATGAGTGAGTGAGGTGATGCGGAATTGACGTCATCATACTGGACATCACCTCGTCCAACCGCACAGAAAAATGGAAAATGCTCTCCTCACCACACTGGGGGGCAGTAAGGGCGTGCCAACGTACGTCCGAATGCGGTTGCGTGAGGTGAATTACGTTTCGGGAGGATCATGAGTAAACGAATGCTTGCCCATAAAAAAACGAAGCATGAGTAGATCCGATGGGACTACCAGCGCAACTGAACCAAATCAGCTCCAGAACAAGATCGCTATTTGTTAGGCTGGCCATTTCTAACTCCCAACAGATGCCGCCGCCATTGCCGCATTTCTCTTTTGCTGTTTCTGAGCTGGGCTGGCTGCCGTCCGTGCTGTTTGTGGCGAACATTCCGACTTCAGCCTGCCGTTGCTGGGCCTAATCGACTGTGACACTCTCGTGGGCACGGGTGCGCGATTATTTTTTACATGGGGTGCAAGAGTTTCAAAGTTACACATGCTCGAACTCGGTCAACCCTCGCCGAGAAGTGAGGCTCAAAACCCGGATCTGGTTTTGTTAGGAGCGACAGGGGAAGCAAAGATCTGGGAACACTTTGAGACGATCTAGTAGGACCCCTTGGGTGGCTTGAGACCAACGGCTTGAATCCTGGCGCAATGGTTGGGTCGGCGTTGGTTGGGCATTTCATGTTCTCCAACTCCCTAGCTGCAAAAATTGTGTACATTACAGTACTGCATTTGCCTCGCCGCATTTGTCATTGGCATTCCCCACTGTCACAGCTACGTTAGCCTTTCTGACATGCAAAGAGCTGTAGCCCCTTGGGAACGACGACGAGCCAATGCAGCAATGAGCTCATTCATGGCGTAAACACGTCGTCCCCTGTTCCGCCATTCGCACACCGATGAAAGCCGCACATGCTTATCTTTCGCCGAAACTCATCACAGCACTTCCGCATCGCTCGTGTCTAGGTCCGTGTCTTTTGGAGCGCTCCACCGTCAGAGAAGCACCTTCGCTCACCTTTACGCCAGCGTCGACCTCGCGTGCCACTGGAGGTTATCTCATTTCCACGCATCCGATATATTCTTCATTTGCACCACGATGGCGGGGTTGGAGAGCAGCGATCGGGAGCTTGCGTACTTGACCTATCTACTGGGGAACGAGCTGCTTGAACTGGACATCCCCGCCACACCCACCACTCAGCCTGACCATCAGAGGCCACTGCGATCTGCCGAGGGAAGGGGCAGAGCTTCGTCTGCAGAGCCGTTGCCGGTGCCCATGGCTCCCACCACCGTCAGCCTCGAAGAAATGACGATCTTCACGCAAGCTAGCGAGGCACAAGTGCGAATCTGCCCACAGTCGAGGAGCGCAGTGCGAGGAACTGGCTCGTTTCACGGGAGAAGCTTCTCTGAGCCTGCTAACAACGTGGACGTCTCCCCACCGGGATCTCTCGTGGCCTTTGGTTCAATGGCTGGACCTGCCACTCTGTTGTCAAGGCGGCCCTCATTGAAGCCTGCGTTTCTGGCTGTTGGCGCAGCAGCTCCCATGCCCTACCCTGCTGCGTTGCTTACAACACCTGGCACTGCAGCATTGGCAGCCTGTGACTTGGGGGCCAGTCAGCAGGGTGGAAGGTTGAGTCAATATCAACCTATTCCACCTGAAGCACCTGAAACGCGGAGAAACAAAGTCTTGTCATCCCATGCCTCTCCAGGTTCCCCAGGCCCCAGCACCTTGGACCCGATGAGGTCCCCACCCCAGAGCAATTGCAATCACTTGAGAACTGGAGGGTTTGGCATCACAAAGAAGAGTGCGACTGAGAAACACAGAAGGGCTCGTGTCAGGTATGCTTTCCCTGTTTTGATTGTTCCAAGCGAAGCACCATACCTGCCACATGCAGACAGTCTGACATAAGAGTTTTTCGTTATTGTGGCCTCGTGGCAGTCAGGGGTTTGCTAACCTGCGCGAGGTCATACCACGGGAATTCCTTAGCAACCACATTCAGAAGACACGGGGATTCACCCAAAAGGCTGACTTGTGCACACTGCTGAATGCAGCATCGGACTACATTGACTACATGAAGGTGGGTAGATTTGGGCCAGTGGTTAGTCTAATAGATATTGTGTTGCTTTCTAACGATGCCCGTGAATGGTTTTCTGCAGGGATACAAGAGTAATTTGGAGGCGCAGGTTGTACAACGTAGTTCTTTTGGGATGCAACCAAATAAATAGGATGCAACTAAACCTCTAACTAGGAATCTAGCTTGTCCAATCGAGTTTATTATGTTCACATAAGGTATTAATTTTTGTTTGTGAGGGGACACATGGTTATCAGATTTTCTGGGGCAATATCGAGGGCTGGCCAGTACCCCTTTTGAGCGGCGTGGCGCAACTGCTCCGGAACGCCACCTGACTCAACTCCGAGACGCCACCAATGAGATTGCACCTCGGGGAGTCGGGGCTGGACTGCACTGCTGTCACCAGAACAGCACCGTTCCTGTCGCCAAACCGTCCTACATGGCCTCTGCAACTAGAATTCCCGAAACGCACCAAACCAGTGTGACGCCGAGTTACATCCATTCAAGCGAAAGTGGTAACCTAACGTTCTGCGACATTGTCCTGTCGTCTAGTCTAGTCCTCCTGGGAAACTGAAGCCAAGCCTGCTGTCAGGCACAAGCATTCTTTCTGACAGTAGATTACCTGTCAGAACGATTACCAACTAACAACACGTTTAGCAGCACGGCAACTTTAGTAGCAACAGTAGCACGAAGACACGTGTTGTAAGTTGATAGGCCCTAAGTTTTGTTCCTGTAACGGTGTTTGTCCGTACTTTTAGGGTTCTGAATAGCTTGGGTGCGGCGTGGTAGCATACTAGCGAACTCTCTTCGCTCGAGGATTCAGGGTCCACTGGATTCTCCGTTTGGAGGACGACCCATTCTACTTCTACTTAGCTGTAGGAGTACACATGCGTCCAGTAACTTGATTCTTGACCTAGTAGGATTAGTTGAGTGGCTGTGGCGACCAGGGTAACAAGTAGGTAAAACAAGTGGTGCAATCAGAGGCATCCAGAACTGAGCGTCGTCAATAGCGGCAAAACCTGAAAAGGCAGTAGCCATGTGGATGTTCTACGCCATCGCGTTGCCGGTCACACTGGGCATGGTGATATGGACGCTCATATACTACGCGTCGCCGCGCGTGCTGCAGCACGTGCGAATCATCGTGGCGTACACGTGGTTCGTCAACGTCTCCATCGTCATCCTCGTCCCGGTCGACGTCTGGACGGTGCGTGCTTCACCTTGTTAGGATGCTGCGTCACTCCGCTTGTCAAGAAGACGGACGGCGTGCTCGTTGCCAGGAGTAGGGTAGTGGGTGTTTGACGATAGCCAATCTGTAGTGGTGAGAGGTAGCAGTGATAGCTGATTCTCACTAAGACAAGAGCAGCAGTACTGCAGGTTGGACAAGATAGTCAGTCTGTGGATGAGTTGGCCACGGTGCAAATACGCGATTTCCCCACTATAGTATCATCGATCCCATCCTTCAAGCGCGCATGAGCGAGCAGCATCGACTTGAGGCAGATAGCCCTCTGGTTCTCGCTGTCCCCTGCATCTGTCTCTGTGCATCGTGAGCGGCAGAAGCATCAGATGCTACGCTGCGTGGATTGTATGCGCGGATGCACGGGTTTCATGGACGGCTGTGTGCGATGGATGTTTGTGTCGTGGATGCATGGGTGTCATGGATGTGTGCGTGCCATGAACGCATGCGTTACATGGATGCATGAGTTTCCTGGATGCATGCCTGACATGCATGGATTTGCTTGGTGCATGTGTGGTGCGATGCTGGTACGGCTGGCACGTGCAGGCGATATGTGTGGAGAGCGAGGCGGGGCCCACGGGGATGGTCTCGGGGCCGTCAGCGGCGGTGTGCGGGTCCAAGCTGTCCGTGCAGTTCCTCTGGAGCTTCTCCTACTGGAGCGCCTACTTCCTCACTTGGTCAGACTGCCTGCCTTGCCACATCATGACACTGCCCACCTACTCCCACGGATGATGCAATTGCCTCTGTCTATCCCTTACTATGGTTACCAATCGCACCATTCTTCTTTGGCTCTCCTCCTCCCCCCCCCCACTTGCCTGCCGGGCTGCTCATCCCCCCATCATGCACGGCTGCCAGGGCGGGTTTAGTCCTGGATCGCATTCGTGAGTATTCTAAAAGTCCTTTTCTAATTCTGATTTCCATGCACCGGCCCCCAGGGTGATCATCCCGATCATGCAGGGGTACGAGGACGCGGGCGACTTCACGGCACGGGAGCGGCTGCGCACGAGCGTGCGGACGAACCTGATGCTGATCGGCATCGTGGGCGCTGTGGCCGTGGTGGGCATCATCATCCTGCTCGCCACCAAGGAGATGGCTTGGTGCGCGCACACACAGGGCCGAGAGAGAGAGAGCGAGAGAGGGGTGTTGGGCAGGGGGGATGAGACAGGGGGGGGCTGGGATAGTGGGAGGAGAGATTGGCAGCAGCGAGAGGGCGTGGGAGCCATGAGAGAGAATGGAAAGATGTGAAGAGGAGGGGAAGTTGTTTGGTTGGGGGAGGCGGCTGCACCGTGAGGCAAGGGGAGGCGTGTCTCCTCCTCAATCACCTTCTCACCTCTCCACCATTCCCCCTCTATGCAACCCTTCCCTTGCTCCACTCCTCCCCAACCCAGGGACAACATAGTGTCACTGGCCATAGGGGCGTCAAACGCGTTTGCGCTGATAACGGGCGCGCTGCTGCTGGGGTACGGGCTGGTGGAGATCCCAAGGGGCCTCTGGTGCCACGCCGACCTGGCGGAGCGGCACAAGTGGCTGTCGGTGCGCGTGGCGCGGGTGGCTGAGCGGCTGGACCAGGCGCACCAGGAGCTCAGCACCGCCATCGTGGTCAGAGCACCATCCCCACCCGTGTCCTCGCCTTGTAGCACTCGCTAATCATCCTCACCTCCCAGGGCACTTGGCTTCCTCATCATTCCGTCCTCCTGGACCGTTCTTCCCTTCCCCTCCCCCCCCCTGTGTGCCGGTCAGATTGCTCAAGCCACGTCGCTGCAGATGCCCCGCCACGATCCCCTGCGCCCCATGATGGAGATCATCGACGCCATGGTGAGATCACATGGCCTGTGATGGACGTACCACATGCCATGGTGAGATGAAACGACCTGTGATGGATGTACTGGAGGCCATGGAGAGATGACACGACCTGTGATGGATGTACTAGATGCCATGGTGAGATGAGTGTAACGTAGCGAGATGAAACAGTGCCATGATCCATAGATGGCAGACATGAGTGGCAGTGGTTAGGCATTCTATTGGCAGGCTGATGGTGGGTTGCGTGAGCTATGCGCCATAAAGCTACTACCAGCGTTGTCTCCTTCCTTATCCCTTCCACGTCTTCCCTTTCCCTCTCTTCACGCCCTTCACGGCCTTGGCACCTTCCCGCTACTCCACCATGCAGGCATGTGAGGACGCGAGTTTCAAGGCGTCTGGGGGCCAGATGGGCGAGAACGACATGGACTACGACGCCGACATCAAGAGCATGGCCGCCCTCCGCAGGCGCCTGCGCAACGCGCAGGACAACTACTCGCGCTGCAAAACGTGAGGAAGGGGGGGGGGGGGGGGTAGGTGGGTTGTTGGGGAGGGTAGGCGAGGGGTGGAGTGTGCCATGGAAGGATGTATACACGGGAGTGAGGTTGTTCTTAGTGCATGCTGACCGCTATCTGGCATGCGTAAACAGCTGAAGTGATTCCACTTGTGAGGCTCTTGCCCAACGTGTGCGTTCTGCATGGTTCTGTGCGTGTCTCCTTGCCCCCCTTGCATGCGTGCACGCGGCCCTGGCAGCGAGTACTGCACGGTGGTGTGGCAGGCGCTGCAGCTGGAGGAGACGCTGCACAACTGCTACCAGGGCACCAGGCGATACACATCCTACCTCCGCGAACCCAGAAAGGGCTTCTTTGCTCCCTTCCTCGACGTTGCGGGTGAGATGCCAAGCCTGCCTCATTGTCTTTCCACCCAAGCTTCATCTTTAGGCGCTTCTCCTGTGCCCAACCCCTCCCCTGCGACCGAACCAAGCCTTCCCTTACAGGAGTCTTGGCAGAGTGGTGGTGGCGCTGCATCATCCGCACCTATCTTCCAAGACAACATCACCTCCCTGCAACCCTCCTCCCGTCCCCCTACCCCTCAGAGTGGTGGTGGCGTTGCGCCATCCGCAGCCACGTGGTGCGTGCCTTCGCCCTCCTCCTGGGGCTCATCTCGCTGGCCATCCTCTTCGCCGAGGCCACGCTGCTGTCGCAGAAGTGGGTGGACCTGTCGCTCTTCTCCGTGCTCGTGCGCGGCGCCGCGCTGCATGGCGAGGCGGTGCAGCTCATTGTGTTCGTGCCGCTGGTGTACCTGTGTGTGTGCACGTACTTCTCACTCTTCAAGCTCGGCATGTTCTCCTTCTACTACCTCGTGCCGGGCCACACCGACTCCGTCTCGCTCCTTCTCAACTGCTCGTAAGGCTGCGCTCAACCAACCCCTTGCTGCATTTGACTTTTCATCGTCGCAGCTTTCGAGCTTATTCGATTTAGGCCCAGTGAAGATACCTCCGATGCTCTTCTTGTTGGATAGACCTGTGCTGTGATGGCCCATTTACTTCTGCAAATGACCCATGCATCTCACTCTCCCTTGCTGTGACTGGTGCAGCATGGTGTCGCGGTACGCTGCGCCCATGTGCTACAACTTCCTCAGCCTCATCCATCTGCGCCATTACAACTATGTCTCCGGCTCCGTCGAGCCCCTCGTCACTGTCTTCGAAAAGGTACGGCCCTTATTGTGTGCGTGGTGCGCTGATGCATCTCATCTCTGTGGCTGTGCTTCCCTGGTCATTTCACAGCGTTCACCCTTCCTCCGTTCGTGCTGGCTGTTCATTGGGTGTGATTGATTGCGCCCCATCCTCCTCATCACGCACACCCCATCCACCGCTCACACCCCTTGCCCCCCACACCCCGCCAGCGCATGGGCGTGCTGCCAGAGTCATTCGACCGCATCTACCCGCTGTGCATGGTGGCGTGGTCGCTGCTCATCGCACTCAACGTGCACCACCGCCTCTTCGACTCCGTCTCCCACCTCCTCTCACACTGTCGCGGCCTCTACAGCCGCACCTGGCGCCGCCTGCGCTTCGACGAGGACGGCGAGGGGGAGGAGGTGGGCGTGGACGGGCGGAGGGTGGTGGTCAAGGGCCACATGATACTGCAGAGAGGTGCGTGGGAGGGGGCTGAGGGGACAAAAGTGGTGGGAATAGCAGTGGGTCTGAAAGCCAGGTGTGAGGTAGCTGCATTTTCGGTGTCTTGGTGGTCACTCTTCCAGGTTGGGCGTTGCACCTGGACTGCCCTGCCATCTGCGTTCATCATCCCGCCACTGCCCTCTTCCTTCTCTTCGACGTGCAGTGCCTGTAGCACGCCGCTTCCACATCTCGTCCTCCCTTCCCGTCACTTCCCTCCATCGCCCATCCCCCCAGAGCGCGCCACCATAGAGCGAGGGCAGCCTCTGGGGGAGAGTGTGGTGCCGCTGGCTCGCCACTTCTCGTCAAAGGACCTCCATGCCTCCTCCTCCGCCTCCTCCCTGCTCTCAGGCCACTACTCCACCCCCACTGTACGTACTCGCTCTCATTCCCCTTACCCTTCTCCTTTCCTCTCGTTTCCTCCTCCCCACACCTCTCTATCCCCCTTCTTTCCCCCCTTTCCTTTGTCCCCTCACTCATTCTGCCTCAGCAATTCCTCTCCCACTCCTCTCCTGCTTTCTTCTCCTTGTTCCTGCTTTCTTCTCCTTGTTCCTGTTTTCTTCTCCTTGTTCCTGTTTTCTTCTCCTTGTTCCTGCTTTCTTCTCCTTGTTCCTGTTTTCTTCTCCTTGTTCCTGTTTTCTTCTCCTTGTTCCTGCTTTCTTCTCCTTGTTCCTGTTTTCATCGGCATTCTTCTCTCCTTTCCCCTCAGAAAATCCCCACCTCCCCACGTCCCGTCCCCCGCAGAAGGTACCTCACACGGACCCCAGCTCGTCGTCCTCCGCGGACCCGCTGCTGGACTCGCGGATAACGGCCGTCAGACCACCGGGGGGCAACCCCGTCCCTGCCAGTGGCAGCGGCAAGGACTTGGAGTCAGCGTCGTTGCTGAGGACGGGGGTCAGCAGCAGCGGCTCTGTGAAATACACCAGCATGCTCTCCCACAAGGACCACAACAACCTCACTGCTGCTGCTGGCAGTGCCAGGAAGCCCCAGCGGCCTCCTGCAGGGGGCGCTTCAGGCGCTTCATCAGGTGCTGCCTCCCCTGCAGCAACAGCAGCAGCAGCAGCAGCAGGTGTGGTAGCGAGGTTGGGGCTAGAGGGCAGCATCAAGTCGAGCTCAGCAGGCGACCTGCTCCCTCTGGGTCGGGAGAAGTCAAGGCAGGCCTCTGTGCCAGGCAGTCCCCTCCTGCTCTCCCAAGCCGCCTCCCCCCATGTCACTGCCAGGCTACCACCCATCAGCACCTCCGCTCACTCCACCCCATACCACCTGTCTGCTGCTGCTGCTGCTCCTGCCGGTAGCACCACACCGACCCGACCCTTCTCGCCTCCCTCTCTCCTCTCTTCTGCGTTGGGCCTGGGCTCTGCAGCAATGGTGTCAACCCCACAGCGGTACCTCTGGGGCGGGCAGGCAGCAGCAGCAGGAGAGCAGCAAGATGCCAGTACCCTGCCAGGTAGTAGCCATGCAGGGGGCTTATCACCCACAGAGTCCCCGCTTATCTCGTCGAGCCAGAGCGGGGCAGCAGGTATAGGTTCAGGGGGGATCACCCCCAGCAGCGGCAGCAGCAGCCACAGGTCTCAAACACTGATGGAGTCCCGCTGGTCTCAGGCTGTTACATCCCGGTTGCGAGACGCCTCGTCCAGCAGTACAATGGGCAGGCTGAGGGAACTGCTAGGGAGTCCACGGCAGCACAACAAGGATGAGACGGGTGCGGATGCAACCGAAAGGAGTGGCTTGGAAGGTGGTGGTTTGACACGAGAGGCTGCTCCGGACCTGGACAGGATATTTGAGAGCTTGCACTCACGGCGAGCAGCACCACTTGCAGATGATGATGAGGATGACCTGCAGTATCAACGTGGATTGCAACGATCAGGAAGGGATCAGGAAAGTAGATGACAGTGAGTGACAATGGTGTGTTCCAGTGCAAGAGAAGCAAACAATTACGAAGTGGACAGGAAACCACTTGCACATTCTTTGATTATATACATAGAGCACGTACCATCTGTCTTCTCATTATTATGGATCAGAGATTCACGTAATGTCCTGTATCTTCTAGGGCTCACCTGCTCTCTACAGTCACCCAAGTTTTCGTGGTTGTCCCTTCGAGCCTTACCCCGACAATGCCGATTGCCTTTCCTCCAATCAGAGGGTGTGATCGCCCTTTGTGGCATGGAATTGGCCGCTGCAGTTCGCGAATGGCAGCCCATCACGCGCCACGCAATAAGCGATTGGCCAATGGAGGCTTGTCCGCCCCACATGCTTTGGTGACCGTGCGAATAGGACCTGGGGTTGGGCAGAGCATTGCCCGAACATTGCTGCGCTTGGCGATCGGTTGCTGTGCTGTCAGCCGCATCTGCTTGCACCCATTCTCCTCCAGCGAAGAGTTCCCTCTCGTGCAGCTTGGCTCCTGCTGCTGCTCCGCCATTCATGGAGGGACTCGCCAGAGCAATGCTGCCACCAAGGCGCTTGCTTACACCAGAGTACCATCGCGTTTGTCAGAGTGCTTATTCAAGGCCTATCTACGTTTGCCACCTTGATGTGCGAAGATTGAAGCCGTGGGATGTCACCGCGAAGAAGACTAGCTAACTACTCAAGTCGGGTCACTGCGTAGCTTAGATGGCGTCATCTTCAACACCGATCTTCCCGGTCCAGCCGATGCCCTCGTTCGAATCGTTTCAAGGTAGAAGGTTTTTTATTTCTATGAAGTGCGTCTAATCTTCATCACCATCTGGGTCTTATTTCGAGCTATTTCCTGCTGGCAGGCTTCGAAGAAGCTACGTTGAGGGTCAATCCTCCCAGGTCAGCCATCCCCGCTAGCGTTAAAAAATGCTGAGAGATAAGTTATATGTGGGGTTGCTGACAGCGTCGTTTTGTTTTCAGCGTTGTTTTCGACAATCACTCTGATCCAGTCTCAACTCTTGTTAAAGTGGATAGCGCAAACAAGCAAGGCTGCCTGCTTCAGGTCGTGCAGCTTCTAACCGACCTTGATTTTATCATTTCCAAAGCTTACATTTCTTCAGATGGTGGATGGTTCGTTGACGGTACGTTACTTGCACACCCCAGTTTGTAGAGCTCTTGCAGCTTCTCCCTACTGCCGTCTGATTGTCCTTGGGTTTCTCTTATGCAGTCTTTCATGTGGTGGACCAGCTGGGGCAAAAGGTGATCGACGAAAGCGTGATTGGATTTATTAAGAAGGTGAGCCGAGAAACAGCCATTTTTTCGTGAGCGTCTGCGCACTTGCTGACTGTTCTTCTTCCACTGCTGCAGGCGCTGGGTGCTACCAAAGAACATCCCGTTCCTGATGCAAAGACCTGCCTAGGAAAGCCTGTCGCTGACGCAATAGACTTCGAGCATTCCGTCATAGAGCTCACAGGGTATGACCGCCCTGGGCTTCTCTACGAGGTGTCGGAAGTGTTGACTAAACTGGGATGCAATGTGGTGGGAGCAGAAGTCTGGACGCACAATAACCGTGTGGCTATTGTCGTTCACATTACGCAAGCGGTCAAAGGTGGACCTGTCAGCGACCCTGCTGTTCTGGCCGAAATGAATGACAGACTTTGTTCTGTGATGGAATCAGACAGCACCAGAATCGAGGCTCGCCACAGTTATTTTGTTGGGGAGGCCCAAACAGACCGGAGGCTGCATCAGCTGATGTTTGCAGACAGGGACTATGAAGCTGCTGGGATGAATATCTTCCCCACAGGTGCCGGGGACGAGAAACTTAATCCAAGTGTTTCTGTGGGAAATCTTACTGGGTCGCAGTACACCATAATTAAGTTGACCTGCCTGGACCGACCGAAGCTTCTGTTTGACACGGTCTGCACATTGACGGACATGCAGTACATCATTCACCATGCCACGATCGAGTCAGAAGACGATGTGGCGTTTCAGGTCAGTAAACATTTTTACCTCCATGATTTCTGGGTTGCACAGAGACATTTCCTTGCTAATGATGGCCATTCGGACCTCTTACTTCGGTTGTGTGTGTCAACTGCAGGAACTTTACATCAGAACCATGGACGGCTCCATGCTGGACACTGAGGCTGAGAGGGAGCGGGTTGTTAAATGCCTTGAAGCAGCTATTCTGCGTCGCAGCCCAAAAGTAAGTCACGCTTTGTTCACTTTGCTGCTGGGTTCGAGGCCAGCAACGATTTGTACCTTTCTCATCTGTGGTTTAGTCACATCGCAATAATTTCTGTTGTGGCAGGGTATATGCCTGGATCTCTGCACTGGTGATAGGGTTGGTTTGCTGTGTGATGTCACACGGGTTCTCCAGACGCACAACCTATCCATCACGGCGGCTAACATATGCACGCGTTGGGGGAAAGCGGTCAACGAGTTCTACGTCACTGATTCGGCCAATCGCCCTGTTGATTTCAGCATCATTGAGGCCATTCGTGAGGAGATTGGCCCTGAGATGCTGACCATTCGTAATGTGGCACCTCCCATTTTCAGCTCGTCATCGCCGCCTCAGGAGGAGTCCTCTTTTTCTTTCACCAGATTGTTTCGCTCTCTTTCTCTAGGGCTGTCTAGGGAAAATCAGAGCAAGCGAGCTCCACTATCATCTAGCCTCACATAAAGGTGGTTGTGTGGATATGTTTCCGAAAGGCCAACAGCCGTTGGCCCATGACCGGAAATCGATGTATATAATGTTCTAACAAAGGCATATAAAAAGGTGGCTTCCCCTTGTCAGTTCACATCTTTACATATCCATGTCATAACCTTCAGCTTAGGATTTTGATAGGACTACGAATGCAAGTAGTGGTTGTTTGGTACATTAGAACCCCACGAAATCCTGTATCGAAACCAATTCACATACCTACAGCAAGCAATGGAACGGCCGAGTGGTCAGTGCATGTAGACATGCGAGGGTTTGAGTCATTCAGCGATTTCGTTTCTTCGCTCGGGTTTGGTTTGGTGGCTGTGCTCGATCCAGTGGGTAGACCTGGTGGATAGCACACTTGCGTTCGAGAGTTTCCGAGCTGATCCCTGAGGCCTAATCTCGTCATCTCTGGCATATTTTGGTACGCTGCTACCTGCTGTGTTTGCCTTCCTACCTTATGGTCCGCCATTCTTACAAACCTTAGCCGCCCTCGTCCAGAGTGCAGTGCTGGTGCTCGATTCAGCGCTTCGCGCTCACCTCTTTCTAGTTGATGTCTCAAGAAGTGCTCACTTTAGACTTGGGTACACTTGTGGACGTGAAATGTGGTTTTGAAAAAGGTGGTCTCGTGATAGTCGGGTAACCTTCTCAAGCAAGCTAGAAGAATACATTCGCGAGAGACAGGCTAACACATGGCGTTGTCTCCTACGCCGATCTCATTTCAGCCGAAGATTTCAATGGCGAGAACTTCAGGTGACTAATCTTCCACAGTTGGCAAGTGCACCGTTTTAGTCCGTTGCTTAGCAAGGGTGTTTCTGTTTGCAGGCTTCGAAGAGGCTGCATTACGGGTCAATCCACCCAGGTGAAGCTCACGCGCTTCATGAGAACAACCATGAAAGCATCTTCCCCTGCGGCGTCGCTGACGATTGTCCTGTCGCTCGCAGGGTTGTTTTCGACAACCACTCTGATCCAGTCTCAACTCTTGTTAAAGTGGATAGCGCAAACAAGCAAGGCTGCCTGCTTCAGGTCGTGCAGCTTCTAACTGACCTTGATCTTGTCATTTCCAAAGCTTACATTTCTTCAGATGGCGGCTGGTTTGTTGATGGTACGTACCTTTGGCCCCGTTGCGTATGGAGTCATGTCAATTCCATCAGAGCAGCTTTGACACCCTCTCAGTTTCCCCCTTCCAGTGTTTCACGTAGTGGACCAATTGGGACAGAAAGTAACTGACAAGAGCCTTATCCGCTTCATTGAAAAGGTAAGCTTCATTCTTAGTTAATGTGCTCGGGGACTTCCGTTTTCATGCTGAAATGCCTGTTCATTGCGTTTGCAGGCCCTGGGAGCTTCGAAAGAACATCCTGTCCCTGATGCAAAGACCTGCTTAGGAAAGCCTGTTGCGGACGCAATAGACTTCGAGCATTCCGTCATAGAGCTCACAGGGTATGACCGCCCTGGGCTTCTCTACGAGGTATCGGAGGTTTTGACTAAACTGGGATGCAATGTGGTGGGAGCAGAAGTCTGGACACACAATAACCGCGTAGCTTTTATCCTGCACGTCACAGAGGCTAGTAATGGCGGACCTGTTAGTGACCCTGCTGTCTTGGCTGATATGCGTGAGCGACTCTGCTCTGTGATGGAATCGAACAGCATTAGGATCGAATCCCGGAGCAGCTTTTTCGTTGGGGAGGCTCAGACTGATCGGAGGCTGCATCAGCTGTTGTTCGCGGATAGAGACTATGAAACAATGGGGCTCAATGCCTTCCCTACAGGTGTGGTCGAGGAGAAGGTGCGGCCGAGCGTTTCTGTGGCCAACTCTCCAGAGTCGCAGTACACAATCATCAAGCTGACCTGCGTGGACCGACGGAAACTTCTGTTTGACACGGTCTGCACATTGACAGACATGCAGTACATCATTCATCATGCCACGATAGAGTCTGAGAACGATGTGGCGCACCAGGTTAGCACTACACATCGTGCCTTGCCATTTGTCTGCATTCTCGTACGTTCCTTAATACTTTGGTTATCATGTCTGTGTTTCAGGAGTACTATGTCAGAACCATGGACGGCTCCATGCTAGACACCGAAGCTGAGCGGGAGCGGGTTGGGAAATGTCTTGAAGCGGCTATTTTGCGTCGCAGCCCAAGAGTGAGTGTCGTTTTTCATACTCTCCTGCTGGCCTAGCGAAGATCAAGTGACTGAATCGGCTCCTGTGTCTGCATGTGGCTTGGATGTGACATTTTGGGGCTCCTTCTGTGGCAGGGTTTGTGCCTTGACCTCTGCACAGGTGATCGCATTGGCTTGCTGTGTGACGTCACACGGGTGTTCCAGACTCACAACCTATCCATCACGGCTGCTAACATCTGCACGCGCTGGGGGAAGGCAGTAAATGAGTTCTACGTCACCGATTCGGCCAACCGCCCTGTTGATTTCAGCATCATTGAGGCCATTCGCCAGGAGATTGGCCCCACGATTCTAACAGTCCGCAATGTGGCACCTCCACTCTTCAGCTCTTCACCACCTGAGGAAACCCAATTCTCTTTCACAGGATTGCTGCGGTCACTCTCTTTAGGCTTTTCCAACATGTACCAGACCAGGGGTGCTCCACATTCATCCAGCCTTGCGACAAGGAGGCTCTGAGCATGCCTTGTTACAGATTCGCCCGCGTTGTAGGAAAGACGGAGGATCCTCCTCTGTACATAATCTAGTAGCTCTTTCATCCTGTTGGGTATGTATATCCTTCCCTGGAAAGCTCTGCAGCTGTTGTTGTAGGGCGCCTCATTTGGTCATCAATTGGCTTGCTGTGGTCATCAGTTGCTGGATGCGGTGTCAACAGTCACATGCAGGCATTGTATTTCAACACCAGCTTCTTTCATCTTCCACTTAAAGCCCGCGGATAAAATAGCAGACCTGGAAACCACTTGAATTTGGTGCTTTGAAATCCGTCTTAGTATAGAATAGAAGGCAGCTCTGAGTTCAAGCCTGAACAAGAAAAGTGCATCGAAACGACTTTTAGTCGAGCTTGCTGATTGGAGGAATGACGAAAGAATCGTTTTGCTGTTTGTTGCGACACGATCATTTGGATGCGATTTGCGCAAAAACACTGTGTGCATCGCACGGAGTTTCAACGACGGGTTTGGGCGAGAAGCTTGCGACAAGGAAATGCAGGCGCTTTATGACTGCGAAATTCAAATTTCCAGGTCTGCAATTCCGGAATCAGCTACTCTTCGCCAAAAAAACACTGTTCTTAACGCATTTTCACTGTTCACGGAACAACGAATTCTGTCGCACGACGCGTGTTGCACTGTTCACCGAATGGTTTCGTGCAAAACTGTCGCCAAACCGCCGCGGTCAGATTCCGCTATGCAAAACGAAATGTTTCTATTCTGTTTCGTTTACTCTAAAGATTGTCATGTGCCAAGTTCAAGAGGAAATTAAACAGCCCTCTTGATTGCTATTATAGCCACGGGCTTTAATATTTTGCGCTCACTTTTAAGAGGATTCACAAGGCAGGCAAGTAGGCATTGCAAAAACTGTTCACTATAACCTAAAATATGTCCATGCTGTAGCCAGATGCCATGCTACAGACACACAGGAGTCAGGCCATGCTGCAAACAGCATTTAGGCTTCTGTGCAAAACGTACCAGTGAAGTGAGCTTGAAGGTAATCTACAGATAGAGCAAACCAATGTTGTGTAAGAAGCAACAAAACTACCCAGCGCTTGTGTTTCCACGCGTATTGTGCCTACCGGTACCTGAGAGTGCCTTCGTAGCTCACACATGGCCTTGTCAATTGGCAACCTCTCTCACACGGTACACGGATCGCCCTTGCGCCTCGTAGTACGTCCTCATGCACAGCTCAGCCACCAGGCCGAGCCCAAACAACTGGCGCAGGGGGGAAGCATTAGGAGATGATGGGTTTGGCCTGGAGCTGATTGGAGTGATGCAGGGCATGGGTGAGGGGTGAAGTAGGGACCAAGAGAGGAGAGAAGGCATGACAGAGCAGGGACAGGGAAGGGCAAGAAGAGAGGGGCACAGCGAATGATGAGGGACGGGTGGGGAACTAGGGAGAGAGAGCAACCCCAGCACTTACTACGAATCCAGCAACAACAAACTCAAGAGAGGCCACGAGGTGCGCTGCGCCCACCACCATGGCCATGCCCACGCCATACGCCGCAGCAGCCTTAAGCGCCGCCGCGCAGAAGAGGACGAAGAAGACAGCAGCAGCGAGTAGCGTGAGGGCGGCGAGGGGGCCGAAGAAGTGCATGGGCCGGTCTCGGAAGCGCGTGAGGAAGGCAACGGTGAGCAGGTCCATGAGCACACGGGGGGTGCGCGAGAGGTTGTACTTGGACACGCCCACCTGGCGCGGGTGGTGCTGCACCTGAGACCATGCAGCGAGAGGGGGAAAAGGACCGCATGAGAGAGGGGGTGCATGGAGGAGTGACAGGATCCATACAAGCACATATGGAAAGAGCTGCACCTCAAACCCAAGCCTCTTGATGAAAGCATGGAATGCCTTGGGCCGCCCGTCCCTTGCTGCTCTTCCATACCTCGAGCTCAGATATGGAAGCGCCCTCCATGGCGGCGAGGGCGGGCAGGAAGCGGTGCAGCTCGCCGTAGAGCCGCATGGAGCGCACCAGCGACCCGCGGTACGCCTTCAGGCTGCACCCATAGTCGTGCAGACGGACCTGCGCATAGTGCACATATGGATGGGGGCGGGAAGAGAGATAGGGCAGGGTAATCACAAGCATAAGCTGGAAACATACCGGGGAAGGGGGGGACCACACACAAACAATCACGCTCATGTTACAGGAATTCCCCTTGCAAGGAACATACCCCTGTGACAGCCCCAATGAGCAGATTAGCCAGCGCCGAGGGAAGATTGCGTGAGAAAAAGTCATCCTTGCGCGCGCGCCGCCACCCGCACACCATGTCGTAGCCCCCGCCGTCCCGCTCCCGCCCTGTCACCCATCTCGCCCCCGCCTCCTGCCCCACCACGCCCTTCCTCCCCAGCAGCAGCAGGCGCAGCAGCCGCGGAATGTCAGAGGGGTCGTTCTGCAGGTCGCCGTCCAATGTCACTATGAAGTCGCCTGCAGAGAAGCGCGGGGGGGGCGGGGGGGGGGGGGGAAGAGTGGGGGAACGGGGGTCACATGAGAGGGATGCGCGTGCGGGCGAGAGGGGACACGTGGCGGGGCAGTGGTTGAGTCAAATACCAGTGTGCACTCAGACATCCTCGGAATGCATCTTGAACCCACCTCAAAGCAAGCACTGATTGTTTGAGGGGGAAACAGTCCCCTGCAGCACAGTCACCTGCAGCACAGTCACCTGCAGCACAGACACCTGCAGCACAGACACCTGCACCACAGACACCTGCACCACAGACACCTGCAGCACAGACACCTGCAGCACAGACACCTGCAGCACAGACACCTGCAGCACAGACACCTGCAGCACAGACACCTGCAGCACAGACACCTGCAGCACAGACACCTGCAGCACAGACACCTGCAGCACAGTCATCTGCAGCACAGTCACCTGCACCACAGACACCTGCAGCACAGTCACCTGCAGCACAGTCACCTGCACCACAGACACCTGCAGCACAGTCACCTGCACCACGGTCACCTGCAGCACAGTCACCTGCAGCACAGTCACCTGCAGCACAGTCACTTGCACCACAGTCACCTGCACCACAGACACCTGCACCACAGTCACCTGCACCACAGTCACCTGCACCACAGTCACCTGCACCACAGTCACCTGCACCACAGTCACCTGCAGCACAGTCACCTGCAGCACAGTCACCTGGACCACAGTCACCTGCAGCACAGTCACCTGCACCACAGTCACCTGCACCACAGTCACCTGCAGCACAGTCACCTGCACCACAGTCACCTGCACCACAGACACCTGGACCACAGTCACTTGCACCACAGTCACCTGCAGCACAGTCACCTGCAGCACAGTCACTTGCACCACAGTCACCTGGACCACAGTCACCTGCAGCACAGTCACCTGCACCACAGTCACCTGCACCACAGACACCTGCAGCACAGTCACCTGCACCACAGTCACCTGCACCACAGACACCTGCACCACGGTCACCTGCAGCACAGTCACTTGCACCACAGTCACCTGCACCACAGACACCTGCACCACAGTCACCTGCAGCACAGTCACCTGCACCACAGTCACCTGCACCACAGTCACCTGCAGCACGGTCACCTGCAGCACAGTCACCTGCACCACAGTCACCTGCACCACAGACACCTGCACCACGGTCACCTGCAGCACAGTCACCTGCAGCACAGTCACTTGCACCACAGTCACCTGCACCACAGACACCTGCACCACAGTCACCTGCACCACAGTCACCTGCACCACAGTCACCTGCACCACAGTCACCTGCACCACGGTCACCTGCAGCACAGTCACCTGCAGCACAGTCACTTGCACCACAGTCACCTGCAGCACAGTCACCTGCACCACTGTTACCTGCACAACAGTCATCTGCAGCACAGTCACCTGCACCACAGACACCTGCACCACAGTCACCTGCAGCACGGTCACCTGCAGCACAGTCACCTGCAGCACAGTCACCTGGACCACAGTCACCTGCAGCACGGTCACCTGCACCACAGTCACCTGGACCACAGTCACCTGCAGCACAGTCACCTGCACCACAGTCACCTGCACCACAGACACCTGCAGCACAGTCACCTGCAGCACAGTCACCTGCACCACAGTCACCTGCACCACAGACACCTGCACCACGGTCACCTGCAGCACAGTCACCTGCAGCACAGTCACTTGCACCACAGTCACCTGCACCACAGTCACCTGCACCACAGACACCTGCACCACGGTCACCTGCAGCACAGTCACCTGCAGCACAGTCACCTGCAGCACAGTCACCTGCACCACAGTCACCTGCACCACAGACACCTGGACCACAGACACCTGCACCACGGTCACCTGCAGCAGAGTCACCTGCACCACAGACACCTGCACCAGAGTCACCTGCAGCGTAGTCGAAGCCGGCCGCCATGGCAGCAGTCTGTCCAAAGTTGCGGCGCAGCACCACCACCCGCAGCTCGGGCCTCTCTGCTGCCATTGCCTTGAGCAGGAGGGACGTGCCTACGGCGGGGGGGGGGGGAGTTGGGAGAATAATATTTGGCGGATGGGGGTGAGCGCACTGGGAAAGGTTATGGAGGACGCAGGGAGGCCTGGAGGGGGGTCCGATGGGGGGGTGCCAATGTGGCGCACCGCGACTGAGGAGGGTCCCTCTGGCCCTCAACCCGCACCCCTCGCTGCACTTCACTGCCCCACTCAGCTTCCGAGCTTCCTTGTCCGTCCTTCAACATATCAACCACCTGAACTTTCTTTCTTTCTTCCTTGAACATTCCACTCACCATCCGACGACCCATCGTCCACGCAAATTACTTCGTGCGGCCACCCCGCGCGGCTCAGCACGTCGCCGACCCTCTCCACCAGGATCGGGATGCTCCGAGCCTCGTTGAACAGGGGGATCACCACCGACACTGTTGGCAGGTCCGGAACAACCTCCACTGGTGGGCCTGACGTCCCTGGTGACGTGGCGAGGGCGCTGCGAGCAGCGGATTGACGCCCCGGCGTTGAGCGATGGACGGTGGAGGGGGCGCGCGGCAAAGAGAGCCGCGAAACGTCGGGTCTGGGAAAGGGAGCGGAGACGCGGGGATACATTCACAGCGGAGAAAGATGGACGACGGAGAGTGTGTGTGCACGAAGGAGCAGGAAAACGCACAGGAACCCTAAATTTCCTTAGCGTCCCGCGCTCTGGGCTGAGAGGCGGAAGAGCAGGGTTGGACAGAACGAGACGGCAACAGAGCAGGTGACGCTAAGCGACAGCTAAGTGACGCTGATCGCAACACCCGAAGCTGACGTCACCCCACCTTCGCCAGGAGTCAGAACGAGAACGGCTGAAGACAGCCTCTCGTGCTCTGATGACGCTCTCTACTGATCGCCTCGACGCTCGAACATGCGATGCTATTAGGGTGGGTGCACCATGGCTACTAGTCTGTAGCACTTCAACAACTGAGTGCACGCAATCTAACGCGGCTCGTGAAGCCGACGCCATTACGCGTCAACTGATCGTCGCTAAGGAGACACTGGCGTATGACAGCTATTATAGATTGATATTCGAAGAAAGCCTGTGACCATTAGAGTGGAAACGATGCATCCTCGACTACGCCTGGTTCGAGTCAAGCCCTTGCATCCACCATCTAGCAGAGGCCCTCGTTATTCTCATAGAAATAGAGACTTCTCGCACGCCTAGCCAAAGACATTTAGAAGGCGACCTAGCCAGGTCAAACAGTACCACTAAGGAGGCTGCTTCATGGCTGAGCGCCTAGGAGGCTTGGTTGCGCCGTGGCGAGGCGTGAGAGCTGTGGCGATGGCGAGGAGGGGAGGCTATGCAGGATTGGCCGAGAACAGGCGAAAGTAATTGAGTGTGGTAACTCTGCACACGATGGATGCTGCAGGCACAAGGACCTCCCGCGCTTTTTGCAAGCCCTTTTCGGCTCGCGAGTTATTTCCCGCCATTTCTTGATCCACTTAAGTGACAGTGTTTTAATACAGTGGGCGCGATTGTTACAATACTATCTTTCAAGGAATCTATAAAATCTTATGCCTTCCGCGGTAATTAAAAAAGTGCTGAGAAAGCTACTGATTTCACGGTAAATGAAGTCAAGACCTACTTAGCAGCTAGCTTGGCTTTGGCAGGGGAGGCAGATGCAGGAGCCTTCGCGTTCACCTCTGTCCAGGCCTCAATCCACGTCACCATAGCGTCCCCTAGCTTGGCGAAGTACGGGTCCAACGAAGAGAGCTTGTCCTTCACCTGTTTAGCAAGTTCCAGGTAGCATTGCTCTACTGTTGTCGCCTCCTTGGGCAACTTCACTTGTTGGAAGAAGGGGATGATGTCTTCCTGCCAGAAGATGCCCTTATACTCCTTTTTCAGGTTGACAAACGGATTGCTGGCCTTGCTGTGCCAAATGTACGGCAATCCAGTCTTCACTCCAAGACCCAAATGATCGCAAATCACCTGAAACACAGTGCAAGAGATAAATTTAACAACAATGACCGACAGCACCTTTTCAGGGCATCGAGACCAGGACACACCCGTGATCGACGAGAAAGACGTTGCAATCACCATCGCAGAAACCGCATTACTAGCTTGGCAAGCGATTTTGAATCGTGGGCCGAGCTAAGGAGGGCCCTGCCCAAGGGCCTGACATAGACTGACCACCCCCACAGAATCGTAAACGATGGCGGCAAAAGTTTGAGAGCCAGCCCTGCATTCATGTTTCTGTGTCATGCAGGCATTGAATCGTTTGGAAGCACCCGTTGTTGAACGTGGTCTTGCCGGGCTTACAAGTAAGCGCGAATGAAATGAGTCCAAATAATGAATGTGGTTTCTTTTGCGGAAAAGCGCGCATCCTAATCTATTGTGGATTTGGGAGTGCAAATCGTTGCCAGCCGCACAACCGGCAACACGTTCTCAAATACAACGCTTTAGTGTGTCAGTCAACGGACTTCGAATTCATTCCCTTCAGTTTCATCGTCATCTTTCTGGTCCCTCTACACAAGTCACGTACCTTCATGCACCAGCCCGCCCACATGTCATCGTATCGTCCGATCGGCTGCCCGTCGCCCATGAGCCCGAAGTACATGGCTGGCCCAATGAGCTCGCGGTCGAACGCCAGGTTCATCCCGCACATGGGGAAGAGGGTTCCCTTGGGAATCGTCATCACCGCATCGACGTATCTGCCAGGTGTAAGCGAAAATGAGTCAGTTACAGCTTGAAAGTTGGTGGATGGGTGTACGTGAAGAATATCTGGGAGTGTATACCTTTTGTTCCTCTCGCTGGGCTTGACGAGCTGGGTGGGAGCGTCGTAGTCAGGGATGTTGAGCCACAGGCCGTGCGACGCCGCTGTCGAAACGCCTTCCCTGAGGCTGAAGGGGTAGCCTCGGACGAAGTCAGCCCCCTCTCTGTACGGATCGTACAGCGTGTTGAAGAAGTAAGGCGTGGATGGGGATAGCAGGTTTTTGATGTGCTGCTGAAGCGCGTTGATGTCCTTTCCGGAGGGATCTTTGGCAACCTATGGACACAAGACGACGTGCATCAATTAAGTCACCGTCCATGGAAATAAACAGATCAGATTACGTGTAACCGTCAAGACGAATCGTGTTTAACTTACGAAGCAATCGTCGTCGATCGTGTAGATGTACTTCTTCTTCGACACCATGAAGCCGAAGCACCTGCACGCGCTGTCCTTGAACGAGATGCACGACGCCTTCGGGCCGAGGATCCGGTTGATGTCATTTCTGTTGTAGAGCTCGTAGTCGAAGCCAGAAGGGACCTTGATGACCTTTGTGGGATCCCCATCCTGGACTATGATCAGATGGTATGGCTCGAAGAAAGGCCGCCATTGCTCAAGGAAATCAAGGTTACGAATGGTAGGAATGACAATGTCTAGCTGATCTTTCAGAGGGATCTCGTCGGCCATGGCGTCTGAAATCACACTAAGCGATAATCAGTGAAGAGTTGAGGAACGAACAAGCCGAAATTGAGAAACGAGGAGCTCGAACTCTACAGCAGGCAGATTCAGATGCAGAACTAATTGTTTTGAATCGTAGGTGCAGGAATATACCAGAGTGGAGTGAGCGGGAATACATTCACAGCAAGTGAATGGTTTGTTCGCTCGATGTAGGTTGGGTGATCTGGCGGTGCAACACGGCAAGGAGCAAGCTTCGGTGCGAGCCTCGTGTCAGTCGAAAGAGACAGAAGCAGGCAGCACCAACTCCTGGGACCCCGACAATTGGCGGGCTTGGCAAAGCGCAAGATATCGTCTAGCGTAGGTCGCACCGTGTTGCGAAGCGAGGCAGGGGTAACGCGGAAGACCGCACCGTTGGAAACGCGACCACTTTATGCGTTGCCTTCGTTTAGATGCGAAGAAGCTAGCTAAATACGTGTCATAGTGGGTAGCCCCTCTACATATGTCGAAGTCTAGAATTGCACACTACGATTATCATGTACCTACCCACATCACAACAATAAATCAGCCTTAAACAATTATTAACATCCATGTGTGAATCCCCCAACAATCTTTTTGTCAAAAGAGGTCATCATAAGCGATCATTGAGCGCCACCCCCTACCAGTGTTACTATCAGCTATAGCACCACCACCACCAGCATCAGCATTACGCCACGCATTTCCTGAGAGTGACAAAGCTTCCTGCATGGAGTGCATATTGCCTTGTGGCTCCATCTGATGGTGAAGGCTCATGTGCATGTGGCCCATGGGAGCAGGTCCCACTGGCATGGGGACAGGAGCAGCACCAGACAGCACTGCCATGGCTGTAGCACTGGCTGCTGCTGTAGCTGCCAGCATCTTCATGCGGCCATTCTGAAGCTTCGAAGAACCTTCACCAAAGGAGAACCCCCCAACGCCCTTCTTCCATTCTGGCAGGGACCCATGTGCCCAGGAGACCCGCACCTGGTGGGACGCAGAGGGAAGAGACAAAGAGGAGGGATACGGCGCATGAGGACTGCAGAATGCTGCTGGTGTGACGGAATGACAACCCTGGTGGCACACATGGGTACACCTGCGATCAAGGACGAGAGCCGAGAACCTTCCAGAAGAACACAGACCAAGCTAGCAAGGATAAAAGAACTCAACTCAAGGGAGCAAAAAAGGATCATCATCTCACCCGCTGGCCCCGGACAACGATAGTAGACTTGCCCTCCTCCCCCGCAGCGATGGCCGCCTCTGCCTCTTCGCGCCTGGAGAACCCCACAAACCCGTAGCTCTGCAGCTCCACCATGCGCGCGTGCCCCACCGCGCCGAACCGCGAGAACGCCTCAGACAGCTCGTCCGCGGTGGTGGCGGGGTCCAGGTCGCCTATGAACACGCGGTGCTGCCCCGCACTGCCCCCATCCTGCGATCCGTTTCGGCTGCGACTGCCACGCTGCTGCTGACTGCGCCTGGGCTGGTCGTGGCGGTGGCTGTGGTGAAGGTGGTTGTGAGCATGGCGATCGTAGCCATGCTGATGGTCGCTCCGTTGCTCCTTGTCACTCCCCGCCCCCTCGCCTCTGCTGCCGTCCCGCCCCCTGTGCCGCTTCTCATCGCCTCTCTCATACTCACACGCCTCCCTCGTCCCCCTCTCCTCGCTCGCATGCCGTTTCCTCTTCCCTCCTCTTTCCTCCTCCTCATCCCTCTCCCGTCCCCTACCCCTGACCGCATCCCCCTCCCTATCGCCCTCCGCGCGTGCCCGCTCTCCTCTCGCCCCTCCCCGAGAGTCGCCGTGAGGCTGCTGCGCTCTGCGGAGGGGCGCGGGCCGCTTGAAGCTGGCGGCTCTGCCCACGTGCGGCGCGGAGGGCGTGGATGGCGAGGCGAGGGAGGTGCCGACAACTGCAGGTGTGGATGGGGACGCGGGCGACGAGGCGGGAGACGCGGACGCTTCCTTGGGGCTCGCGCTTGCTTCCTGCTGGGAGGAAAGTGGGGGCGGGTGAGTTACATGAATTTGGGCGGCTTATTGTACCATCAATTACCGCCGCTCACCGTCGCTCACCTCACCGTCGCTCACTCACCTTGCTCTGTGACAGCATCATCGCTCACCTTGCTCTGCGACAGCATCATCACTCACCTTGCTCTGCGACAGCATCGTTGCTCACCTTGCTCTGCGACAGCATCGTTGCTCACCTTGCTCTGCGACAGCACCTTCCTCGCCTTCTCCAGCGCCTGCTGCAGCCGACCGCGCTCGTCCAACCCCTCCCTCCGCGACTCGCGCTTCACCGTCCTATCATCGTCGTCCTCCTCCACCTCAACCTCCCTCGCCCTGCTCGCCTCTGCCCGGCCGCCCTCGCCCTCCCTCCTCACCCTCTTCCCCGCGCCGACCCCATCCGTAACACACCCACGAGACGAGTTCGCCCGCCTCCCGCCCTCCGCTTCCACTCGGCCTGCCTCGCCCTCCCGCCTCTCCCTCTCCTCCCCCCTCTCCCTTCCCTCCTCCGATCGCGCCCTCGCCTCCCCGCCCGTGCGCTCCCCCCTCCGCGCGCCCGTCCGCCGCTCGTCTATCGGCGGCGTCTGCATCTCCCACCCGCCCTCCGCTTCCTTCCCTCGCTCTTTCCGCGAACCTTCTTTTCTGGCCCGTCTATGCTCCTTCGCGCTGCGATCTAGATCCGTGACAGCCGCGTCGTCGGATTTTATACGCTCATCACAATCAACACGCTGATCGAATTTGATACGCTCCTCGCGGCTGCTCCCGCTGCTGGCACAACTCCCCCCGCTCCCCCCGCGCGGAGCACTGGGAGCGGTGCGCGAGACGTCGACGACCATGCCGCCCACCTTGAGGCGCAATTTGAGCGGCCGACGAGGCGCAGCGGGCGCCACCGCCTTGCCGCCCTCCGGATCAGGATCGGACCCCATGGGGAGGGATGCGCGCTCGCTAACTGATACAGCGGATAATTAGCAGATGGTTTAAGGAGGAGCTGGGAGCACAGCATCCGGCGGACCGGCGCTTGAGGCGCCAATGGTACCTTTCTCCGCAGGTTCGAAGCTCCCGAGGTCAGCGTACGACGCGCACGCTGACGTGAGGAGGCAACGAGGACGGAAGCAGTAGCAGCGCCTACGGCACGGCAGAGCAGCGCCAAATTTCTAGGCAGCTTCGCTCCGCGAAAAGGCTAGCGTAAACAGCTAAAATGAGCAAGCAACTTCACACTGCAGAAATCGCCCCACCCTTCGTGTGCTTGGTCGCAAGAGAGGCTAGTCTGGCAGCCGCGCGAGAGAGCAGGGGCGGGAAGGAGAGTTGTGGGGTTGTTGAACGTCCCAACTTGCGTTGGAAGTGCAACCACAAGTGCGGCTAGAACCCTGAACCTCCTCCTGGAGTGCCCATGGGGCCATAAAACGTGAAAACTAACCAATCAGAGGCGTCGAGTGGGTTTTGCCAAAACGATTTCGCGAAGAAGGCGGCGTGTTATAAGAACTCCTTATGAGTATTTAGACGTTTCTAAAGAAGTCAGAGGCTTCAATGAGCTCATGTGTAATTCCTGGCTCGTACATGGAGTGACCTGCATTGGGAACTGATAATGGGAGCCGTAAATGTAAGCAGAAACGGAGATATTAGAGAACATCGTATCGTGGTAATGGCAGGGTGGAGTACAGCAAAATATACAAATAAGCAACACGTACCGACTCGAAGATGTGCTTCAAGCCATGCGGTATGGAGATCAATGGCGTTCTGCAGAGAACAAAAGGGAGAGGAGGAGGAGGAAGGTGAGTGTTTGCGACAACGATAAACATCAAGTGCTCTTGGATACAACAGGACTACCATAAAGTGGACGCTTACAACAAGGGGGCAGACAAAGTCGTATCGGCCGTGCACAATGACTGTGGGGATGTGTCGGATGGCATCGATGTTGTGCAGCAGCTGGTTGTCACTCAAGAAGCCATCGTGATGCTGCATGCACAGACATGGTTCGAATCGGGTTGGAATTTCTTGGGGTCAGGTCGAGCTGAGAAGGATGTCTCAAGGAGAAATGTACGGCCACTATCTGCCATAAACGCAATAGCAATATCTACAGGACTGAATGCATCGATAAGCAGTGCATGTTACACTCGTAACGGAGGTGGAACAGTGCATGGTGCAGCAGCAACTCACAAAGTAGTGGCACTCAATGCGTGCCTGGGCCACTGATCCCGATATGTGTGGTCCGCCCATCAAGTCCCTCCCTCTAGTATCTCTCGTCCCTCTCCTCTGCTCTCCATCCTCTGATGTGCCCCCCTCCTCCGCCTCTGCCGTGTCTCCTGTTGATCCCTCCCCTGCTGCTGCTGCTACTGCCTTTGCTGATGCTTGTGCTGCTGCTGGTGCAGGTGGTGCTGCTGCAGGGAGAGAGTTGGGGGGAGAGGGGGAGGATGGGGAGGAGGAGGATGAGGAGGAGGTGGGGGAGGAGGAGGAAGGAGAGGAGGGCGGGGAGGAGGAGGGAGAGGAGGATGGTGATGAGGGCGCAGATGGAGGAGAGGAGGGCGGGGGAGGGGAGAGGGGCGAGGGGGGGAAGGAGTAGGTGGAGCCGTCCCAGGCGAGAAGAGCAGCGGGGGCGGAGGGGGTGGGGAAGTGGCTGAGAGACATCTCCCACCGCATCCATGCCCGCGCCTGCGGGAGGGGGGAGGGGGGAAAGAGGGGAGGCGTGGTGGGGATGGGGTGACGGGGGCGACGGCATGGAAGCCGTATTGGGGATGACGACACGGGGATGAGGATGGTGGGATGACGGCTGTGATGGTGCCATTTTCCACCTGCGTCACGTAGCATGTACCTCTGTGTCCAACCAACGGCAGCCCCAACACCACGAGGACAGTTGGAGCTGGGCCAAACTCAGCGGCCTCAAGCGTGAGTGAACTCACAGCGCTGTCTCTCAATGCAGCATCCGTGCTTGTGAGCCGCTCATAGAACGCCGCCACCAAATCTCCGTTCACATCCCCATGCCCTCCCCCATCCCCATCCGCGCGTGTGTGGGCGGCAGCAGCAGGCGAGTCCGCCGTTTGCTGTGGCTGGGATGGGTGCAGTGCGGCCATGAGGTCCCTCCAGGCGAACGGGAAGAGCGCCTCTGCTCCGCCCTGTGAGTGCAGGTGACGGCAAGTGAAGGGCGGGGGAGAGGGAGGCGAAGGGCGAAGGGTGAAGTGAACACAACATCCCGCAAGCCGTCAGAGCATAGAAACAAAGTGCGCCAGCCCGTTGCTCAAGTCAAACAAGCCCATCGTAGAACCACGGAGGGCAAATCAAATCCGCAGCAGCACGTACCGGGCGGTAGAACCAGTCGATCTCCCGGCGTCGCAGCAGGCACACCCCTCGCAGCAGCATGGCCGCCACTCGGCCTGGGTGCGCTTGAGCGTATGCCAGTGCTAGCGTGGTGCCCCAGCTGCCGCCCATGACCAACGCCCACCTGCCAGGGAGGCGCAGGAGGAGTGTGGTGGAGGGAGTGTGGTAGTGAGGGAAGGATGTGGGGAATGGGGTAGGGAGGGAGGGAGAGAGGGAGCGAGGGAGATACGGCCCATCTCGACTGTGGGAGTTATTGCCAACCACCAGCACCCAGGCGATACAGCACCTACCAACGGCCGTCACCTGTCCACTTTGCGATGCGCTCTGAGCGCCTCTATGTCCGCCACCACGCCAGATGCGCGGCGCTGCTCTCCAGCAACCACCCCGCCGGGTGGACGACGCTGGTCCGCGCCCCGCGCCCCCGTGGCTGCTGCACAGCACGACACGGTGCACTGCTGGGCCGACCCAGGCAGTGCTCCACCCCATGAGCGGCCCTCACCTGTCCACGCTGAGATGCTCTCTGAGCGCCTCAATGTCCGCCACCAGCAGATCCGTCGTGTTCTCCTCCAAGCACCCCGCCGGCGTGGACTTGCCCGCGCCCCGCTGGTCGCACAGCACGATGCGGTACACTGCCGGATCGAAGAAGCGCGCGTGGTTCGGCCAACACCCCGCGCCCGGCCCCCCGTGCAGGACTGGCGTGGGGGGGGGGAAGTGGAGGGCGAGAGAGGGGGAGAGAGGGGTAGAGAGGGGGAGAGGGGGGGAGGGGGGGAGAGGGGGAGAGAGGGGGGGAGAGAGGGGGAGAGGGGGGGAGAGAGGGGGAGAGGGGGAAGGGGAGGGGCTATGTGCAGTGCACAGTGTGAGTGGCGCCCTTGTGAGGGACGGGGGGAAGAAGCGGGAGGGAAGGGAAGGAGGGGCGGGGATGAGAGTGCGCAATGTGAGGGAGAGGGGAGGGGAGGGGCGGAGAGGGGGTGGGGGGGGTGGGGGAGTGAGAGTCCAGGGAGGGTGAGAGCGCGGAGGGAGCACTGACAGAGGGCGGGTTTGCCAGCTTGGTTGCCGTAGACGCGGTAGTAGAGCGAGTGGATGGCGGACACTCTAACGAAGCCCTCCGCGTGGTGCGCACTCGCGGGGTACAGCGTGCGCAGAGGGGGAGTGGAGGGTGGCGCTGCGGTGGGGGGAGGGGGAGAGGCGGAGGCGGGGGGTGACGGGGAAGGGGTGGAGGAAGCGGGAGAGGGAGAGGAGGAGGAAGAGGAGGAGGCGGAGGAGGAGGGAGGTGAGGGCGGTTGTTTCCAGGCTACAGTGGCGGCACGCCCTTGTCGCCTGCCGTGCCTCGCCGCATTCCCCGCCGCGTTCCTCGCCAGTCCATCCATGCGCTCGCCCCAGTACCCGATGCTCCGACGCCCTGCGCCCCCGCACCCAGCCATGCCTCTCGCAACGCTTCTTGCCGCACAGGGGCCAGGGGAAGGGATAGCTTGGGTGGGCGACAACGAGAAGGTGTTTCTGGTGAAGGGCGCACCTGCTGTGCGCGCGCATGCGGCTGTGGCCCTTGCCTGACATGCGTGTGCTGTCCGCGTGAGAGCCATGCGGCCAGCGCCGGTCCGACGCGATCGAACTTCAGATCATGCACGTTGATTGCTACCAGGGTGGCTACCCTGAATTGCGCGCGAATTGCGATCCTACTGATCCTGAATCGTGCTCTGCTGGCCGACCGTAGGGAGCTTGGGTGCGAGATCGGCAGACCGATTTGTCAGTGAACCTTGGAAACAAAAACCTCGGGAAATTGTTGTTGGCGAAACTCGGATGGCAGGGAAATGCTGAATTCGATGTTGACGAGAATTTGCGAAAACGAAACGACAGCATTTCTGGAGTTGAGTTACACGATCAAAGCTGATCTCGACTCCGCGATTTATTGCGACGAGTAACTGAAATCTCCTGATCGTGCGACAGTCGCCAGCTTCGCGCGCCTCCCTCCCATCCATCCGCCCAGCCCAGTTCAGCGAATGCCAGTGTGAAATCCGTCTAGAAGAATTTCGCCCTGCCCCATTCCCACGTTTCCCACGTGGGAGATTCGCTTCCTCCCCGTGATTCCCCACGTGCCACCATAACCATCCACGTGGCTCCTTCACTCCCCGCATATCACTCGCCTCGTTTCCATAGCGGCTCGCCTCCCCCTAACGCCGTAGCGTCTCACATTAAATTCCGCTCGGGTGTCAGTGCTCCACTGACGGCCGTTAGTTCCCCGCGAGGACGCTAATTCAGCCGTGCTTAGAAAAACTTCTGGCCACTGTTTATCCGCCACGTGGATGGATCTCCGTCAGAAGATCCTGTCAACCGTGCACGCCACCGTGCACGAGCATCGTCACGGCCCCAGCGGCAACGACCACCCTCCTGGAACAGGAGTCTCGGATATAGAAGGTGAGACCACGGGCAGCGGCCGCCGTGTGAGCGTCATTGCCGGGGGTGATTCATACAGCAGAAAATAGTATAGATTGCCGTCTAATGATTCCTGCCGTCCTGCTCGCTCTCCTTGCAATTCTCCATAACTGAAGTCGTTGCCTTGCGAGGTGATCCGTGGCGTGTGCCCGCGGTCATCCCGTGGCGTGTGCCTGTGATTCTATCGGGGTTCAGCTGACATCCACGTGACAGCGACCGCTCCTGCAGACAATGACAGTAGCGGGGGAGAGGCCGACGGCCTTCCCCGCAACGCACAGCAGAGCGGGCAGAAGAGCAAGTGGACGGAGCACGAGATCCGTGAGCCCATCCCCTCCCCTCCTCTCCTCTCCTCTCCTCTCCTCTCCTCTCCCCTCCTCTCCTCTCCTCTCCTCTCCTCTCCTCTCCTCTCCTCTCCTCTCCCCTCCTCTCCTCTCCTCTCCTCTCCTCTCCTCTCCTCTCCCTCCTCTCCTCTCCTCTCCTCTCCTCTCCTCTCCTCTCCTCTCCTCTCCCCTCCTCTCCTCTCCTCTCCTCTCCTCTCCTCTCCTCTCCCTTCCTCTCCTCTCCTCTCCTCTCCTCTCCTCTCCTCTCCTCTCCTCTCCCCTCCTCTCCTCTCCTCTCCTCTCCTCTCCCCTCCTCTTCTCTCCTCTCCTCTCCTCTCCTCTCCTCTCCCCTCCCCTCCCCTCCTCTCCTCTCCTCTCCTCTCCTCTCCTCTCCTCTCCTCTCCCCTCCTCTCCTCTCCCCTCCTCTCCTCTCCTCTCCTCTCCTCTCCTCTCCTCTCCTCTCCTCTCCTCTCCCCTCCCCTCCTCTCCTCTCCTCTCCTCTCCTCTCCTCTCCTCTCCTCTCCTCGCCCTTCATGCCCCCCTCGGCTTCACATTCTCGCCGCCCCGCCCATGTCGTCCAGTATCCCCCCTCCGACCTCCAACCCCAGTCTCCCGTCTCTCCCGTGCTGTCTTCTCTCCCAACGGCCCCTCATCTGCAGTGGGCGTGCTTCAGCAGGCCTCTACCGCCAGTGCGTCCAAGCCAGCAGCAGCCCCACCGCCCCACAGCTCCAGCTTCGGCGCGGCGGCAGCGGCATTCCTGGAGGCGGGAGCAGCAGGGGGGGGGGGTGGCAGCCGGGGAGGGGGCAGCTCCAGCGCGGCAGCAGGCGGCGGCGTCGAGGACACGGGGCCGTCGCGCGTGCAGCGGTTTCTGATGCGGCTGGCGGTGGCGCTGCACGCGTACGGCAGCTCGGCTGCGCGCACCGAGTTCCTCATCGAGCGCGCGGGGCGGCGCCTGGGCGTGGACGCCAACGTGGCGGTGTTCCCCGACCTCATCCTGCTCTCCTTCAACCGGGTGGCGGGGGACGACACTGCCGGGTATGCCATGCTGCAAGAGGTGGGCATGGTGGGCATGGTGGGCATGGTGGGCATGGTGGGCATGGTGGGCATGGTGGGTATGGCGGGTGTGGTGGGCGCATGTGCATGTGAACGTGGCGGTGTTCCCCGACCTCATCCTGCTCTCCTTCACTCGAGTAGATGGGGACGACACTGACACTGCTGGGTAAGACGAGGTGCGGCATGGTGGGGAGTGTTTCCACCCGGTGCACCAGGTGCTACCTCTCTGTGTTAAATGGGCTTCCATGCTGCTGCTGCTGCTCTATCCCTCTCTGTGTCTCGTTCCTCCACGCCACTCCTTGCGCCCCTTGTCCCGTCAACCATGACTCTGCACCTCCAGGCAGCGCGCCCACATGCTATCGGTGCCGCCCGACATGGACTTGGTCTAGCTGGGCCGCGTGGACGAGCTGGCGGGCAGCATTGGCGTCAAGGAGAGCCTCAACCTCATGGCGCTTCAAACCCTTGTCTCTGCACCGTCACCCCTACTCGCCGTGTCTCTGCATCGTCACCCCTACTCGCCGTGTCTCTGCACCGTCACCCCTACTCGCCGTGTCTCCCCACGCTGCAGGCAGCGAGCGCACATGCTGTCAGCGCCGCCAGACATGGACTTACACAAGCTGGGCCGCGCGGGCGAGCTGGCGCGCGGCGTGGGTGTGAGTGCCACCCCTTGCACCGTGCGCCCTCACCCCGTGCACCCCTTGTCCGTGCCCCCCCTCACCCCGTGCACCCCTTGCCCGTGGCCCCCCTCAACCGCCCTCGCCCCCCAGGCAGCGCGCGCACATGCTGTCGGTGACGCCCGACATGGATCTGGACAAGCTGGGGCGCGTGGACGAGCTGGCACGCAGCGTGGGGCTGCAGGAGACGCACAACCTCATGGCGGCGTACTGGCAACTGCGTGCCATCGCCAATGCACCGCCCACCTTCTCCCCCGCGCTGCACCTGCTGGCCATGGCGCTCATGTCCGCCAGTGCTGCCGTGCTCTTCTTTGGAGGTACGCCACTGCTAGCCATGGCGCTCATGTCCGCCTCCGCTGCTGTGCTCTTCTTCGGTGGTAGGTCTCACCAGTCCCATGCACCTCCCATGCACCTCCCATGCACCTCCGATGAGCCCCTGTGCACCCCCCATGCACCCCAAGCACTCCATGCACTCCATGCACCCCCGTACACCGCCGTGCACCCCCATGCACCCCAAGCACCCCATGTACCCCATGTACCCCGTCACCCCCATGAGCCCATTGCACCCCATGCAACCCCATACACTCCATGCACCCCCTGTACCCCCATGCACCCCCGTGCACCCCCGTTCACGCCATGCACCGCCATGCACCCCATGCACCCCATGCACCCCATGCACTCCATGCACCCCCATGAGCCCCCATGCACCCCCCTGCACCCCCATGAACCCCCATGAACCCCCATGCACCCCTGTGCACCGCCATGCACCCCCATGCACCGCCATGCCGTCCTGCCTACCGTGGGTGCATGCATGTGCTGCTTGCGTGCACTCGTTGCATGCCCCATGCCTCTCCCACGGCCTCATCCGCTCTTCCCCTTTCATCTGCAGGCAACATGTGGGACGCGCTGGTGGCAGGCGTGCTGGGATTCCTGGGCGGGGCCATGGAGTTCTGGGCCATCAACAACTCCCAGGTGCGCTCACTGCGCTCGTACTCACGTGCACAGCGTTCATCATGTTCCTCGCATCACCCCCTTTCACAGCGTCTCGCCTTAGCCGTCAAGCAAGGCTCTGCGTCCACCACTCATCCGCCAGGCGGTGCCCTCCTCTCCAACATCCTCTAGTTTCTCCTCTCATCCAACATCCTCTAGTTTCTCCTCTCATCCAACATCCTCTAGTTTCTCCTCTCATCCAACATCCTCTAGTTTCTCCTCTCATCCAACATCCTCTAGTTTCTCCTCTCATCCAACATCCTCTAGTTTCTCCTCTCATCCAACATCCTCTAGTTTCTCCTCTCATCCAACATCCTCTAGTTTCTCCTCTCATCCAACATCCTCTAGTTTCTCCTCTCATCCAACATCCTCTAGTTTCTCCTCTCATCCAACATCCTCTAGTTTCTCCTCTCATCCAACATCCTCTAGTTTCTCCTCTCATCCAACATCCTCTAGTTTCTCCTCTCATCCAACATCCTCTAGTTTCTCCTCTCATCCAACATCCTCTAGTTTCTCCTCTCATCCAACATCCTCTAGTTTCTCCTCTCATCCAACATCCTCTAGTTTCTCCTCTCATCCAACATCCTCTAGTTTCTCCTCTCATCCAACATCCTCTAGTTTCTCCTCTCATCCAACATCCTCTAGTTTCTCCTCTCATCCAACATCCTCTAGTTTCTCCTCTCATCCAACATCCTCTAGTTTCTCCTCTCATCCAACATCCTCTAGTTTCTCCTCTCATCCAACATCCTCTAGTTTCTCCTCTCATCCAACATCCTCTAGTTTCTCCTCTCATCCAACATCCTCTAGTTTCTCCTCTCATCCAACATCCTCTAGTTTCTCCTCTCATCCAACATCCTCTAGTTTCTCCTCTCATCCAACATCCTCTAGTTTCTCCTCTCATCCAACATCCTCTAGTTTCTCCTCTCATCCAACATCCTCTAGTTTCTCCTCTCATCCAACATCCTCTAGTTTCTCCTCTCATCCAACATCCTCTAGTTTCTCCTCTCATCCAACATCCTCTAGTTTCTCCTTTCATCCAACATCCTCTAGTTTCTCCTCTCATCCAACATCCTCTAGTTTCTCCTCTCATCCAACATCCTCTAGTTTCTCCTTTCATCCAACATCCTCTAGTTTCTCCTCTCATCCAACATCCTCTACTTTCTCCTCTCATCCAACATCCTCTAGTTTCTCCTCTCATCCAACATCCTCTAGTTTCTCCTCTCATCCAACATCCTCTAGTTTCTCCTCTCATCCAACATCCTCTAGTTTCTCCTCTCATCCAACATCCTCTAGTTTCTCCTCTCATCCAACATCCTCTAGTTTCTCCTCTCATCCAACATCCTCTAGTTTCTCCTCTCATCCAACATCCTCTAGTTTCTCCTCTCATCCAACATCCTCTAGTTTCTCCTCTCATCCAACATCCTCTAGTTTCTCCTCTCATCCAACATCCTCTAGTTTCTCCTCTCATCCAACATCCTCTAGTTTCTCCTCTCATCCAACATCCTCTAGTTTCTCCTCTCATCCAACATCCTCTAGTTTCTCCTCTCATCCAACATCCTCTAGTTTCTCCTCTCATCCAACATCCTCTAGTTTCTCCTCTCATCCAACATCCTCTATTTCTCCTCTCATCCAACATCCTCTAGTTTCTCCTCTCATCCAACATCCTCTAGTTTCTCCTCTCATCCAACATCCTCTAGTTTCTCCTCTCATCCAACATCCTCTAGTTTCTCCTCTCATCCAACATCCTCTAGTTTCTCCTCTCATCCAACATCCTCTAGTTTCTCCTCTCATCCAACATCCTCTAGTTTCTCCTCTCATCCAACATCCTCTAGTTTCTCCTCTCATCCAACATCCTCTAGTTTCTCCTCTCATCCAACATCCTCTAGTTTCTCCTCTCATCCAACATCCTCTAGTTTCTCCTCTCATCCAACATCCTCTAGTTTCTCCTCTCATCCAACATCCTCTAGTTTCTCCTTTCATCCAACATCCTCTAGTTTCTCCTCTCATCCAACATCCTCTAGTTTCTCCTCTCATCCAACATCCTCTAGTTTCTCCTTTCATCCAACATCCTCTAGTTTCTCCTCTCATCCAACATCCTCTACTTTCTCCTCTCATCCAACATCCTCTAGTTTCTCCTCTCATCCAACATCCTCTAGTTTCTCCTCTCATCCAACATCCTCTAGTTTCTCCTCTCATCCAACATCCTCTAGTTTCTCCTCTCATCCAACATCCTCTAGTTTCTCCTCTCATCCAACATCCTCTAGTTTCTCCTCTCATCCAACATCCTCTAGTTTCTCCTCTCATCCAACATCCTCTAGTTTCTCCTCTCATCCAACATCCTCTAGTTTCTCCTCTCATCCAACATCCTCTAGTTTCTCCTCTCATCCAACATCCTCTAGTTTCTCCTCTCATCCAACATCCTCTAGTTTCTCCTCTCATCCAACATCCTCTAGTTTCTCCTCTCATCCAACATCCTCTAGTTTCTCCTCTCATCCAACATCCTCTAGTTTCTCCTCTCATCCAACATCCTCTAGTTTCTCCTCTCATCCAACATCCTCTAATTTCTCCTCTCATCCAACATCCTCTAGTTTCTCCTCTCATCCAACATCCTCTAGTTTCTCCTCTCATCCAACATCCTCTAGTTTCTCCTCTCATCCAACATCCTCTAGTTTCTCCTCTCATCCAACATCCTCTAGTTTCTCCTCTCATCCAACATCCTCTAGTTTCTCCTCTCATCCAACATCCTCTAGTTTCTCCTCTCATCCAACATCCTCTAGTTTCTCCTCTCATCCAACATCCTCTAGTTTCTCCTTTCATCCAACATCCTCTAGTTTCTCCTTTCATCCAACATCCTCTAGTTTCTCCTCTCATCCAACATCCTCTAGTTTCTCCTTTCATCCAACATCCTCTAGTTTCTCCTTTCATCCAACATCCTCTAGTTTCTCCTCTCATCCAACATCCTCTAGTTTCTCCTCTCATCCAACATCCTCTAGTTTCTCCTCTCATCCAACATCCTCTAGTTTCTCCTCTCATCCAACATCCTCTAGTTTCTCCTCTCATCCAACATCCTCTAGTTTCTCCTCTCATCCAACATCCTCTAGTTTCTCCTCTCATCCAACATCCTCTAGTTTCTCCTCTCATCCAACATCCTCTAGTTTCTCCTCTCATCCAACATCCTCTAGTTTCTCCTCTCATCCAACATCCTCTAGTTTCTCCTCTCATCCAACATCCTCTAGTTTCTCCTCTCATCCAACATCCTCTAGTTTCTCCTCTCATCCAACATCCTCTAGTTTCTCCTCTCATCCAACATCCTCTAGTTTCTCCTCTCATCCAACATCCTCTAGTTTCTCCTCTCATCCAACATCCTCTAGTTTCTCCTCTCATCCAACATCCTCTAGTTTCTCCTCTCATCCAACATCCTCTAGTTTCTCTCTCCCATCTCTATCTCCTCTCATCCAACATCCTCTAGTTTCTCCTCTCATCCAACATCCTCTAGTTTCTCCTCTCATCCAACATCCTCTAGTTTCTCCTCTCATCCAACATCCTCTAGTTTCTCCTCTCATCCAACATCCTCTAGTTTCTCCTCTCATCCAACATCCTCTAGTTTCTCCTCTCATCCAACATCCTCTAGTTTCTCCTTTCATCCAACATCCTCTAGTTTCTCCTCTCATCCAACATCCTCTAGTTTCTCCTCTCATCCAACATCCTCTACTTTCTCCTTTCATCCAACATCCTCTAGTTTCTCCTCTCATCCAACATCCTCTAGTTTCTCCTTTCATCCAACATCCTCTAGTTTCTCCTCTCATCCAACATCCTCTAGTTTCTCCTCTCATCCAACATCCTCTAGTTTCTCCTCTCATCCAACATCCTCTAGTTTCTCCTCTCATCCAACATCCTCTAGTTTCTCCTCTCATCCAACATCCTCTAGTTTCTCCTCTCATCCAACATCCTCTAGTTTCTCCTCTCATCCAACATCCTCTAGTTTCTCCTCTCATCCAACATCCTCTAGTTTCTCCTCTCATCCAACATCCTCTAGTTTCTCCTCTCATCCAACATCCTCTAGTTTCTCCTCTCATCCAACATCCTCTAGTTTCTCCTCTCATCCAACATCCTCTAGTTTCTCCTCTCATCCAACATCCTCTAGTTTCTCCTCTCATCCAACATCCTCTAGTTTCTCCTCTCATCCAACATCCTCTAGTTTCTCCTCTCATCCAACATCCTCTAGTTTCTCCTCTCATCCAACATCCTCTAGTTTCTCCTCTCATCCAACATCCTCTAGTTTCTCCTCTCATCCAACATCCTCTAGTTTCTCCTCTCATCCAACATCCTCTAGTTTCTCCTCTCATCCAACATCCTCTAGTTTCTCCTCTCATCCAACATCCTCTAGTTTCTCCTCTCATCCAACATCCTCTAGTTTCTCCTCTCATCCAACATCCTCTAGTTTCTCCTCTCATCCAACATCCTCTAGTTTCTCCTCTCATCCAACATCCTCTAGTTTCTCCTCTCATCCAACATCCTCTAGTTTCTCCTCTCATCCAACATCCTCTAGTTTCTCCTCTCATCCAACATCCTCTAGTTTCTCCTCTCATCCAACATCCTCTAGTTTCTCCTCTCATCCAACATCCTCTAGTTTCTCCTCTCATCCAACATCCTCTAGTTTCTCCTCTCATCCAACATCCTCTAGTTTCTCCTCTCATCCAACATCCTCTAGTTTCTCCTCTCATCCAACATCCTCTAGTTTCTCCTCTCATCCAACATCCTCTAGTTTCTCCTCTCATCCAACATCCTCTAGTTTCTCCTCTCATCCAACATCCTCTAGTTTCTCCTCTCATCCAACATCCTCTAGTTTCTCCTCTCATCCAACATCCTCTAGTTTCTCCTCTCATCCAACATCCTCTAGTTTCTCCTCTCATCCAACATCCTCTAGTTTCTCCTCTCATCCAACATCCTCTAGTTTCTCCTCTCATCCAACATCCTCTAGTTTCTCCTCTCATCCAACATCCTCTAGTTTCTCCTCTCATCCAACATCCTCTAGTTTCTCCTCTCATCCAACATCCTCTAGTTTCTCCTCTCATCCAACATCCTCTAGTTTCTCCTCTCATCCAACATCCTCTAGTTTCTCCTCTCATCCAACATCCTCTAGTTTCTCCTCTCATCCAACATCCTCTAGTTTCTCCTCTCATCCAACATCCTCTAGTTTCTCCTCTCATCCAACATCCTCTAGTTTCTCCTCTCATCCAACATCCTCTAGTTTCTCCTTTCATCCAACATCCTCTAGTTTCTCCTTTCATCCAACATCCTCTAGTTTCTCCTCTCATCCAACATCCTCTAGTTTCTCCTCTCATCCAACATCCTCTAGTTTCTCCTCTCATCCAACATCCTCTAGTTTCTCCTCTCATCCAACATCCTCTAGTTTCTCCTCTCATCCAACATCCTCTAGTTTCTCCTCTCATCCAACATCCTCTAGTTTCTCCTCTCATCCAACATCCTCTAGTTTCTCCTCTCATCCAACATCCTCTAGTTTCTCCTCTCATCCAACATCCTCTAGTTTCTCCTCTCATCCAACATCCTCTAGTTTCTCCTCTCATCCAACATCCTCTAGTTTCTCCTCTCATCCAACATCCTCTAGTTTCTCCTCTCATCCAACATCCTCTAGTTTCTCCTCTCATCCAACATCCTCTAGTTTCTCCTCTCATCCAACATCCTCTAGTTTCTCCTCTCATCCAACATCCTCTAGTTTCTCCTCTCATCCAACATCCTCTAGTTTCTCCTCTCATCCAACATCCTCTAGTTTCTCCTCTCATCCAACATCCTCTAGTTTCTCCTCTCATCCAACATCCTCTAGTTTCTCCTCTCATCCAACATCCTCTAGTTTCTCCTTTCATCCAACATCCTCTAGTTTCTCCTCTCATCCAACATCCTCTAGTTTCTCCTCTCATCCAACATCCTCTAGTTTCTCCTCTCATCCAACATCCTCTAGTTTCTCCTCTCATCCAACATCCTCTAGTTTCTCCTCTCATCCAACATCCTCTAGTTTCTCCTCTCATCCAACATCCTCTAGTTTCTCCTCTCATCCAACATCCTCTAGTTTCTCCTCTCATCCAACATCCTCTAGTTTCTCCTCTCATCCAACATCCTCTAGTTTCTCCTCTCATCCAACATCCTCTAGTTTCTCCTCTCATCCAACATCCTCTAGTTTCTCCTTTCATCCAACATCCTCTAGTTTCTCCTTTCATCCAACATCCTCTAGTTTCTCCTTTCATCCAACATCCTCTAGTTTCTCCTTTCATCCAACATCCTCTAGTTTCTCCTCTCATCCAACATCCTCTAGTTTCTCCTTTCTCGTGCCCACCCTCACAGCCTTCTCGTGCCCACCCTCACAGCCTTCTCTGCCCATCGCCTTCCTCTATACCTCTGCTCGTCCAACCTCATCACTCCCGCCCGCCCTCCCCCCCGCCACGCCAGGCGGTGGCGTCCATCCTCGAGTTCCTCGTGTCAGTGCTCGCCGCCTTCTCCGCGCATCTCCTCGCCGCCTCGCTGCTCCACGGCCGCATCTGCATCTTCGCCTCGCTCTTTGGCGCCCTCGTCTGGTTCCTGCCAGGTGGGCCGCCACTCCACTCACTCACGTGCTGCATGCTGCATGCTGCATCCATTGCATGTTGCTGCCTGGCTGTCTGCATGCCAGAATACACCCCGTCTGCATATTTGAGCACTGGGTTCTGCACTGTGCCAGAATACACCCCGCCTGCATCGATTCTCCTCCACCCCCCTAACAATGCTCCCTCCCACCCAGGTGTGACGTTGACCTTCGGTGTCAACGAGCTGGTGGCGCGCACGCTGGTGACAGGCACGTCACGTGTGGCAGCAGCCATCTTCACGTCGCTGCAGATCGGCTTCGGCATCTCCGTCGGCATGGGGCTCGCTTACGGCACCGCCTCCCCCACCGCCCTGCACGACTGCCCGCCCTCCACTTTGCCGCTCTGGTCCAACATCATCTGGTGCGTGCCCTGCTCTGCCCTGCTCTGCCCTGCTCTGCCCTGCTCTGCCCTGCTCTGCCCTGCTCTGCCCTGCTCTGCCCTGCTCTGCCCTGCTCTGCCCTGCTCTGCCCTGCCACGCCCCTTCATCTCCGTGGGCATGGGGCTTGCTTACGGCGCCGCCTCCCCCACCGCCCTGCACGACTGCCCGCCCTCCTCCCTGCCCCTGTGGTCCAACATGCTCTGGTGCGCGCCCTGCCATGCCCCCCACTTCCCTGTGACCCCCCTTGCTTGTCCGTTTCACCCAAACCATGCCTGCTTTACTCACCCGGGCGCCTTGGGCCCCCCAACCCCCTCCAGGTTCGCGCTGTACGTGGTGGCGAGCAACATCCGGTGCAACGCGCGGCTGGACCAGTGGGACGGGATGACCTTGGTGGCCCTGGTGGGGTACGTGGTGTCGGAGCTCGCCTACCGCACCATCGGCAACGACACTGCATCGGTGGTTGCTGCGTTCGCCGTCAGCACGTCAGGTGACTTGCTTTGCAATGTCTCAGCACACGACTTTGATCAAATTATGCTGGTGGCGCTGGTGGGGTACGTGGTGTCCGAGCTCGCCTACCGCACCATCGGTAACGGCACCACCTCTGTCGTTGCTGCACTCGCCGTCAGCACGTCAGGTGACTTGTTGTGAGATGTGTCGTGGCACGACTTGCTGTCGGTGGTGCTGGTGGCGCTGGTGGGGCGTGGTGTCGGAGCTGGCTTACCGCATCATTGGCAAAGATACAGCCTCTGTCGTCGCTGCCTTTGCCGTCAGCACATCAGGTGACGTGAACGCACATGCCTGCGCTCTCTTGGTTGTACCCCATCATATCACAGACATCTCGTTATTTCAACTCCTCTGCTGCCCATCGTTCTCTGCCCATTGCTCTGCCCATCTCCCCGCCTCGCTCACCCCTTCCCGGCACTCTTCTCTCCCCCCCACCCTCACCAGGCACGCTCTTCTCACACTTCGCCCAGGAGTTCCCCCTCGCCATGAAGATCTCCGGCATCCAGCTGCTGGTGCCGGGCGGCATAGGCGTGCGCGGTGTGGCAGCCATTCTCAACCAGGACGTCATGTCAGGCATCGGGTTCGTCTTTGAGATGCTCACGGTGGGGCTCGCCATCACTATTGGACTCATTCTCGCCAATCTCGTGCTCCCAGAGTCCATGTTTGCACATGGAAGCCGCCCGCACCACAACAAGAGGAAACTCGCCGCGGACTTGCGGGCCGACTCGATGGCACATAGTGGGATTGGTGGCCAGCAAGAAGGGGCAAGGGGGAGGGATGAGGGTGCAGGGAGAGGATTTGGTGCGGCTTCAGATGGGGGCAGTGGTGGGGTAAGAGGGGTGCTTGCTGGAGTTTTAGGTTTGAGGAATCGAGGAAGCGGCGAGGATAGATTAGCTTCTTCATTCTTGCCCCAGGTGAAAGAAGAGGAGGACTCAGTAGCCTTCTAGTTGGCTATGTCGTTGTTGAGGATGAAGGTTAGTATGGGGTTGGATTGTTGATCTAAGACTAATTTGTTTTACCCTCGTGTTTATATTTTCCTTACTGCTCTCTATGATGCGATTGGGATTGTTACAGTGTCCCGTTCCGTACGTCGTGGGTGGGTCCACCACAACATTTCTCCAGGTGATGCCCAGGAGGCGCACGTGTGTTTGGGGTTGGAGGAGTCACTCGTTTGACTTGATGGTTCGTGTGCCCGATTAGTGGCCGCGCTCAAATTGGTGTCTGCCACGTAGTCCGAAGGGGTCCAGCATCAGCCCTTGGTGATGAGGTTTTCTGCCCCCAGCCCACAATGGTGAGCGCAAAATGCTTCAACCATCGCGACGCGCGATGACAATTTCTTGTTCGTGGGCGACTCGGCTTTGGATGCTGTCTGTGTCACTTCGCGTATAATGCTACGTTATGGCGTGCTCTGCCCGTCACTCCCACCCACCGAATCGTCAGCCGCATCCGAGGCAGAGATATCACTCTCACTAATCGTGGCCACGTGATCAGTAAGGTGAACTTCGAGCATTATGCATTCACTTTCACTTACGTTACTCTTCTAATTAGGCTGCTCACTTTCTGATAATATTCTAAGATTAACTTGGGATTAACTGGAGTCGCAATCAGAAAGAGGAGAGATTCTGCCACACCTTACAGAGCGAGCACATGGCTTCGCGCCCAGCGCGCAGCAGCACGCTGATGCGCCACAGCCTCATCCTCGCCCTCGCGGGGCTGCTTGTGGTTTCGCACATCAGCGCGCTCTCCATGGCGCAAGCGGACGAAGAGGCGGGGGGGAGCGCGGCGGAGAAGCAGGCGGAGGCTGCGGGGAGCATCACTGCGCAGGGGCCGATAGGACACCACCCGGCGGACGCGGCGAGGGACGCGGCGGAGCAGGTGGCGAAGCGGCAGCCGCGGCGGGCGTCGCCCGACCTCGGCCGCCTGGCGCTTTTCGCGGATCCTCTGCCCATCCCGCCGGTCGTCGACGCCGCTTCGCTGCCGCGTCGAGACGGGCAGTCGCCAAAGGTCACGATCGGCGTGTACAACGTGAAACGGGTGAGTCGGGGGAATGCGCACAGCGGGAATCTAGCAACTGCAGGTGCACATGTCCCTGTCATTCACTCCGGCGCCTCGCTCCTGCATTCGCTGCATCCTCCACCAACTTCTCTCCCCTCCGCCTCCCCCCTCGTCGCCGCTCCCCGTCCCCCGTGCAGAAGTTCCACCGCGATCTGCCGCCCACCAAGGTGTACGCGTTCGGGCTGTCGCGCAAGACGGCGAGCGTGCCGGGCCCCACGATCGTGGCGGCGTGGCGGGAGGAGTTACGGGTGGAGTGGGCCAACAACATCACGGACAAGCAGCACATGCTGCCGGTGGACCGCACGCTCATGGTTCCCCAACTCAAGCTCGGCGGTGTCCCCATCGGTGCGTGCCTACTTGAGAGTGGCGAGAGGGGTACGGCATGTTTCTGCGAGTGGTGCACGGTAATGTGGGTGTCGAAGTGGTAGTGGCAGACCAAAGGACAATACTAAAGTCACTCAGCCGTGTCGTCCCCTGCAATGCTCCCTTCTCCCCTCTCCCCTCTCCCCGCCTCCCCACAGCCGTCCACGTGCACGGCGCGCAGGTGTCGAGCAAATCCGACGGTCATCCTTTCGCGTGGTGGACGAACCAGGGAGAGCGCGGCCCAACGTTCGCGTCGAACACGTACACGTACCCGAACGGGCACGCGGCGAGCACGCTGTGGTACCACGACCACACGAGCGGCATGACGCGCCTCAACGTGCTCGCGGGCATGTTCGGCGCGTACATTATCCGCCACCCCGCGCTCGAGCAAAAGTTCAACCTGCCCGCGGGCAGGTTCGACGTGCCGCTGGTGATTCAGGACCGCTCGTTCATGAAGAACGGATGGACGTTCCTGGCGAGCCAAGGCGTGTCGAAGGTGCATCCGCACTGGATGCCGGAGCACTTCGGCGACTTCATGACCGTCAACGGCAAGGTCAGCTCCGAGCTGAGGAGTCCTCCCCCATTCCCCTCCACACCGCCGCTCTTCACTCTCCGTCTCTCCGTTGCTTTGGCCGTGGGCCGTGGCGACAGTTGCTCCCCCCCCCCCCCCCGTAAAGCGTGCTCCCGCAGCAACATTGCGTTTCCAGTCACGGCCAATTCCGTGCTCCCGCATGTCTCGCCGCATTACCCACCGTAAATCTCCCTCCACCCCTCGCCATGCCGCCCGCAGGTGACGCCCTACCTGCGCGTCGAGCGCCGCAAGTACCGCTTCCGCATAGTCAACGGCGGCACCGCGCGCTTCCTCGAGCTCGTCTTCCGCGCGGCTTCCGCCAACACCGACCTCACCCTGCGCAACGCGCTCTCCGCCTCCCCGCAACTCCCCTTCGTGCAAATCGCCGCGGACGGCGGCTACCTCCCCGCGCCCGTTCCGCTCCGCCGCTCCGTGCTGGGCCCCGGGGAGCGCGCGGACATCGTTGTGGACTTCTCCAAGCTCCCCGCGGGCAGCACGGTCTACCTCACCAACCGCGCGCCCGCGCCTTACCCCGGAGGCGCCGTCCCCCAAGGCGACCTGCGATTCGTGATGCGGTTCGACGTCGTGGGCGCGCAGGCAGCCGACCCGACGCGCGTGCCAGCGAAGCTTATCAGCATCCCCGCCGTCGATGTTACCAAGGCCGCTAACTACAACAACCCGCGAATCATCAGCCTTACGGAGGTGGAGGACCCAGCATCGGGTAACCCGGAGTCGGGACTCATGGAAGGCGCGCATTTCACGGCGCCCGTGACGATTAAGCCTAAGTTCGGCACCGTCGAGCTATGGTACATAGTAAATCTGTCGGAGGACACGCACCCCATCCACATCCACTTCGCGCCGCACCACATTCTCTTCCGCCGCCGCCTCAACACCACGCTCGTCGAGGCCAAGAAGTGCAGCATGGCGGGCGGAAGCTGCTTCGCGGGGCGCGCGGTGGCTCCGCACCGGACCGAGCGCGGGCGAAAGGACACGAGCAAGGCGCCGCCCGGGTGGGTGACGGCGGTGGCGGTGGATTTCCGCGCGTGGCAGGGCAAGGCGCTGTCGTTCGACCCGCGCGAGGGGCCGGGGTACGTGCTGCACTGCCACATCCTGGACCACGAGGACAATGACATGATGCGCCCCTTCGTGCTCGTGTGACGCCAATAGGGTGAATTTCGGCCCTCTACCCGTTATTACTAGCCGCCGCGAAGATATACCAAGTAGTTATGTGACACATAGATACACAAGGTAGGCATCATCCCTCATCAATGTAAAACCACTCTTCATTGAAACCCAGAAGTATACAAGTCCCCAGACTAGTGGCTACTGAATCATCAAGCGTCCAATTAACGCTCTGAGATGTAAGTAGTGCAATTCAGTAGATTCTCCTCTAAAGGAGTGTGCAAGGCCCGTAAGAGGTTGCCTTTGAAAGCTCACTTGCACTGTAACTCGCGATGCGCCATCAAATCAAAGCCCTCATGTGCAATCTGCGCGCACATCAGATCGGCTGTTGCCAGCGCGCCTTAATCTCCTCCGAGGCGGTCTCCATGGCGGTGACCGTCTGCGAAATCATGTTGCCCACCGCCGTCTGCTGGATCATCTGCCCCACGCGGGTGGCGAGCGACGTCTCTTCCGCCACCTGCGAGTTGTCAGTGCGGCGGTGCCACTGCATCTCGAGCTGCAGCTGCCCCTTGGAGTCGATGAGGGGGTACAGGTCGTTGATGCGCCCGTTGATCACCACGTCGCTCAGCGCGATCTCACAGTACCCCACCGCCTCCTGCAGCCAAGAGGGGGGGGAGGAGGGAAGGAGCGGTTGGATGAGGGCAGAGGGTGGGAGGTGGGTAGAACGGAATATTTTGGAAGGGCAGTGAGCCCTGCAGGGGGTATATACTATATAGGTCGATGATGCAACCGTTGATCACCACGTCGCTCAGAGCGATCTTACAGTACCCCGCCGCCTCCTGCAGGGGGGAGAATGGAAGGAAAGGGGGGAGGACACAGGGTGGGAGGTGGGTTGACCGTAGAGTGGCATGCGTTGGAAGAGTGGATATAACCGAAGGGGGTAACTGTCGTGGACGCGCCCTGCTAATGACCATTCCGCTCAGCTGTATCTCACGATTCCCCACCGCCTACTTCAGCTAAGAGGGGGAAAACGTGGGCCCAGGGAAATGTGGTGGAGGGCCGGAAGGCATGCAGCATGCGAGCATGAGGGTTAGCCTGGAAGCCATAGAGACTAAGAGCAGGGTAATGAAAGGCACGTGGGGATGTGGGTGTTGTGACCTTGGCTGACTGACTGACCGTGGAGAGCGCTTGACCGAGTGACAGACCTTGGAGAGGACGGAGAAGGAGGAGAGCGACTTGGAGAAGACCTTGATGTGCAGGGTGTCTCTCACAGGGGGCTTCTCCAGAAACACCTCGAACGGCTCCTCCTCAAACACCACATCTGCCTGCTTCTTGTAGTGCTGCACGTGGGGGGGGAAAGGGGGGTTGTGATCGGCCGTGGGCGGAGGGCTGGCGGGTCAGCGGGTTGGCGGGATTGAACCTAAGACCTCTCCCATCCGTGAATATTTTCGTTTTCCCACTAGGACACTGGAAGTGCAAAATCCAGGCAATTAACATGTTATGTATGCTTGCCATACAGGTCGAAGGTGCGTCTTGGAAGTAGGAAATTGAGGCCTCCAGAAGACTGAGTAGCACTGGAACATTACCGGGAGAATTACCCTATGCCGTTGCCCTTGCCCCCCACTTACCCGAGAGCCCGCTAACCTGCTGAGCCGCGAACCCAGTAACTCGCTAACTCGAAATGCCGCTAACCCATAAATCGGGGAATCCGCGAACAAACTCCAGAGTGTGCGATGACAAGTGAGGATGGGGGTGCAAGGTGAGAGGGCAAGGCACAAAAGGAGGGGATGAGAGAGGAGTGAGAGGAGAAAGAGTACCATGAGGTGGTTGCGACGCACCTGGCTCTGCCACTCTTGGTTCCTAAACCGCAGCACCACAAAGGGGTTGGCGTGGTGCCGCGCCTCCAGCCCCTCCCCTCGGTGCAGGATGACGCGCAGCAGCCCGCCCCCCACCGGCACCCACTCGGGGAACGCCTCCGCCTCCTCCTCCTGCATCTCCTCCACATCCATGGGGGGCGCCTCCTCGTCCTCCGCTAGAGGGCTGGCGTGTGCAGGGGGGTGAAAGGGGAGTGGATGAGACAGAGGAAGACGGCACAGCAAGGGTAAGGCCTCGCCCACTCCTCCTGCATCTCCTCCACACCCATGGGCGGCGCCTCCTCGTCCTCCGCCAGGGGGCCTCGCGGAAGAGAGTGAGCGGAGGGGAGAGAGTGGGCAGAAGGGGAGAGAGTGGGCGGAAAGGGAGAGAGCAGGCGGAAGGGGAGAGAGCGGGCGGAAGGGGGAAGAGAGTAAGAGAAGAATGAGCACGGGGATGCGAAGCAGCAAGGGTGTAGAAAGCACACACCACACACCACATGCAGCATGCCACATGCCACATGCCACATGCCACATGCCACATGCCACATGCCACATGCCACATGCCACACACCACATGCAGCATGCCATATGCCACATGTCATATGCCACATGCCACATGCCACATGCCACATGCAGCATGCCACATGCCACATGCCACATGCCATATGCCACATGCCACCTTAGTTGCTAGCGTTTGAACGCTAGCGTTTGAAAAGCTGGCGTTTGAACGCTAAAGGCTCAGCAGCATGTCTGTGAACGCTAGGCAAACGCTTGCCCGGGCAGGGGTAAAATTTTCCTGTGGGGGAGGGGGGAAACATGGGGGTTCTGCCAGCAAGCAATTTGGCTCCAAAAGAAGGTGTTGAATGCTAAGTAGGAAAAATGGCTACGTCTATGGCGCGCGGCAGTTAGGGGTAAGCGGTTTTGACGGGGGAGGGGATTGCGAACTTGCGTGGATTTTTCTCTCTATGAGATGTGACGAGGAGGGGTTGGACGTTCTAGTTGATGATGTGTGGAGTGCGGTTGAGGGGGGGGGGGTTTGTTGGGAGGTGAATTTTGACGACTTGGTTTGGAGTTGGGACTTGGCAAATGTCGTGCTGAAATTGCCAAGTCTCAATTTCGCGGTAAAACATTTCACGTTTTTTTCGGAGGGGCAGCCCGGAAAATTTCCCAGCGAGCATTTGCGTTCGAACGCTAAACGCGCGTCTGCCAGAGCGTTTGTAGCAACTAAATGCCACACACCACATGCAGCATGCCACATGCCACATGCCACATGCCACATGCCACATGCAGCATGCCACATGCCACATGCCACATGCCACATGCCACATGCCTCATGCCACATGCCACATGCCACGTGCCACGTGCCACACGCCACATGCCATGCCACATGCCATGCCACATGCCACGTGCCACATGCCACACAGCACACCGAACACAGCAGATGGCACGCGCATCCCCACCCACGTGTACAGCAGTCGGAAGCAGATACTCCCGAGGTCCCGTCGGCTCCTCCCCCCCCCCACGGCGCTGAGGTCGCTGAATCGCGCCGCCAGCCGCAGGTCAAACTCCCTCGCCTCCCCCGCAGTCAGCTCGCCCAGCGCCACGGTCTGCACACCCATCAGCCTGTCCGCCTTGGCCTGTGGTGGGCGTTTTGGTAGGGAGTGAAAGGAAGGAGGGAAGGGCGTGACTGCTGAGTTGACTGAAACCCTCTCGCCTCCCCACTGCTACTACCCACTGAGTGCCACCACCTGCACGACCATCAGCCAGACCAGCTGGGCCTGTGACAAGGGGATGGGTGGGGAAGGGGTGCAGGGAGCAGGAGGGAGCAGAAGGGAGTAGCGGAGAAATGGAGGGAGGGAGGTGGGGAAGCAAAGAGAGGAGTGAAGGAACTAGCCTAGAGGAGAAAGAATTGATTGAGTAGGGAGCCAAGAGGCTCTATTGTACAAACAAGGAGCAAGGAAGAGATGGAAGGGAAGGTCTCCTATTGGCCATAATGTAGACCAATGAGAGAGGTAGCTTGGAGGACAAGCAACCACACAGTGTGGTGCTCTCCTATTAGTCAAAATGTTGACAAATGGGAGAGGTTGCTTGGAAGGTAAGCAACCACAAAGTGTGGTGCTTGGTGATTGGTTGGTTCTTAGGACCAAGGACCATTTGGTTGGAATAATGCCAACCAAATGTCTAGGACCAAATCCAATCTTGACCAACCCAAATGTGGGGTTGGTCAACCCAACCAACAACCCCCCAATAAATATAATGACTACACCTTCTAATCTAGGCATGCATGTTGTATAGATATATATTTTACAACAACGAGGAGGTGAATGGTGAGGCACATGCAGAAGCAGGATGGGAGAAGTGACAGGGGGAGGGACCGCATGTGCAGGAGACGCGAGGAGATGCTGAAACGGGCTTAGGATTTGGGGCAATCACGCAACACCCGTGTCGCTCGCAGGTCTCAATGACACAATGCCTCACTTGTCAGAGGCTTCAATCGCCCATATCAAACCCCTCACCGTGTTCTTGTCAAACACTTCGATGTGCAGCTTCTGGGTGGCAGGATCGAGCACTTTGAGCCTGAGCTCCTCCTCGCCCCAATCGGGGTTGAGCTCATTGTCCCTCACACTCGTCACGCGGCTGCCCAGGCTGCTGGACAGGCAGCAGTGCACGTACGGGTCGCTGGTGCCCACCAGCCCCAGGTTGCGCAGGTTGCTGGCGCGCAAGGCACTGATGGTCAGCCACCCCACGGCCACCCTGGGGAGACGGAGGCGCGCACGGGAGGGGGGAGGGCAGGGGCGCAGTGAGGGGGAGCAGAGAAGAGATGGTCAGCCACCCCACGGCCACCATGGGGGAAAGGGGAGAGGCAAACACAATCACATACATTCGGAAGACCCTACCATAAAAAGACCGGCCCTTTCCACCGTTCATCTCCCCCAGTTCGCCAAAAATATTTGCCAAAACTATTCGCCAAAACGATTCACCAAAAGCATTCGCCAAAATCCTTTCGGCAAAAGCATTCGCCAAAAGAATGCGCAAAAAGGAATTTGCCAATATCTTGCAACAAAACCCATTCGCCAAAACCCATTCGCTAAAACGATTCGCCAAAACCCATTCGCCAAAACGATTTGCCAAAAGCATTTGCCAAAACCCATTCGGCAAAAGCATTCGCCACAAGCATTCACCAAAACGATTTGCCAAAAGCATTTGCCAATAGCATTCGCCGAAAGAATTCGCCACAAACCACTCCGCATGGTGGCAAACCACTGGGAAACCACTCAGTGTGGTGGTAAACCAGTGGGAAACCACTCAGCGAAATGGCAAACCAGTGGGAAACCACTAAGTCTGGTGGCAAACAAGTGGTCACTTGTATCCACTGTTCACTGGTGGACACCGTCCACCGTCCAACCGTCCACCGGTGGACGCGGTCCACAGTCCAATCCAACCGTCCACCGGTGGACCCCGTCCACCGTCCAATCCAAGCGTCCACCGGTGGACCCCGTCATTCGCCAAAACAATTCGTTGAAAGCATTCGCCTAAAGAAATCGCCAACAGCATTCGTCAAAAGCATTCGCCAAAAGAAATCGCCAAAAGCATTTGCCAAAAGCATTCGCCAGAAGCATTCACCAAAACGATTCGCCAAAACGATTCGCCAAAAGCACTCGCCAAGAAGCATTTGCCAAAAGCATTCGCCAAAAGCACTCGCCAAAAGCATTCGCCAAAACATTCGCCAAAATCATTAGCCAAAAGCATTCGCCGAAACGATTCGCCAAAACCCATTCGCCCAAAGCATTCGCCAAAAGCATTCGCCAAAAGCATTCACCAGGAGAATTCGCCAAAAGCATTCGCCAAAACGATTCGCCAAATGCATTCCGCCAAAAGCATTTGCCAAAACCCATTCGCCAAAATCATTCGCCAAAAGCATTGGCCAAGAGCACTTGCCAAAAGCACTTGCCAAAAGCACTCGCCAAAAGCATTCGCCAGAACGATTCGCCAAAAGCATTCGTCAAAAGCATTCGCCTGAACCCATTCGCCAAAACCATTCGCCAAAACGATTCGCCAAAAGCATTCACCAAAAGAATTCACCACAAACATTCGCCAGAAGAATTCACCAAAAGCATTCGCCGAAAGCATTGGTCAAAACCCATTCGCCAAAACGATTCGCCAGAAGCATTCGCCAAAACGATTTGCCAAAGCCATTCGCAAAATCATTCGCTGAAACCATTCGCCAAATCCATTTGCCAGAGCGATTCACCAAAACGATTCACCAAAAGCATTCGCCAACAGCATTCGCCAAAATCCATTCATCAAAACCCATTTGCCAAAAGCATTCACCAAAAGCGTTTGCCAAAAGCATTTGCCAGAAGAATTCACCACAAGCATTTGCCACAAGCATTCGCCAAAAGAAAAGCATTCGGCAAAACCCATTTGCAAAAAGTATTCGCCAAAACCATTCGCCAAAAGCATTCGCCAAAACGATTCACCAAAACCCATTCGTCAAAACGATTCGCCAAAAGCGTTCGCCAAAATAACTCGATAAAAGCATTCGCCAAAAGAATTTGTCAAAAGCATTCGCCAAAACGATTCGCCAATAACGTTTCGCAAAACCCATTGGCCAAAACCATTTGCCAAAGCGATTTGCCAAAATGATTCCCCAAAACCATTCGCCAAAACGAACCGCCAAAAGGATTCGCTAAAAGCATTCGCCAAAACCATTCGCCAAAAGCATTCGCCAAAGCAATTTGCCAAAACGATCCGCGCCCAAAACGATATGCCAAAAAACGATTCACAAAACCCATTCGCCAAAAGCGTTCGCCAAAACGATTTGCCAGATTCATTCGCCAAAAACCATGCACCAAAATCGATTCGCCAATGATATTCGCCAAAACGATTCGCCAAAAGCATCGCCAAAAGCAATCTCCAAAAGAATTCGGTAAAACTGTTTGCCAAAACTATTCACCAAAAGCATTTGCCAAAAGCATTCGCCATAAGCATTCGCCATAAGCACTCCCCATAAGCAATCCCCATAACCACTCCCCATAACCATTTGCCATAAACATTCGCCCTCACCATTTGCCATCATCGTACTTTTTCCATAACCATTCGCCATAACTTTTTCCATGGGCATTTCCGCCCATCGTTTATCTCCCACCATCGATTCCGCAAAGGAAGCAGCTCTACCCACAAAGTAGGTCAAGCCACCCACCTTGGAGTCGGCTCCACCTCCACTCATGTCTCCAGTGCTGCCACCAGTGCTGCCACCAGTGCTGCCACCAGCGCTGCCGCCAGTGGTGGATCTGAGTGCACCCCCCCCATTCATAATCTCACTGCACTGAACCACCTTGGAAGCAAGCACCACTCACTTGGGCTCCTCGTGGTACAGCTCAATTGTCTTGGGCCACAGGTACAGGTCCGCTATGGTGTCAGATATCAGGTTCTGGTCGGTGGGATGGGGATGGGTATAGGGATGGGGATGGGTATAGGGATGGGGATGGGATGGGGAGCGAATGGGGCAGGTAAGAAAAGGGAGTTATGGACGTCATGGATGGCCATGACGCACAGGGCCTGACATAGCATGACATAGTACGGCATAGTATGGCATAGTATGGCATAGAAGAATGACATAGCACAGCATAGCATGGCGTTGAAACTGAACGCAAGGCCATCTATGTAAGGGGCACGACACATGGGGCAGGAACCTGCGCGAGGTAGCAGAGGCCAGGGAAGGCCATGATGTCAACAGCATGATGAGAGGGTGAGATGTGATGTGCAAGGGGCATGCAGGGTAGCACGAGTCACGAGCAGAGCACCTGCGCGAGGTTGCAGAGGCCGGGGATGGCCATGACGTCGAGCCCTAGCAAGCGCAGGGCGAAGTCCACATGGGGCTGATGCCGCGCATGGGGGCAGTGGGGGGTTAGAGGGGGTAGGGGGCGACGCAGTGGGGAGAGGGAATAGGGGGAGAAGCAGTAGGCAGGCGGGCAGACAAGAGCACGGCTCGAGTGGGTCTGAATGGGAGAGGAGCAGCAGCACTGTGTACGTAGAGGATACGGACGGGCCGTGTGACCACTCACTGTGTATGTAAGGGATACGGGCAGCGTTAGCACTCGCGATGTGCATGAGACAAGTCTCTCACCTGCCTATGAGTGCACGCACACAGCAACGGCCGTAGCTAACCTTGTCCATGAGTGCGAGGGTGATGCGGGAGAAGCAGGGGAAGACGGGCACGAGGGGCTTCACAGTGATGCGCACCACCGCCCTCACATGCAGGTCCGTGAGCTGCAGAGAGACGTCAGGGCATGGCAGACATGCACGAGGGCATGGGAGACAGTCATGAGAGCAGGGGGACAAACGAGAGCAGGGGGGCACACAAGAGCAGGGGGGCACACAAGAGCAGGGGGGCACACAAGAGCAGGGGGGCACACAAGAGCAGGGGGGCACACGAGAGCAGGGGGGCACACAAGAGCAGGGGGGCACACGAGAGCAGGGGGGCACACGGGAGCAGGGGGGATGGGGGATGGGGAATCCTTTCCCATGGGTAGTTGGCGGACTTGGGTAGTTGGCGGAATTGGGTCGTTGGCGGACTTGGGTAGTTGGCGGACTTGGGTAGTTGGCGGACTTGGGTAGTTGGCCGACTTGGGTAGCTGGCGGACTTGGGTAGTTGGCGGATGAGACGTGCACGTGATATCACTTACATTTGCTGTGTATCATGCGCAGACATGAGAGGGGTGGAGAGGGAAGCATGTGAGGACAGGGGCGGGGAGAATGTGAGGGGTGGTGCAGGGAGCAGCAAGTGGACCTGGAGGGAGCAGCGAGTGGACATGGAGGGAGCAGCGAGTGGACATGGAGGGAGCAGCGAGTGGACATGGAGGGAGCAGCGAGTGGACCTGGAGGGAGCAGCGAGGGGACATGGAGGGAGCAGCGAGTGGACCTGGAGGGAGCAGCGAGTGGACCTGGAGGGAGCAGCGAGTGGACATGGAGGGAGCAGCGAGGGGACATGGAGGGAGCAGCGAGTGGAGCTGGAGGGAGCAGCGAGTGGACATGGAGGGAGCAGCGGGTGGACATGGAGGGAGCAGCGAGTGGACCTGGAGGGAGCAGCGAGTGGACCTGGAGGGAGCAGGAGAAGCCGTGCAGGGTGGCAGTGACAGCGATGTTGTTGTTGGCGGCCCACCGCATGACCGGCTGGATGATCACCTCGTCGTCATGCGTGTCCAGGGACTTGATGGCTGCACGGTTAGGGCGCAGGGGATGGCACGGGATGTGTGACAAGATTGGAACGCGGGATGGCATGGCATGGGATGTGTGACAAGATTGGAACGTGGGATGGCATGGGATGTGTGACAAGATTGGAACGTGGGATGGCATGGGATGTGTGACAAGATTGGAACGGCATGGGATGCGCAGTGGGAATGGGGAGAGTTGACAAGAGCGGATGAGCGTCATGTCTGGAGGCTGAGGAAGGTGAGCCGAAGAAAGTGACCCGTGCCCGTGGGCTGTGGAAGCACCCCAGGAAGGAGCGATTTGGTTTACAAAAGGGCAATTTTCTCAGGGGGATATGATGTGACGGGGGATATGAGTTGACCAGGGATATGAGGATGGGGGGTATGAGGTGATGAGGGATGTGAGGTGACCGGGGGATGTGAGGTGACGGGGGGATAGGAGGTGGCAGGAGATACGAGGTGCTGGGGGATATGGGGTGACGGGGGATATGGGGTGACGGGGGATATGGGCGTTGCTGGGCTGGGGGGGGGCTCACCAATAATAGCCGGGGGCAGGGAGCCGAGGGAGAAGTGGGAGAAGGAGAGAGAGTGCAGGAAGGCAGGCTTGTAGTTGTTGAGCAGCGGAGTGAAGTCCCTCTGCACCGCCTCTGACACCGCCTGGTGGCAGAGGGGAGAAGTGGAGTAGCAGGGATGGGAGCGCAGAGGCAGTGATGACAACGGAATGTGTGATGCAAGAGGGCACTTACAAGGCACCATGCAGACGACAGAAACAAAGGCGCAGGGCATACCTTGTTGATGCAGGGCCACATCTCGGCCACTATTCTGTTGAGCCAGTCAACCTGCCGTGAGAGCAAGCAGGAGGAGTGAAACGAGGGCAAGGTTCGTATGCCAGAAACATCGAGTGATGGGATTTACAACACATGGTGGACGTAAGGAATGGTGCACCCTCAATGCCCCCTCAATGCCCCCTCAATGCCCCCTCAATGCCCCCTCAATGCCCCCTCAGTGCCCCCTCAATGCCCCCTCAATGCCCCCTCAATGCCCCCTCAATGCCCCCTCAGTGCCCCCTCAATGCCCCCTCAATGCCCCCTCAATGCCCCCTCAGTGCCCCCTCAATGCCCCCTCAATGCCCCCTCAATGCCCCCTCAATGCCCCCTCAATGCCCCCTCAATGCCCCCTCAGTGCCCCCTCAATGCCCCCTCAACCACTGCCCCTCGTCTCACCCGCTCATAGTCCGGGTTGCTGACCCATGGCGGCAGGTGCACGAAGAACCTTCTCAGCGCCTTCTCGTCCAGTCCCTCCGTTGGCGCCGCCCGCTGCTCCGCCTCCTGCCTCCGCGCACAGGGGGGTTGAAGGGGGGACGGGGGGGGGGAGGGCGGAAGGAGGGGACGGAGAGACAGGCACATTGAAGGCGAGAGACGCGCATTGACGGAAAGAGACGCAGATTGACGGCGGGACGGGACATTGACGGCGAGACGGGTACCTTGACTGACGGCGAGACGGGTACCTTGACTGACGGCGAGACGGGTACCTTGACGGTGAGCGGCAGCGGGTAGATGAGGACGAGGTAGGCGGCGGTGAGCCCCGCGAGGAGGCCCGAGAGGAAGACGAGCGCCGTGAGCGCGTAGCCCACCAGCTCCAGCGACGCCACGAAGCCCACCACGCCCGCCGGCACGCGCAGTAGCAGCGAGAGCACCGACATGCCGACTGTCAGGGCACGCGCGGCTTGCAGCGATCATGGGACGCGGGGTTTGCGGCGCATCAGCCGCTAGTCGCCATCGCGCATTCGACGCTAGCCAACGAGACGCTGATAAGGAATCGAAGCTTCGGCGCTGCAGCGAGGAGAGAGAGCAGCTACGGTAGCAGTCTGCGGTACCGCCGCGAACCGAGGCCGTGGAGCGTGTTGCAGTGCAATGCGGTGCTGTCCTAGAAAGCAGCCGTTGATGTACTTACGAAATCGCATCCTACTAAATCGTATTGTATGCGGTGCAGCCGCGCCTTACGAGAAAGCATCCAGTCGCATGCCGCTTTCAGCGTGTCCAGTCACTACACCCCCCGCTTGTGACCAGCGGCGCAAGCATACTCGGTATCGTCGGCTCTTCTAAAGATTCGAGCGGCACCGTTACCCCATTTCTCCAATAATTCTCTCACCCCGTTGCTCTCACTAAAACAATCAAAGCGCCACAAGAAGCCTAGTTAATTTCCAAGTGAACACCAGGCGCGGTGTTATCTTTCCAGTGCCTTCACAGGACCCGCCAGTTGGCCAAAACAAGGGCGGCAGACTGACGTAGCGGGTACCTAATCAAACAAGCAAGGATTAGTCAACATCTCATTCCGCCTTCTCCAAGCCGCAACAGCGCTTAGGGCACTGCTGTCCTGACCTTAGCACTGAAAAATTCGTAGCTAGCAGCTGGCCAGTAGCTAGGAGGCGATCAGCAGGAGGTAGTCAATACAGCTAGCAGGCAGGCAGCAGCAGGCAGACAGCAGCAGAGAGCAGGGTCAGTAGGGCCGGTAGCGCAGGTCGCCCCTGGACGCGCCCCTGTCAGACGGCATGGTCCCCGGTGGGCCTGCCAGGTCACCATATGCTGCACTGCCGTACTGCTGCAGCGGGCACCACATGCCATCATACCATGCAGGGGGGGCAGTGGGGCGGACAGAGGGGCATGCCACAGCACAGCACAGCACAGCACAGCACAGCACAGCACATCCACGAAGAAGGGTGTTGTTAGGAACCAGAAACGTGCTTCACTTTGAATTGAAAAGAAGGTACTGGCACGCAAGGATAGGTGACAGCAGCAGAGGGGGTCCCCTGGCACTCACCGGTGCTTGCCCGTACTCAGCGCCGGGAGCGGGCGCCTGGCCGTACACCTGCTGCGCTGCTGCCAGGTAGTAGCCCTGTGCTGCTGCTGCTCCCCCCGGGCTCCTGGGGCCTGAGCTGCCTCCCAGGGAGGGGTCAGAGGGGCCAGAGGCATAGGCGGAGGGCAGGTAGGAGGCGGAGGCAGGGGCGGGGGGGGGGCGCCCTCCTGCGGTGTTGCCCGTTCTACTGCCACCTGGGGTGACACAGGCAAAGAGGCAGGAGGGAGAGGCATGAGGAAGACAGACACAGAGGACAAAGACAGCTGCAGAAAGAACCAACGTCAGGGGCATGAACGGATGGGAAAAGTCAGCTTGTGACCAACTAAATAATCCATGGAAACGGAATGGGCAGGTTATGCACACGGGCAGACAGGCATGACGCGGCGGCATTGAGAAAGAGGGCGAGGGGGGTGGAAGCGGAGAGGCACTGACCGGCCTGCCGCAGATCTCATGCGGCCTCTTGGCCACGAAGGCTGCCACCTCCTCCTCCAGAAAAGTCACGAAGCAGAAGCCCCTGTGCCCGCCCTTGGCCGAGTCCTGCCACCCACGCAGCACACACCACCACAGAGTTAGCACATCATCCATCACCCGCAGCACATCAGAGTCGGCTCAACTCAACGGCAACCCTTTCCCCAGATAGATCAGAGGCACCGTGGCAGAGCGCAGCGCAAGCCAGCACAACACGTCAGCATGAGCCGCACTCAGACAAGCACCCTCACGACCAGCCAACACACACCCCATGGCACGGCGCGGCTCTACCTTGGGCAGGTACACGTCCTCCACGGGGCCGAATCGCGAGAAGTAGTCCCGAATCTCCCCCACCGTGGCGTCGTGCGCCAGCTTCCCCACAAATATCTTCGTCGGGTGAACCGCCCTGCTCCCCCCCGCCCCGCCCGCCCCCTGCCCGCCCGCCGCCCCATAACCCTGCGACGGCACAGCTGGCGGGGGAGGGGCAGCGTACGCAGCTGCTTCCCTGGCGCCGCCGTAGAGCATGGCGGGGGGGTACGATGGGTACGCGGCTGCGAAGGCGGCCATTGGGGACATGAAGTCGTAGGGTGACATGGGCAGGGGCATGGCAGCAGGGGGGTATGCGCGGAAGGGGCGGGCAGGTGCCCCGCGGTATCCGCCGCCACCACCGCCTCTTGGACCCTCGTCCTGGGATGGGACACCGTGGAGAAGAACACAATCAGTGCTGGCTGCAGGCAGGGTGAAGTGAAAGAGCTAATCAAGAAACTGGAGGCTCCTTGGCTAGTGCTTGAGTGCATTGTGGCAACGATGCAGCATGCATGAGGCGATGGTTGGGTCGCTGGCAGCGTGAAGCCCAGAGATGGTACCTTGGGCGTGGCTCTGTCAATGGCGAGCGTGGCTCCCTCCATCTCGCGAGGCTCTTCCAGGACCTTATCCACAGATGCTGTAACAAGTGGCACACACGCGCAGCGTGAGCGGGAAATAAAAGTGGCAATGGCGCTTACTATTCAGATAGTAATAAAGCAAAGTGTACATGCCTGAATCTTCGAAAGTCACAAAGCCAATGTTGCGATGGGGGTTAGATCCGTGGCCCTGGAAAGAATGAATAGAAAGGTAAACATTGAGCACCAGGGTAAATCCAACTGCAATCAAGATGATGAAAATACAGCGATAAGCCAGCCAAGAAGAAGCTTGAGGCGCACAAACCTTGGGCATGTAGCAATCAGTGACTGTGCCAAACGTTCCGAAATATCTGCAGAAGAGATTAAGGCATGAAACCGGCCACAGGCGTTAAATAACCTACAGGAGTCGGCGGGGCCAGCGCTACAGGAGAGAGTCGAGCGAAAAATGCAACGTCTGTCAAGAGGTTACCTCTTGAATCTATCTTCGGTGACTGTGGTTGGGACGCGGGCAACGAAGATGCGCGTGGAGGACTGCTTGGGGCCCTTGGACATCTCCTCCTGCCACCACACGGAACGCAATGCTGTCAGCGAGTCACTCGCGAGGTCAACCCCCAACGCGAGTGCTGCTTTTCGACTGCCTCGAATTGGCTGGAGAGGCAACGAGCTCAACAGTGAACGAGAGGCACGGTGGCCCGCCCTTGACGTGGTGGTTGGTTGCTCTTGACGCGGACGGACGGACGGACCTTGGGAGTGGCGGTCTTGACTTCCAGCTGCCGGCCTCCCAGGGTGTGCTTCATCTGAGCCACGCTCTGATCAGATCGCAAGCAACAGCAATACGCCATCACCACGCACAGGGCCGGGATCAGATCAGCATGCACAGGGTAGGATCAGATCAGCATGCACCAACCAAAGGCGGTCGGATCCAACGTGCTCCAATCGAGTCCGACAACAGCAACGCCGTGCTGAGCGTGCAGTGCCGTGCTGAGCATGCAATGCCGCGCTGAGCGTGCAGTGCCGTGCTGAGCATGCAATGCCGCGCTGAGCGTGCAGTGTCGTGCTGAACATGCAATGCCGTGCTGAGCATGCAATGCTGCTCACCTGCGCGTCCGCGAGAAGACTAAACGTCACGTAGCCGAACCCTCGAGACCGACCAGTGCTCCGATCCTGCACCAATGCATGTGCCGTTAAGCTATCACTAACTCTTGAGGCATGCTGTAAAAACATAACAGAATAAAACTTTCCAAAATCTCGTGAGAAATACCTTGAGCACGATGACGTCATCGAGGGCTCCGAACTTCTCCATGTATTCGCGGAGGCCCTCCGTGTCCATGCTGTAGGGGATGCCCAGCACCTGCAGCCATCACAGATGCGTGTGAGATATACCCTAACCAGTTCCCACACGGATCATGAGCGGAGGTCGATCTAGGGACTTACGACGAGCTTCCTTGACACGGCTTCTGACGAGGCCATTTTCGCTAGCCGCTTGCTCAACGAGTGACGGAAAAAATCCCTTGTAACGAGGATACGCTCTCAAGCGAGGCTCAGCTCGGATCAGACGTCGCGATCTGCTCAGCTAAGCTCTCCTCGTCCTCTTCTCCGCTCAGCCTCTCCGCTCGGCTCCCTTCACTTCCTGCTCGCCTCTGCTCGCCTCTTATCTCGCGTCCGCGGTCACTGCACTCCTCTCCGCTCTCCTCACGCGACTCCTCAACACTCTCGCCTTGCCTGCAAAAAAGGGATCCCATAGCTTCTGTCAAGATACCCGACATTACAACCGAAAAAAATTCTCACAACAGACACGTCATACTTTCCAGCGGAGACGGAAAAGCACGGAGGCCTCACAACTCAAGAAGATCGGCTCAGCCTCGCGGGTTCCCTTCCCTTCGCTCAGAAAACGCTACCCTTTAAAGAATTGGTGGCAGTCTCGCCGTAACACACAGACGTCTTCTCGTCAGGCCAAATAACGGCGTGAAACGCGGAAGTCACGGAGGCTTGAAGGGAATGGTCTTGGGTTCCAAGATAACCTGGAGAATGGTTTGCCAGGAGCCAAGATAATTTGGGAATTAAGAGAGGATGGTACAGTGGTCGGCGACCAGTACAAGTGTATAACTGAACTGTAAACGTACAAAAATCTTCTCTACCAAATGTTTGGATAACATATGATAACATATGGAGTTTCCTTCTTCAAAATATCCCAATTCAACGCAAGCAAATTTCTATCTCTTCCTTATCACATTCCTGAATCATCCCTGAATCATTCTTCATACTTTGCTCAAACTCCAAACATTGCTACATCAATCTACACTTTTCAAGCATAAAAAGGCTTTTGTAAGACTTGCTAAATGCATCAATACAATAGAATAAGGGAAAGCAATTAACAAATTTTTGTAGTGGCAACCTGAGTTGCACACCATACTCCTACCCTGCTTTACCCTGGAAGGTTTCAATCATGCTCAACACCCCATCTCCGCATGCATCTGTGTCATTCCCCGCACTGGACGGCAAATCACCGCCATCATTTATATGAAATCTGAATCGTTTCCACGTCCACTCAGTGGGCGCATCAGCACTCCTGGACTTCTCAGTGAACTCCACCAGCCCCGTGCGGTGCACTGCCACCACTATGCAGCTGCGCGTTCCGTACGCTCCCTGTTGTGCTCAGGACGGGTTATTGAGACGAGGAGGAAATCAAGAGAGGGGTAACAGGAGAAGAAATAAGGCTAATGACCAGCTTATTGGTGTTAGACGCAAAGTAACGTGTAACAGATGAAATGGTTGAGGCGAAAACAGGGGCTGCAGCGCACCTTGGGAGTGTCACAGTTGACAAAGACAGGGGTCAGCCTCTGGTCGTACTCCGGCCCCATGGGGCAGTGCTCTGCCTCGTCCACGTCAGCACTGGTGTGTGGGTGCACAGGTTGCCACGCGTCCATGAGCACTCTCTCCATAATCACATCCGCTGACACCTCCCCTCCCCCACTCTCCGCCACCACCTCGGCTAAGTGCGCCTTGGCTCGCTCCACCTGCCAGGGGAGGTGTTCGGTTAGGAGTGGGGGTAAATGACATGAGAAAAAAAGAGAGACAAGCTCCACCTCATTCTTTTTTCTCTGCTACTTCACACCTCTTCTCTCTCCCTTTAAAGCCAGCGTCTCATAATTCCGGAAACTTTCCAAGCGTTAAACGCTTGGTACCAGGTTACACGGCCGAAACTAGGAGGAGAGGTTAGGGAAAGCCCGTGAGAGGGTGGAAGCAACCAGGGGCGAAAGCGAGTGTAAAATCAGGGGCACCACGGTTCCGTGAAATACGAGACTGCTCAGAACCTGGGAAGTAGCGCGCAACTGGTACTGTGGGCCGTTAGATCTGTCCCAATTTCAGATCTGACGGTCAGCTCCCTAGGCAGTTGAATCGACGGTTGGTAGCGAAGTAGAAAGTGAGAGCAAAAAAATTGGATTGTCGGCTGTTGGATTTCCTAAGTGTGACTGGCTTGGTGCGGAAAACCAAAGCCGGGCCAACTTTGCCTGAACCAGGATTTCGGTTTGGGAAGTTTGTCGAAACAAAAGGGCCTTGCTACCTGCGTTTCGTTTTCACCAATTCTTCAGCACCTCGCCGTGTCTTCCCCAACCAAGTGTTAAATAGTTGGAATTATGAGACCCTGGCTTTAAATCGACCCAATCTCTGATATCTTACTTTGCTCCACGGAGTGTCAAGAGCCGCATTGCTCAGCCCGTGCAGCCCTGGCTCCACTCGCACCACGCCACTCGCCTCCCCTTGCCCACTCTCCCCGCCGCCATCCGCGCCACTGCTGGAGCTCCTGTTGTGTGGCGCGGCGTTTGTCAGGTAGTACATGCGCACGCGAGCAGAGGAGCTCTCACTCTCTCCTGCGCCCTCTGCGTCCCTCTCACTCTCCCCACCGCCCTTCTCCTCCGCTCCTGCCGCATCCTCGCTGCGGCTGCTCCCCCTTTCGCGTGCCACGTCAGCAGCGACGAGGTTGAATCCGTTGAAGCGGTGAGCGCGCCGAGCCACCGACTCCAGGTACTCCCGCGGGCCCTCTGCGCCCTCTGCGCCCTGCTTCCACGCCGCATTGCGCGTGCATGGAGTGGCGGAAACGGGCGAGGGAGCGAGGGGAGGGGATGGTGGGAAGGATGGTAGCAACAGGCCGATAAAGACACGAAAGAAGTTCCGATTTCAAATTCTCTGCTGTACGGTGAGAAAGGGAGCGGTTGGAAGGACGGCTCGTCAGCGTGTAGCGGTTGTGGAGTACAAGGCTCGTTACTGCCGCACGGCCGCGGGGCTCACCTGCAGGAAGTCGGTGATGAGAGCGCCGCGGCTGATAGCGTCGGCGCGGTTGCCGACGGCCCAGCAGTTGGAGAGGAACGCGAGTCGCCCGCCCGTGCTGGCGCCCAGCCACGTGCCGCCGCACAGAAGGTCGCGCCCCGCCAGCACGCGCGGATCGTCGCGCCAATAGTGCGCGGGGTCCGTGGGCCTGGCGGCGGGGGGGGGGGGGGAGGGGGGAACGGGGGGCGGGGGCATCCCAAAGATTTGAGGGCCTTCGAAGGCCTCGTACATAGTTCATACAGGTTCTGCGACTTACTATATGGTAAGTAGCAGAACCTGTATAAACATTGTATACGGACCAACACTTTTTGGGATGGAGGAAGGGGAGGGAGGTAGGGGAGGGGTGGTGGGTGGAAGGAAAAAAGAGAGAGCGAGAAACAAGAAGGCACTCGCGAGGGCAGTCGGGGGGGCAGATGCGCCGCCACGGAGGTCGGGCAAGGCGACAGAGGTATGAGGCAACGGGCGACAGTGGACGACGGCGGCGAGGGGAGAATGCGGCGCACCTGGCGAGGAGCTCGTCGCGGTTGGACGCGAGGAGCAGCGCGTAGAGCGGATGGCCGTCCAGCACCCACACCGACAGACACATGTCGGCCACTGGCGAGTAATAGCGCGTGGGCGTACCGGCTACTCGTGCAGGAGTGACTCAAAATGCCTCGCGATGGTTGGTTGCTCCTCAGTGCGCACTAGGTTGAAAGTCGACAAATAATCGCGGCGAAGCAGAACTATTTCCCACCACTTGTGGAGTCGCTAAAGAGTGGACAAGCTAATGGACTCGAGAATGCTCTGGTGCTGCCAAACAAGAACGAGGAATGACAGCGTGGACCAGGTGTGGCCTGCTCTTATGATTGTGTCTGCTCTGCTCCGCTCTGCTTAGCTCTGCTCCGCTCTGCTTTGCTTCACTCACTGGAGAATGGCGGGGGCCGTGGGTGGGGCGGGGATGGAAGTCCACATCGACCAACAAACCTGTGAGTGCGACGCTGGGCGACTGTGCGACCTGACATTCGCGCCGCAATGCGATGCAACACGTAAACACGTCATTCTGAGTCAGTGGGGACTTCTATTCCTCGCAAGTGCACAATGCATTTCGGTGATCGTGGCTGCCAGCTAAAATGCCTAATTACTAGCGCATTTGCAGACATGCATTACCAATATGATCTATTTACAATTTCAGTAGGAAACCAATGGGCTTTGGATAAGCCTAGTCGCTGAGAGAGAGAGAGAGAAAAACAGTAGGCGCCTTCATGGGGCAACGCTCAACCGTTTGTACTTGGGGAAATTTTTTAGACGTCATTATCAGAAAGAAAATGATTGAACTAGAATGTGTGTGTACAAGGATATATAGACTAAGGTGGTGTACCCTCTAAGGCACAATCTAGTATAGTCTACAGTAACAACCTAAGTTACATTTGACACACCCCCTAGACTATATAGGGGCAGTGCCTACCAAGGGAAGAAGCAGCTCAGGGCGGCACTACTAGTCCAGCCTCTGAGACAAGGGTCTAAAGACCAGTCAAAAGGAGTACAGACAAGGCAAGAGCAAGCCCAGGGCGGCTCTACTAGTCCAGCCACTGGGAGAGGCCACAAGGCCAGTCTCGGTAAAATATATATATAAAGGACAGTACAAAGTCAAGGCCCTAGCAAGTGAGAGGCTACAGGAACGAGACCCAACTGTACACAGTGCCGCTGATGATCTTTAGGCGCAAGCGCCTTCGTAAAGATATCAGCTGTATTGGCACCGGAGGCCAAGTGTACTACGCGCGCCTGGCGACGCTGCTGCACCTCACGCAGGAGGAAGTACCGCAGCAGAATGTGCTTCGCTCTGCCCTCGAGTCGAGGCTCCTGACACAAGAGGATCATGGCCCTGTTGTCAGCGTACAGGACCGGGGCAGAGCTAGGCCGCTCACCTAAGTCTGTGAGCAAGAAGGTCAGCCAGCGGAGCTCCTGTGCCGCAATGGCACCGGCGTAGATCTCGGCCTCACAGCTGGACTCGGCAACAGACGAGGAGCGGGTAGCTCTCCACGAGACGGCACCTGAACCAAGGCTGAAGCAGTAGCCCTATGAGGACCTAAGGGTCTCGGCGTCGTCTGCCTAAGAAGCGTCTGTGTGTCCAGTAAGGACCACTGGCCTACGTCCTCCTAGCACTAACCCCATGCCCGGTGTACTTGCAAGATAACACAAAACCCTCTTAGCGGCAGACCAGTGCTGAGGTCGGTGTCTGCCTGTAGCCACAAAGCGAGCTAGGATGCTGATAGGGTATGCGAGATCAGGGCGCGTGCAAGTCATCAGGTACATGAGGCAACCCACCAGCTCTGCGTAAGGACCACTGGGCTCTGCTGACTCCTCAGGAACTGGAGCGGAGAGCCTGTGCTCTAGAGGCAGAGGAGTGGGCTGTGCGGAGGAGAACTGAAGGCCGAACCTCTGAAGGACCTGACGCACCAAGTGTGACTGAGTCAAAGTGATGGTGCGGGCTGCTCTGTCCCTGGAGATCTGCAAGCCAAGGTAGTGGCGCAGTTCTCCAAGGTCAGTGCAGGTGTGTCTCTTCAGCAGCTCTGCCTTCACAGAGGCCACTGCGTCCCTGTCTGCCGTGGCGAAGACCAGGTCGTCTACGTAAACAAGGATGTAGAACGGAGTCTGGCCAGCTCGAACGAAGAGCGAGGGGTCTGCAGAGGACGGAAAGAACTGCATGTCAGCAAGCGTAGCACGCAGCGTGTCGTGCCACTCACGGGGAGCCTGGCGCAGGCCGTAGACGGGGCGCCGCAGGAGCCACTGGGTCCCAAGAGGGAAGGTGCCAGTGAAGCCCTGAGGGCGGCGCAGGTAAACCTGCTCATGTAGACTGCCCTGAAGAAACGCAGTGGAGAAGTCGAGGAAGTGAAGCTCGTAATCACGCTGAGCAGCTAGGTGTAACAGAACTCAAAGAGTAGTCATCTTCGGGGTCGGAGCGAAGGTCTGGAAGAAGTCCACCCCCTCACACTGACTGAAACCTCTAGCCACGTAGCGCGCCTTGAACACATGCGGCTCTCTAGGAGGGCGCTTCACCTTGAAGAGCCAGTGGCCATCAACTACGTTCACCCCAGGTAGGGGAACTGCGTCGACGTAGGTGCCGGTGGATCTCCAAGATGCCATCTCCTGCTCCATGACAGCTATCCACGGAGAGGCCCAGGGTCCCGAGATCGCCTCAGCGTAAGTGCGAGGGGTCGGGATGTCGAAAGCGTCGGGGTCACCCTCAGGGACTAGACGCATGGAACAGAGATGGGGAGCAGCCTCGGACAGGAAAGCAAGCTCGTACTGGCGGTCCTCCAGGACGCCACTGCCGAGGGCAGGAGCACCCTCGACAGACGAGGGACAGGCAGGGTCGGAGACCAGAGTGGTGGCGTAGTCAAGGCGGCGGGTAGAGGCGAAGTCAGGGACCGCATCGACAAGGGCGTCAAGGCTCGAAACCGGAACAGACGGGTCGGTAACGAGAGAGGCAAGGACCCGAGGAACAAGAGGACGAGCGGCACGCAGGTAGTCAGACAGAGGGGGGGGAGCAACGACAAGGGAGGACGAAGGGGGCGACAGGAGAAGAGGTGGACGGGACGCGTGGGAACGAAGCAACATAGGGTGAGAGCACGAGACAGGGGAGACAGGTCGAGCACGGGAGGGACGGCGAGACCAGACGTGAGATGGGGGAGTCGGGTCAAGAGACAGAGGAGGGGACACAGAAGGGGAACGAGGGGGGAAACGGGCCGGAGACGCGTCCGGACGAGGGAACACAGGGCCGGAGATAGGAGGAGGAGGAGGCACGTGCACTCAACGAAGATGGCTGACACAACCATGCTGTGAGTCTAGGGGTGCATGGTCCAGTACTGCCCCAATCAGGCCACCACCGGCAAGTTCGAAAGGTGAGCCCACTTGGGGGTGCACCTCGGCATCTCTCACGAGTACTAAGCATGGATGATCTTGGACCTGGAAAACTCCAACATCGTACCCTCCAGAGACATCCTTTTGTACAAAGGACTCACTCTAAAGCAGTTCCAAGACGATCGATGCGCCAATCGACAAACAGCTTACGCACAAGGAGAACGCAGCTTCGCCTCTCCAGAAGACGAAGAAGCCGTTGATCGCATGGACCTGGACCCACCTGACGAATACCCAGGGGAGAACCCTTGCTTTGACGATGATGACGACGCAGACAACGCCCCTTTTGACCCCTCACATGACACACTACGATATGACGGAACTATCAGGACCCTTGCTGACTCACAACCCGGCGCCGACTCAGACGACGACGTGCAAGAAGTCATCGATGATGGCCACTGTAACATCAGATTCCCGCCCTTTCTCGTTCTCGCTCTTCATGCAGCAGTCCACAAGAGCCCCTCCATGATTGAGCCAAAGACATATCGACAGGCTCTCACCGGACCTCATCGCATCGAATGGCGCAAAGCCATGGATGCGAAAGTCGCCGCATTATGCTCCCCCGATACATGGGTCCTAGTCGACCGCGCAGCAGTGAAGGGAAGGAAGATTCTCTTAGGAAAGTGGGTCTACCGTGTCAAGACAGATGCACAAGGAACATGGAGCACCACAAGGCTCAATGGGTTGTACGAGGATATGACAAATGCCACGCATCGACTTCGACCTCACCTTCGCGCCTGCTAGTCGTCACATCTCCGTGCGCACACTGCTCGCCATCGCAGCATGCCGGCACCTCGAGCTTCGACAGCTCGATATAAAAAATGCATTTCTATATGCAAAGGTCGACGCTCTGATCTTCATCGAGCAACCTCACAGCTATGGCGACGGGGACCCGCGAGTCAGCCAACTGCAAAAATCCCTCTACAAGATCAAGCAGGCACCCCGTCTCTGGTAGCAGCATCTCCAAGGAAATCTGATGAAGATTGGCTTCCTCCAGCTACCCCATGACCCAGGGATGTACCGTCTCCACTTCCGCGGAGACTACATCCTCCTCACGATCTACGTCAATGACCTGCTCTACACCGGCACCAACCCCAACATGCTCGACCCAGTTCGAACGAAGCCTAGGGCAGCGTGTCGACATAACTACCTCCAAGACCATGACTCAATTCCTCGGCCTCAACATCTCCTACACACCAACGGCCATCCACCTATGCGCCTCAAATCATGCGGAGAATCTCGCCAAGAAATTCAACCTAACGCCAGCATCACTCTCCACACCTTACCGCACACCCGCCGCCGGCTACAAGCCCGACACCAAGACGCTCGCTCTTGCCGCTCACCAACTCTACCAGCAGCAGCTCAGATGCCTGCTGTTCGCTCCCATCACGTGCCGGGCCGACTTATTCTACATCGCCAGCCAACTCGCCCAGTACTCTCGGGGACCTGAGGGGGAGAATTTCCTACTCCTCTACTTCCTCTCGACTCCTCACATCGGCCTCACCTACTCCACCATCGCCACACCCACATTCCAACTCACCGGCTACATCAACGCAGACCACGCCACAGACCCCGCTAACCGCCGCCCTCGCACATGTTTCCTCTTCCGACTAGAACCAATTGGACCCATCTCCTTGAACTCATAGAAACAGGAGCAGATTGCTCTCTCCTCAACTGAAGCAGAGTACATCTCAGCAACCTCCGCTATTCGTGAAGGACTCTATCTCCAAGAACTGCTGCAGGAGGTAAAGCTTAGCGCTTCGCCAATCTTCAAGTTATACTGCGACAACCAGAGTGCAATCAAGATAGCCAACAAGCCCGGCTTCATCAATCGCACAAAGCACATCGCTCTGCGATATTTCTTCGTCAAAGACGAAATCGACAAGGGAAAAGTGGACCTAAAATGCTGTCCCACTGGTGACATGGCAGCTTACTTCCTCACCAAGAAGCTGTCACGTCAGCAGTACCTGCAGTGCGCCGAGCTCTATGGAATCTCGAAGCACGCCAAGCTCGAGCACCTTCAGCAGTGAAGGGGAGTGCTAGGATAAGGAATTTTTTACATTCATGAAAGCGAGACTCGAGCCGTAACCCTTGTCGGGTCCAAGCATATGGCGCGAAGCACGAAGTGCAACGGTTGTTGACCGTTGACCGACAGTCGAACCGATTGAAATCCAAGGGTCCGTCACGATAGCCAGGACACATAACCAACCCTGTAATACAGCTTGGAAGCTACCCGAGTCGTGTACAGTTACCCGAGTCGGATCTGAAACCTCATAGGGAATGTGCCCCTGTTACTGTAAGTGCATCTTAGTTAGACCCTTCGCATTCTCTTGTATCACTATATGAACCATGTATCCCTTTGCTATGACCAACACTGCTATGTTACATTCATTCTGACAGGGTTCATCGACCAATCAATCGCTTCCGCAAAACGTTAGGATAGGAAGGCTAGGAGGTATGAAAGGCCGCCATGATAATGGCGGCGGGGTTTAGCTAGGAGGTAGGCGAGAGTGTCGAGAGAAAAGAGAGTAGATTAGAAAGAGAGAGGAATACAAGGAGGGGATTGTACCCTCTACAATAGAGTTCGGTAATCTACCAAGCCTACCAATTATATAACACAATATATAATTTAACACACCTCCTAGGCTTGGTAGTCACAAGCCCACCCAACACACACACCCCCTAACCCCTTACACCCCCATGCTCGAGATCAGCCGGGTATCTACCCCTCGGGCTTGGCATGGTGACATCCCCCGGCGAGAGGCCCCGCGGGCAACGGCCATGGCTGAAGGCTCTTGGCGGTGTGGCACGGCGAGGCAACGACCGGGTAGAAGACAGCAGCTGCGGCAGGAGGAAGAGGAGACGCAGGGGAAGGGGTGGGGGGGGGGGGGGGGGGGGGAGGGGGGGCGGGGGGGGGGCGAATCTTCAGCGACGCGTCATGGGTGGCGCGACGCTTACTGGCGGGAGGGTGGGCGGGTGGCGGTTACGACGGCGTGCTGCCTGCTGCCGCGGCAGCATGACGACGCTGCCACAGCGCGGCGTTGATGCTGTGGCGGCACGTCGACGCTGCAACGGCAGCAAGGCGACGCTGCAACGGCAGCAAGGCGACGCTCCCACGGCGAGGAGTCGATGCCACCACGGCAGGGCGTCGATGATGCGACGGCTGCACGACGAAGCCGCCATGGTAGGTTGGCATGGCCGCCACAGCGGGAAGGCAGTGACGAGAGGAATGCGCGGCAAAAGCGACGGCACGACAGCGCGACGCCACGGCTGGACGTCGACGGTGCCGCCACGGCTGGACGTCGACGCCACGACAGCGCGACGCCACGGCAGCGCGTCGAGACGCCCGCGGCACGACGCGGCCAGTGGCACGACGACGCCGCCACAGCAGCACGATACGGGCGCCATGGCAGCGCGAGAGTGAGAGTAGGAGTGCGCGGCGGAAGCGTGAGGAGCAGGCCCGAAAAGGGCAACCTGCTCAGTTACCATGTTAAGATAGGAAGGCTAGGAGGTATGAAAGGCCGCCATGATAATGGCGGCGGGGTTTAGCTAGGAGGTAGGCGAGAGTGTCGAGAGAAAAGAGAGTAGATTAGAGAGAGAGAGAGAGAGGGATACAAGGAGGGGATTGTACCCTCTACAGTAGAGTTCGGTAACCTACCAAGCCTACCAAATATATAACACAATATGTAATTTAACACAAAATGCACTTCTGCAGTTCAATCCTGAAGATCCTACGGACGATCGCTTCACAACGCTCAAGCACTTGTACCACGAACCGTAGCATAGCCTACCCTCTACTTCGCCAACCCCCATTGTTGCCATTGCTACTGCTGGCGCTGTTTCTGCTGCTAAAACTGCTGCTGCCAGTCTGCTGCTCAGCTGTTCTGCTGCAGCTGCAGTCCTCCTTTGATGCGAAGCTTGACTTGGCAGTCAGTGCTTGCAGTCAGTGATCAGACGTCAGTGCGTGCTGGTAATCGCCTAGCAAATCAGAACCAGACCAACATGTTCCCCCAGCTTCGGATCAAATGGCTGCCCAAGAAATCTCGGTACAAGAATCAGAGTACCACACAGATTCCCAAAAGCTGAGCGCACATCACAAAATGTAGAATGTTTGGAATGTTATAAGGAAAATATAAGACGAATCCCACAAGCTGTGACTCATGCATTTTGAACCCGCTACAAGGTCATCATTTTGAAATTCAAACTTCGAAATCAATGAGGACACAGCTCCTCCGATCAGGCTCTACCCTCCGCCTTTTTTCATAAGATTGCATCCCGTCTGCTCTATTTGCGAGTTGCATGCGGGATCATCGTAGTCTTGTTCATTCAGAATCGGCTAGCTTGAACACTGCGTCGCCTAGATTACTCCGCTGTACCAGTTCGACAAGGTTGTCTTCTGGTAGACCGTCCAACCTTCTAGCTTTTTTGCGTGTTACCTTCCAGTTTCCCTCTAACCTCCTCGGAGTCTTGGGCCTCAGCTAGGCACGATGTTTGAGGCGCGTCTAGTTCAAGGAAGCGTATTGAAGAAGCTTCTCGATGCGATCAAAGACCTCGTCACCGATGCTAACTTCGACTGCTCCTCCACTGGCTTCTCGCTCCAAGCGATGGATTCCAGCCACGTGGCACTCGTTGCGCTACTCTTGCGAGCAGATGGGTTTGAACACTACAGATGCGACAGGTGAGGGAACGATTTGGACTCTTTTATCTTCGGTCTGTTGTAGCGTGAGGGAACGAAATGGATTCTCGTCTTTCGGTCTTAGGTAGCCTTTGCATCAACAATGACTGTAGCAGAAAGGGTGCACGAGCTGACATGAGCAACTGTTGTGCTGCAGAAACCTCACACTGGGAATGAATTTGGTGAACATGGCTAAGATGCTGAAATGTGCCGGCAATGATGACATCATCACAGTGAAGGCTGAAGACGACGGCGACACTGTCACCTTCATGTTCGAAAGCCCCAGTAAGATCCGTCGGTTTTTCAACAAACACCTCCTGGACCGGGCGTCTGTTCATCTACGCGCTTGATAGCTTATAATTTTCTCGGTTCCGGCTTCGTGATTTGTATTTGAAGGCCTGTTGGGTGGACTATTCTGTGCAATGCGATGGTGTGTTGATTACCAGAGCAGGACAAGATATCTGATTTCGAGATGAAGCTGATGGACATTGACAGCGAGCATCTCGGCATTCCCGACGAGGAGTACGATGCCAACATCAAGATGCCGGCAGGGGAGTTCCTCCGCATTTGCAAAGACCTCAGCTCCATTGGGGACACAGGTGAGGGATGAGCTGGTTGCGTTTTGGTCTGTGGGCCTGCGGATGCTGAGTCTGAAGATGTTCTTCTTTTGCCTTAGCTTCAACTCGTCCCGTTGACTGTCTATGCAATAACCTACCCTGTCATGCGCCAGTGATTATAAGTGTGACAAAGGAGGGGATCAAATTTGCAACCTCAGGCGACATTGGTAACGCCAATATAGTTTGCAGACAAAACCTGAGTGTGGATGAGGTGAGCAACTGCGACTGGGGGGTCCTTCATGCTTGATTTTATGTTTTTCTGTACTAACACTGTTTTGTGTCGCCTTTCTATTTTGCAGCCTGATGATGAAACCGTGATTGATATGAGAGAGCCCGTTTCACTTACATTTGCCTTGCGGTACCTGAATTCCTTCACCAAGGCAACAGCACTGTCTGGTGCTGTGAGACTAAGCATCTCCAAGGATCTTCCTATCGTTTGTGAATATGCAATCGCCGATATGGGCTATCTCCGCTTCTACCTAGCACCAAAGATTGAGGACGACGATGAGGGAACTTCATGAGGTGCGTTCACTATATCTGTCATCCATGATGTCTTGGGCTGGTGGTATCTGGTCACATTCTCAGGACGAAAGGGAGTGCTGGTGAGCATGGCAGGGGGGATATGCATGGCAGGGAAGGTCTGTATGGGAGGGATGGCATGTATGGGAGGGATGGTATACATGACGGGTGGTTGTGCTGCAAAGGGGGTTGTGCATGGGTGTGCATTCCAGGGCGATTGCATAGCAAGGTGGTGGATGGCAAGGAGGGTATGCATAGCAGGGGGGGTTGTGAAACAGAGCTTGTGTCAAGCCCTTGGCAATGTGGGCGTTGGTGATGCCTGCTGACTAGGGTTCTCATTCTTGTTTTATCTCTGACTTTGTTCCTTGATGTTTGCAGGACAACATATATCCATATATATATCGTGTTGCAACACGAAGTGCATTGCGCCGCACACTGGGCTGGATGAAGTTTTTGACAGATTGGATTGCAGAAGTGTGTTGCAGCTTGTGAGCTGCATCTTGAGATTTGCCTGGTTGCTGTTGTAGCTATGACCTTGTCTGGAATGAAATACATTAGACATGCGATGAATGGGCCATAATCTTGTCATCAATGCACTCGCAATTCTGTCAACCAGACGTGCGACCAAAATGCCTGACAATTGGCAAGCATGCCTTTTTGTACTTAGCAGCAGCATTGCTTATCTTTACAGAAATATGTTGGGAGTCACCATTCTAATCAGCATGCTGCTTCCTGTATGATACCGTTGTGGTTCAATATCAATATATTACTCCTCAGGAACTTCATCTGTTATCACTCTAATGTTTACTACATATCATAGTATGAAGTGCATAGGCTTTCCATTCTAAACCTAAGCAAAGTGTATTACTTACTGTAGACTTCACTTTGACTTCAGTGTGAACCTGCCCAGATTCTGGAACAAAGCCCGCACAGCGTCCACTAAATTGCTGTGCTAGCTAAATTTCGCATTTTCCGATTCTTGACGTTCAATCGTCCGAACCTCAGCCAACATCATGACGTTGCAAAGCCAGCTTCTTCAGACAGTTTCGCCATTGAAGAAACAAGATAGCAGCCTTCTGTGGTCAATGCTTCTGGCCATGGTTGCAGGATTTGCGTGCACGCTGGTCTTCGTGAAATTGCCAATTTCTGATAATGTCACAGCCATTCAGCAGCCTGAGACTCTTCCCGCTCCAACGAAAAATGTCACATTCAGAAGAGCTAAGGCCATATACCTCAATGTCAAGTACGCGGATTTGAACTGGATTCAAAAGCACACCCTGAAGTACCAGACAGACGCTGCAACCAAGAATCTTGTGCACGACCTTGGAAGCCAGAATGATCATGTGATGCTTCACTTGGCTCATCACAAAACAGGTAAGAGACGCTTGACAGCTATCTGATCCGGCTCTTCAACTAAGTTCGTTCTTGTACAGGCACTGCTTGGTTTTCTCGGATCTTCAGCCTTTTCGGAATGCGGACTAACATGAAGTTTGTCAAAGGCGACATTCAAGGCTGCCTCGATTCAGAATCTAAGATCTGTCAGGTCAGATGAGACATGCCCTTTTTTCGCTTGGACAAGGGACATCACAGAGTCATAACGTTTTACAAATCCTTCCAGATAAATAATGCGGCTCTAGGCTCTCTTAAACTACTGGGCGACAAAATGTACAAGGCTATTATGACTGTCCGAGATCCAAGAGATGTTGTGGTCAGTGGATATTTCTATCACAAAACAACACAAGAACCATGGGTACATGAACCACGCAGCGAGTATGGAGGAAAATCTTATCAGGAGGTGAGCACCTGACAACCCAATGGCTTAAAGACCATTTCTGTCCTCAAAGTCGTCTGAGCATGACTCTGGTCAGATGCTGAATAGCGTGAGCAAGTCCGCTGGAATCAATATGGAAGTCGACATGATTACTGGAAGCACTTGGAAGAACGACACTCAAGGTGAGTCCGGATACTTGCGCGGAGAGGATATATACAAAGACTAACAACCTTTTTTTGGCTACAGGTGCATATGCAACCGTTTTGAAAGACTTCCTGAAAGTCAGAGATTCCCGGTTCACCTTGGTACGCTATGAAGACATTTGGTACCAAGAGCAACGACGGATAGGCTCAGCTTTTGCATCGATTGGAGCTTGGTAAGGGTTCCCTTCTGCATTGCTTTGGCGTATTATGCAACCTTTTTCTCATCCTGTCATTGTTATCAGGTATGGATTGAGTAACAGCCTGCTTCTGAAAGTCTTCGTCCAAAGCGCGGTGAAGGTTGGCCAGGAAAGCGCTGCCTACCGTTCTGTTTCGAAAGGGGTGCTTTCTGCTGACGACAGAGGGAAGGACCACTTCAGGAAAGGAGTACCTGGAGACTGGAAAAATCATTTGACTAAGCAGAACAAGGGCTACATCCGTGAAAAGCTGGGATCTCTATTGGTGGACCTGGGCTATGAGAAGACCATGAATTGGTAGTCTGATCTGGTTATGTCTATATGGTAGTGGCTGACGATGAGATATGTTGGAATTTGACAGTTTTATGATCATGACGACTTCATAAATCTGAAATACCATGAACACATCACCACAACACGGTGGTTTATGTATAATCCAACAAGTGGATTGGAATCTGCATGAATTAGCTGGACTGCAGCATGAATACAGCTGGACTGCAGTGTCAAACATGTGTAGTTATCATGTTTGTATAGACTGTATAGGGTCACCTTCTAGAGAGTACAACATTTAGGTATATGTTTGTGTACTCTCTCTCTCTCATTATTAAAATTCTAGGTTTGATATGGTATCACGAGTAGGTTTCGACCCCCCCCCCCCCCCCCCCACCTACCGCTTCCGCTCCTCCCGTCGCGTCTCCTAGCCTCGCCTCGCCCCTCCTGACCCCAGTCGCGACCCCTCCCCCTAGCCCCGTCGCGCCCCTTCCAGGGCCCCGTAGCGCCCCTCCAGGGCCCCGTCGCGCCCCTTAGCGCCCCTCCTGGGCCCCGTCGCGCTCCTCACAGGCCCCGTAGCGCCCCGTAGCGCCCCTCCTGGGCCTCGTCGCGCCCCTCCTGGGTTTCGTAGCGCCCCTCCTGGGCTTCGTAACGCCCCTCCCAGGCCCCGTCGCGCCCCTCCTGGGCTCCGTAGCGCCCCTACTGGGACCCGTCGCGCCCTCCCTGGGCCCTGTAGCGCCCCTCCTGGGCCCCGTCGCGCCCCTCCTAGGCCCGTAGTGCCCCTCCTGGGCCCGTAGCGCCCCTCTTGGGCCCCCATTGCGCCCCTCCTGAGCCCCGCCGCGCCCCTCCTGGGCCCCCATTGCGCCCCTCCTGGGCCCGTAGCGCCCCTCCTGGGCCTGTTGCGCCCCTCCTGGGCCCTGCCGCGCTCCTCCCTGGGCCCCGTATCCACCCTCCTGGGCCCCGTCGCCCCTGCTCGGCCCCGTCGCCCCTGCTCGGCCCCGTCGCCCCAGCTCGGCCCTGTCGCAGCCTCTCGGCCCCGTGGCGCCCGCCCTGCCCCTGTCGCAGCTGCCCGGCCCCTGTCGCACCTGCCCGGCCCCGTCGCGCCCGCCCGGCCCCGTCGCCCCCGCCCGGCCCTGCTGTGTCCTGCCCGGCCCCGTCGCTGCCGCCCGGCCCTGTCGCTGCCGCCCGGCCTCGTAGCTGCCGCCCGGCCCTGTCGCTGCCGCCCGGCCTCGTAGCTGCCGCCCGGCCTTGTCGCTGCCGCCCGGCCCCGTCGCAGCCGCCCGGCCCTTCGTCGCGCCTGCCCGGCCCCGTCGCGCCTGCCCGGCCTCGACGTGCCTGCCCGGCCCCGTCGCGCCTGCCCGGCCCCGTCGCGCCTGCCCCGGCCCTCCATACTTCCTGGTACTGTCCCCCGTTCCCCGCACCACTTTGCACCCTCCTGCACTTTCCTGCCCCGCCTTGCACCGCATTGCACCTCACTGAACCGCACTGACCGCACTGCACCGCACTGGACCGCACTGCACCGCACTGCACCGCACTGGACCGCACTGCACCGCCCTGCACCGCACTGCACAGCACTACACCGCACTCCACTGTCCTCCACTGCCCCTCATGGCTGCTGAGCTTCGTTTTGATGCTGAGGGTCAGCCTCTGGAGTTCGAGGCGTGGTTGGCTGACCTTCGCCGCCACCTCACTGGTCAGCGGCAGGACGGCCACCCGCTTTCTGCACACCTAGATGGTATGCTCCCCTGCCCTGACCCCCCTGCTGTGCTGCCCGCTGATCCCACGCCCGCTGAGCGCGAGTCCACTGCCGCCGCTGCCCTTGCCCGCTCTGTCTGGCTTTCCCGCGATGCCCTTGCTCAGCTCGCCATTAGCAATGCCCTCCCCCCCCTTGAGCGCCCTCGCTTTAGAACCATTTCTACCGCCCAGGCCTACCTCGATGCTGTCATCAAGCGCTATTCTACCCCTCCTGCTGCCTCAGTGGGTCGCCTGATCCTCCCCCTGCTCTTTCCTGACCTGGCGTCCTTCCCCACTGTCTCTGACCTCGCTGCCCACCTGCGCTCGATAGATGAGGCCTGGCGCGCTGCCTGCACTGATGCACAGCTTAGAGTCCACCAGCCTCCCATGATCTCTACCCTCTACCTCCTTGCCACCCGCCTCCCTGACCGCCTTGCCGCCGCCCGCGACCAGTTCCTTAGCATCCACCCTGCTGCTCTCACCCTCACCGACTTTGTTGACACCCTGACTGCCATAGAGACTCGTCACCGCTCCATAGCCCAGGCGAGCGGTACAGTACCGGTCCCTATCTTTCAGGGTTGTGCCCCCGCTCAGTGTACCTTCTCCGACGGCTCTGTCGCTGTGGCTGAGACTGCTGCTGCAGTGCAGTCCCGCTCGGGGAAGGGTCGCCGCCCCAAGGTTGGGAGCGGCGGCGGTGGCGGGGGTGCGGGTGGGGGTAGTGGTGGAGGCGGGTCGTCCGGTGCCGGTGCGGACGTGGGGACCCTGCCCGGTCCAGCTGCCCCGCTGCCTCCACCGTTGCAGCAGCCGCAGCAGCAGCAGCCTCCGCAGCAGCCGCAGCAGCCGCCGCAGACGAGGCCGGCGAGTGCTCTCCCGCCTGGGTGGCCTGGAGCTGGTGGTGGTCGTGCGCGTGGTGGTGCACCGGGTGGTGGTTCTGGAGGCGGGCCCTGTCAGTACCAAATCCAGACCGGTCCTCGCCGCGGCTTCGTTTGCGGTAAGATCGGTCATTCCACTCCTCGCTGTTTTCGTCGTCTGGACGACCTGTTCCGCCAGCGCTTTGGCCCGGCGCCCGACCTCCCGGACTGGCACAGCTTGCTTAGGCGTAGCATTCGGATTTTTGACTTGGACATGGATGCCATTGTAGCAGCCTTGCATGTGATGTATGCCGATGACTCTAGTGTGCTTCCCTCTTATTACCCCGTGTTGCCTAGTGTAGCTGTGCCTAGCGTAGACTCCCCTGCTGCGTCAGGCGTAGGATCTCCTACTTTGCTTAGCCTCGGTGCTTCCACCGCTTCACCGTCGCCCCGCGCGACTGCTGCGCTTTCCTTCACCTTGGACTCTGGCGCCTCCCGGTGTTTCTTCCGCGACTCCACGACGCTGACGCCGCTGCCTGTTCCCGCTGCAGTTACTCTTGCTGACCCCTCCGGTGGTCCCGTCGTTGCCCGCAGTTCCACCTCCCTTCCCTGTCCGGCGGTTCCTTCAGGTTCGCTCACCGGTCTGCATATCCCCTCGTTCTCCAGGAACCTAGTTGGTGTCGGCTGCCTCCAGGACCTTGGCGTCACCACTACGTTCCCTGGTCACGAGCGGTATGCTGTCTGTACCGAGGCCGCCACTGGTGCCCCCCTTACCACTTTCCCCCGGGACCCGGTGTCCGGCCTGTTCACACTTGACACCGCGACGTCCCCGGCTGGGTCTTCCCCCCAGGTAGCTGCGTCCACCCAGGTTGCTGCTGCGTGCTCCTGTCGGTCCCTCACTCATCCGACTCTCCTTTGGCACCACCGCCTTGGTCACCCTGCACTCCCGCGTCTGCGTCACATGTCCCAGCACGGTCTCGTCCTTGGTCTCCCCGGTTCGTTCCCTGAGTTTCCCTCATCCCCCGCCCCACCGTGCACGCCTTGTGTCGAGGGCCGGCTCCGCCGTGCCCCTCACTCCTCCTCTTTTCCCCCTACCACCGCACCCCTGCAGACTCTGCACATGGACGTCTGGGGCCCAGCCCCGGTCCATGGGCCGCGTCGCGAGCGCTTCTTCCTAGTGCTTGTCGACGACTTCACACGTTACACCACCGTCTTTCCCCTGGAGCGGAAGGCCAACGTGCCTGACGTTCTCATCCCCTGGCTTGTCTCTGCTCGTCTCCACCGCGGTCTCCCTGCCTTGCGCCTCCACTCCGACCGGGGTGGCGAGTTCGCCTCAGGTGTCCTTGGTCGCTTCTGTCGTGCGGAGGGCATCACCCAGACGTTTACCCTGCCGGACTCCCCGCAGCAGAATGGGGTCGCTGAGCGACGCATCGGTTTGGTCATGGAGGTGGCTCGTACCTCCATGATCCATGCCGCTGCACCCCATTTTCTGTGGCCGTTCGCCGTGCGCTACGCCGCTCACCAGCTTAACCTGTGGCCGCACCCCCAGCGGCCGCAGGTTTCGCCGACCCTTCTGTGGGCCGGGTCCCCTGGTGACGCGTCTGCGTTCCACGTCTGGGGCTGCCTTGCTCACGTTCGTGCCTCTGGCACGGACAAGCTCACTGCCCGCACCCTCCCCTGCGTCTTCCTCGGTTTCCCCCTTGACGCGTCCGACTGGCACTTCTACCACCCGCCGTCTCACCGTTTCTTTCACTCTCGCGACGTCACCTTTGACGAGTCCGTCTCCTTCTACCGCCGCTTTCCCCACCGTGGTCCCCCGGTTACTCCCCCCCTGTTCCTGGTTCCTCCCTCCCTGGTGGCCCCTGCCCCTCCCCCCCCCCGCCCCCCCGTCCGGCCCCCTCTGGTGTGTCTCACGTCACCCCCCTCCCGTCGGTCGTTCCGGTCGACGAGTCTTCTGACTCTGGTAGTCCTTTGGCGCAGTCCTCGCCGTCTGTCCCTCCCCCGGTGTCTCCTCCTCCACCGCCTCCGCAGCCGCCGTCGCCGCAGCTGCTGCAGCCGTCGTCTCCGCCGCCGCCGCCGTCGAGGCCGTCGCTGCAGCCGCCGCCGCCGCCGCCGCCGTCGTCGCTGCCGCTGTTTGTGGACTCTGGGGGTGCTGGCGTTGAGGTGGGTACTAGTCCCGGGGCTCCTGTCGGGGCTTGTCCCGGCGGGCCTGGGGGTGGTACCGGTGCTGGCGGTGTTTCGGGCTCTGGGGGTGTCCCTTCTGGGGGTGCTGGTGTGGAGGGTTCGGGAGGTAGCCGTCGCGCAGCTTGTGGCCCTGGCGTTGGTGTTGTGTCGCCGCAGCAGCAGTCCCCGCCGGTGTCCGCCCTCCGTCTGCTCGGCCTTCCGTCCCCTGACCCTGCGCCTGTTCCTCTCCGGCCGTCTCCCCCTCTTCCCGTCTACGGCCCCGTGTTCCCTCCGCCGGACTCGTCCCCGGCTCGTTTTCCCCCTCGTTCCCCACCCGTGTCCCCTCCTCTGTCTCCTGACCCGACGCCGCCCTCTCACGTTTGGTCTCGCCGCCCCTCCCGTGCTCGTCCTGTCTCCCCCGTCCTGCGCACTCACCCTATGTTGCTCCGCTCCCACGCGTCTCGTCCTCCCCTCCTCCCGTCTCCTCCTCCGTCCTCTCTTGTCGTTGCGTCTCCTCCTCTGTCTGACTACTTTCGTGCCGCTCGTCCTCTTGTTCCTCGGGTCCTTGCCTCTCTCGTTACCGACCCGTCTGTTCCAGTGTCGAGTCTTGACGCCCTTGTCGCTGCGGTCGCTGACTTCGCCTCTACCCGCCGCCTTGACTACGCCTCCGCTCTGGTCTCTGACCCTGCCTGTCCTCCGTCTGTCGGGGGTGCTCCTGCCCTCGGCAGTGACGTCCTGGAGGACCGCCAGTTTGAGCTTGCTTTCCTGTCCGAGGCTGCTCCCCATCTCTGTTCCATGCTGCTAGTCCCTGAGGGTGACCCAGACGCTTTTGACATCCCGACCCCTCGTACTTACGCTGAGGCGGTTTCGGGACCTTGGGCCTCTCAGTGGATAGCTGCCATGGAGCAGGAGATGGCATCTTGGAGATCCACCGGCACCTTCGTCGACGCAGTTCCCCCACCTGGGGTGAACGTGGTCGATGGCCGTTGGCTCTTCAAGGTGAAGCGCCCTCCTGGAGAGCCGCCTGTGTTCAAGGCGCGTTACGTGGCTAGAGGCTTCAGTCAGCGCGAGGGGGTGGACTTCTTTCAGACTTTCGCTCCTACCCCGAAGATGACTACTCTTCGGGTTCTGCTACACGTAGCGGCCCAGCGTGACTACGAGCTTCACTCCCTCGACTTCTCCACTGCCTTTCTTCAGGGCAGCCTTCACGAGCAGGTCTACCTGCGTCGTCCTCAGGGCTTTACGGGCACCTTCCCCCCTGGGACCCAGTGGCTTCTGCGGCGCCCAGTCTACGGCCTGCGCCAGGCGCCTCGTGAGTGGCACGACACGCTGCGTGCTACTCTTGCTGACCTGCAGTTCTTTCCGTCCTCTGCAGACCCCTCGCTCTTCGTTCGTGCTGGCTCGACTCCGTTCTACATCCTCGTCTACGTAGACGACCTGGTCTTTGCCACAGCTGACAGGGACGCACTGGCCTCCGTGAAGGCAGAGCTGCTGAAGAGACAAACCTGCACTGACCTTGGAGAGCTGCGCCGTTACCTTGGCTTGCAGATCTCCAGGGACAGAGCCGCGCGCACCATCACCCTGACTCAGTCACACTTGGTGCGCCAGGCCTTCAGAGGTTCGGCCTTCAGTTCTCCTCCGCACAGCCCACCCCTCTTCCTCTGGACCACAGACTCTCCGCTCCAGTTCCTGAGGAGTCGGTAGATCCCAGTGGTCCTTACGCTGAGCTAGTGGGTTGCCTCATGTACCTGATGACTTGCACTCGCCCAGATCTCGCATACCCTCTCAGCATCCTGGCTCGTTTTGTGGCCACAGGCAGACACCGACCTCAGCACTGGTCTGCCGCTAAGAGGGTTTTGCGTTATCTTGCAAGTACATCGGGCATGGGGTTAGTGCTAGGCGGACGCAGGCCAGTGGTCCTTACTGGACACACAGACGCTTCTTGGGCAGACGACGCCGAGACGCTCAGGTCTTCCCAGGGCTACTGCTTTAGCCTTGGCTCAGGTGCTGTCTCGTGGAGAGCTACCCGCTCCTCGTCTGTTGCCCAGTCCAGCTGTGAGGCTGAGATCTACGCCGGTGCCATGGCGGCACAGGAGCTCCGCTGGCTGACCTTCTTGCTCACTGACTTAGGTGAGCGGCCTAGCTCTGCCCCGGTCCTGTACGCTGACAACAGGGCCATGATTCTCCTGTGTCAGGAGCCTCGACTCGAGGGCAGAGCGAAGCACATCCAGCTGCGGTACTTCCTCCTGCGCGAGCTACAGCAGCGTCGCCAGGCTCGCGTAGTACACTTGGCCTCCGGTGCCAACACAGCTGATATCTTTACGAAGGCGCTTGCGCCTAAAGATCATCAGCGGCACTGTTTACAGCTTGGTCTGGTTCCTGTAGTCTCTCACTTACTCGGGCTTTGACTTTGTACTGTTGTATATATATATATGTATACACTCAGACTGGACTTGTGTCCTCTCACAGTGGTTGGACTAGTAGTGCCGCCCTGTACTCGTTCTTGCCTTGTCTGTACTCCTTCTGACTGGTCTTTTAGACCCTTGTCTCAGAGGCTGGACTAGTAGTGCCACCCTGAGCTGCTTGTCTAGAACATTCCCCTATGCAGTCCAGGGGGTGTGTCAAACATGTGTAGTTATCATGTTTGTATAGACTGTATAGGGTCACCTTCTAGAGAGTACAACATTTAGGTATATGTTTATGTACTCTCTCTCTCTCATTATTAAAATTCTAGGTTTGATATGCAGCACACCATATTCCTTGATCATGGTTCCAAGTCACAGGCTTCATCAAGCGAGCTACCTTCTACAGCTACAGCCTGTCTTGGCCTCAGGATCTTTATCACCAGGGGTTGCTTCTTTCCTCCACTTGAAGACAGCCTGGTAGTACCAGGAATGGCCTCAGCAGGACTGTCCATGCATGCTAAACTGGGTTTGCCTTGCAATGCAGGATTTTGTCCGCATCTCTCACCTGTGGCTTCCCTTGTGACATCTGTGCGCGTCCCACCTTCATCCGCACTACCAGGCAGACCGCCTTCCAGTTCGTGTGCAGGACCAGGAGCATGGGATACACTTGAAGCAGCATGAGAATCAGCCAACACTCTGCTCTTCACGCTTCCCTTGGGCGAGCTCTTTGGCTTGACTTGGTTGGACCTGGCTGATCCTGCTTTTCCCTCTGTCACTGCTCCCACTATTCCTGCAGCACCCTTTGCCCTCGCCTTCAGCTTCAGCTTGAGTGGCTGGGACGTTCCAACAGCAGGATGCTGTGGAGCAACAACCTGAGCTACTTCGAGAGAACCCTTTCCAACCACTCCCACTCTGTCTCCTCCAGGAGGTTTCTTCCTCTTCTCTCCCCGCCCCCTTCCGCCCACCCCAGCAGCCATATTAATGGACCCTGCACCCGTTCCAAAGCTTTCCGCCCCTTCACTCCCTGAACTCCTCCCAATCTGTCTACCCTTCGCTTCTGTAACACCATGCACACCCTTACCAGCACCGACCATCTTTCCTGACAAGCTTGGTCCATCCTTTCCTCTTCCAATCCTCTTCACCACTCCCTTCCCTCTCATGGTCACTCCCTCTGGCCTTATCACCGTCTGTGCACCTCTGCCTCTCCCTCTCGCAGCAGTAACCTCAACAGCGTCAGCATCCGCAGTATCAGCAACATCACCACCGGGACCAGCGCCAACAGATACATCGTCAATGGCAGCTCCAGTGCCAGATTGAACAGAAGCTTCTCCTTGCTTAGTTGGTGGAATGTCAGCTTTGGCCATGGCTGCTGCTCCTGTCTTCAACCCTGATGGCTCGCCCACCCCCCGCCCTGCTACTCCTTCCATCTGCTGCTCTAGCAGCTTCACAACAGAGCTTCTCTCTTTACCTTCACCGAGTTTCCTCTTCTTCACAGCCCCTGTGCCTCCTCCACCAGCTGTCGATGTTCCCGCAGCACCTTTGGCCAAACCAGACGAAGCAGGTCTGGCTGCACTTGGCTTTACAGTCTGAGCTGGTCTGGCGTCACTGGATTGAGGTGTACTTGTGGCCTGCTTCCTTACCACAGGAGCTCCTCTTCCAGCAGGGAGCTTGGCTGACCCTTTTCCTATCGAACCTCGTCCTGGTGCCGCCACGCCCCTTCCTCCAACCCCCTTTCCTAGTGCCACTGCTCCAGCTCTCCCTTCAGCCACAGGCCTTGCCTTCACTGTTTTATCAGTCTTCACTGCCCTGACGACGTTGGCTCCCTTCACTGCAGCAGCTGGCGCCTCAGCTGCAGGGTGCGCTGAAGGCACACGTGCCCCTTGTCTCTGTTGAGTTGCGCTGTTGTTGACTGGACTGGCTTTTGCAGCAGCAGCGCCTGACCCTGCCAATGTTGCTGGTCGTGGTGGTGCTGCTGTGGTTTCCGTTGATGTTGTTGTTGGTGTTGGTGAGCGTGCTATTTCACCAGCACCACCGACAGCACCATCAACAGGCACATCTGTGGCAGCCGTAGGAAGAAGACTCTCATCAGCAACAGCCACCGCTCTCTTCCGTTTCAGCACAGCCCTCATACTATTGGCCCCAGCCTCGCCACTAACTCCAGCCGGTTTCCTTGCCACCCCACTCGTTCCTCCTGCCTTCTTCCGCAAGGAGGCCTCCTCCCTGGGTCCTCTGCTTGGCGAATGACCTGCTGTGGGTCCTTCATGGGAAGCTGATGGAGTGCCTCGAGACACTGGAGGAGCCGCATGGGGCATTGAAGGAGTCTTATGGACTGATGGAGCAGCAGCAGGAGTTGATGGTGCTGCACTGTGTGTGCCTGCACCAGCTTTCGGAGCCTGCTTGGCCTTGAGGATAGGCTTGAGGCCAGGTTTGACGACAGGCTTGGTAGGAGGCTTGGTGGGAGGCTTGGTGGGAGGCTTGATGGGCGGCTTGGATGCGGGCTTGAGAGGCCTTGACACAGAGGGGCCAGTGGATGGGGATCCCTCCTGGGACGACGTAGCTGCAGCTGCGAGCTGCTTATTTGCCTGTAGTGCCTTCCTGGCGTCGTGTTGCGACGACAATGCCACATCTTGGCGCGAAGGTACTGCCTTACCATCTCCCGATCCACCTGCGTTGTCTGACCTTGAACCTTTACGCCCTCCTGAACTGCCCTTACTTTGCCGTCCTCGTTTTCCATCTCGCTGGATTGCACTCGCTATAGGTTCCCCATCCTGTTCCTCCTCCTCATCCCCATCCTCTTCCTCTTCATCCGCCCCTTCCGCAGAAGCGTCTCTAGCCAAAGCCATCACGACACCCAAGTCCTTCACCCTGTGGCGATGCCTCTCCTCCAGCTGCATGTTGTGCTGCCAGATCACCTCATCACTTTCTTTCCCCTCCTCCCCCTGCCTCTCACCCTCCATTCCACCCTCCTGCTGGTCACCCCCTTCCACATCCACCCTCTCACCGCCCTCACCTCCCTCATCCACCACCTTACAGCCCTTCCCAGAGCGACCTCGCCTTTCATCCCTATCCTCCTTCCTCTCTCCCTTAACGGAGGAGCCGTTCATGGCAGTGCTGGGAGCTAATCTGACCCCATCTGTGCGGCTGCACCCTCTCAAACCGTCTCCTTCATCCGCTGCTGCTTCTGACATGGCTGCTGCCTCACCATCTCCCATACTTCTCTTGCCCGCTTCATTCTCCGCGGCTCCACCCCCAGCACCCATACTCTCCACATTATCTCCCCCCTCTGCCTGCTCTCTCTTCCAGCCTGCCTGAAAGCGCCGAGCCAGCTTCGGGAAACGAGCAAGAGGAGGCTTGAGGGTGGACGCCAGGCGTGTGGGGGAAGGGGAGCAGGCGGAAGATTTTGGGGGATGAGGGAACTTCGGGAGGCACTTATCAGCAGCATTCAGGACAGGAGAATGGGATGGAGCAGCACCAGCAGGAGGTTGGGGTGGAGCAGCAGGGGCGGCAGCATCCGGATGGACAGTAACAGAGAGTGCAGAAGGTGGTGCAGCAGTAGCAGTAAGCGGTTGAGCGTTCGCGGAATGCACTTTGCGAGGTGAGGGATGCTGCTCCGTCCGCCTTGCAGGGTCACATCCTGCTGTGGGAACAGCTGCTATTGCTGCAGCCGTGGTAGAATCCGAAGCTGATCCTCCGTTGTCTTTCACTTCGGTTTCTGTGCCAGGCACCAGAGCTTGTTGGCGCTCCTGTTCCTGTCCTTGCTGGTAAATCTCTCCTTGCCCCGGCCCCTGCACCTGCGCCTTTGTCTGTCCCTGACCTTGTGCCTGCGCCTGCTCAGCAACTGCAGAGGCAACCAGTGACCGGCCATGCACCAAGGCGTAAGCCACTTCCAGCATCTGCCTGCTCAAACCATGCAGTCTTGCTCTCCGCTCCTCCACCTCCTCTTCCCCACCGCTCCTCCCTTCCCCTCGCCATTCCCCTGCTTCCACTTTCTCCACTTCTCCCTCCCTTCCAACGGCTTGCGTGCCACATCCTGCCTCCACGCCTCCCCCTCCCCCCACAATCCTCCCCAGCGCCTCTGCTCTTGCACTTGACCCTGCCCCTTCCCTCGCAGCAGCTTTCATCCGCTTCACTCCCAATCCCCCCCCTCCACCCACTCCCCCCTTCCTCCCCCCCCCTTCACTTTTACCGAAGGGGAGCTCTCCTGAAGCCTCTCTCTCTAAGGCCTGGGCTGACCACAGGAGAGCTAGGGCTCTATCCTCGTTTCTCTCACTTGCTTTGGCTTTAAGGAGAAGGTTGATGCGAGAAGGAGTGGGTGCGGGGAAAGGGGAGGAGGGGGGCCCAGGGGAGAACGGGGAGATAGAGGGAGTGGTGGAGGTAGGTTTGTCTGGAGAGGGAGGGACAGGGAAGGGAGTGGAAGGGCAGGAGACACCAGCCGCTGCAGCAGCAACTGCAGCAGTGGTGGCAGCTGTGGCTGGGATGGTGCCAACGCCTTTAGTGCCAGCGCTCGACGGAAGAGCAAAGGGCGATTGTGGCTGTGTGGGCTTGTTGAGCAGATCAGAAGCAACGGTGACGGCAGCAGGAAGTGGCACTGGAGGTGTGTGCACTTGAAACTGCAGCAGTGGAATGGTGACTCTGAGTCCCCCCCTCTTCACAGCTACCACTGGCCCGTCTGCTCCTGTTTGCGCACCTACTGCTGCTGGCATGGACGGTTGATCCACTGCCTCCTTCCCTCCCCCACCTTCATCCACTTGTCCATCCACACCTGCTACATCTTCCATACCCTTCTTGCCACCACTTATCCCAGCTACCTCTGCTTCCTTCGCCTCTCTTTCGCCCCCCTCGTTGCCCTCCTCCACTTGTTCGAGCTCATCATCATCGGAGATCAAATCCAGCACCAACTCCTCACTGTCACTTCCACTGGCCAAATCTTCTCCATTGTCTTCCCCACCCTCCTTCTCCTCTGCCTCACACTGTTCTTCCGCCACTCCTTCAGTGACAGCTTCTTCCCCTTCTGCCACAGCAGCCCCCTTACAGAGAGGAGGAGGGGTGGCAGAGGGCAGGTCGGAGAGGGAGAGGGGGTGCAGCCAGGGGAAGCAAGGCCAGGCAGAGATTGGGAGGATGTCCGAAAGAGCGCCGAGAAGGGCATGGGACCAGCACAGCAGAGTGTGCAGATGCATGCGCCGTGCGAAAGCAGCACCTTGCCTCAAAGGGGAAAAAGAGGGGAGTGAGGAGGGATGGGAGGTAGAGGAAGCAAAGGGAGGGTGGGGCGAGTCATAAGGAGGCAGGGAGGAGGGCGCTGATGGAGTGTGGTAAAGAGCCGATGGGGGAAGCAATGAGAAAGCAAGTGAGTGTGGCCGTGCATCTTCACTGGGTGTGGTTTGGGTTCTACAGGGCTGGGGGTTGGCAGTGCTGCTTGGAGTAAAAGGGCGACTGGGAGGAGGGCATGGAGGAGGTGGGGGGCAGGGAGCTCGAGTCCTGATATTGGCAGCAGCCAATGAGAAAAACTCGAGGTCATTCTTCAGGGCGTGCTGTTTGAGAGCTGAAAGCGCGTGCCTGTGTGTGTGGACGAGAGCACAGATCAGAGAGTACACGCAGAATTATTGTGAGATACACACTCCACAAAGCCTGCACCGACGAGATGACATGCTATGGCATAGCAGGAGCTAGTGGATGAAGACGTGTGGACACATGGAGGCATGTGGACACATGGAGGCATGTGGACACATGCAGAGCGCCATTTCACACGAGAGGGAAATGCTATTGCACTCACCATTCTGTCATGTCAAACCAGTTCCCCTCCTGCTCCTCCTCCCAAACCAGCCGCTGTGCTGCTGCATCATCCGCACCTCCGGTTCTAGCCTTCTCTCCCTTGGTCACCATTGCAATGTAAGCAACCCGGGAAAGTCTGAGCACCTCAGCTGCCTCCCCCCAGATACCCACGTTGTCCAGGTACAGCATAAGTAGCTTGTGGTCCACTGAAGCTTCTGCTGGCTCACTCCCTGATTCCCCTCCTGGCCATCGTAGACTTGCAAGGGAGCCACCAGTGACGCCAGAAGCAGTGGCAGCTGATGCGCCGGGGGCAGCCAGACCCAGTACACGAATACTACCAGCAGCGGGAGCAGCATCGGCACCAGCGGAAACCGCAGCCGCAGGAGCAGCACATGAAGTGGCGGTCCCAGCAGCACCAGCTGCAGCAGCAGCAGCAGCAGCGGAGCTCACAGGTGAAGCAGCAGCAGGAGGATCAGAAATAGCAGGTGCAGCAGTATCAGGCATCGAAGCAGGCACAGCTGTGCGAATGGTGCTTGCTGGGGGGACAACGCCCAGCGCAGCAGATGTGTTTTGGGTTTGCTCAGAGGAAGGGTGGGCGGAGGCATGAAGGGAGAGCACGAGGAGGGCGAGAGCTAAGGGCACTAGGTCCACAAGGGCAGTGGAGAACTGCAAGGGAGAGAAGGGTCCAGAGGGAGAGGGAAGGCAGGGAGAAAGTACAAGTGAGAGATAGCCTTAACGCCTCGTGTTCGGCGGAGAATGACTGCATCAAGTACGACCACGTCAGGAGGAAGGGGGAAACTGAGGGAAAGGGCAAAAAGACGAGGGCAGGCAGGGAGAAAGAAGAAGTGAGAAGTAGCCTCAATAACCTGCGCCCTGCTCATTGGTAAGGCAAGGAACTGGAAGAACGTAACGGAGAACGACGGGGCATCAAGTACAACCGTAGTCAGGAGGACAGGAGACTCACCCCTTTGTCCGTCTTGAGTGTGGAGAGCGCCCCTTCCAAGGCAGCAACATCGGCCGTGTAGCAGCAGAGCCTGAGGTAGAGCATGAGGTACACGCGCACACACGTCATGAACTTGCGAGAGCTCTCAGCCACCTCCACCGACGCCAGCCCCACCACTTTCCTCCTCACCCGCCCCCCCTTGAACCCTCCTTTGGGCCTCGGAGCGTGCTTGGTGTGGATGCAGATCTCCCACATGTTCATCGCAAACGCCACTTTGGCCTTTCGGAAGCAGAACCCCAGCTCAGCCTTGGCCCGCTCCAAGTCCCCAGGCCCTCCCCGCCTGAGATACGCCTTCGCCAGGCAGTACCTCCCCCTGTGGAAGTGCTTGAAGTCGCCCTCCAGGCACTCTCTAACTCCCTTCTCGCTTTCCTTGAACAGCTGCTGCCAGATCAACGGCCAGTGCTGTCTCAGCTGCTGGATATCAAGCTGAGGAGACTTCTGCTTCTTCCCTTGCTGCTCCTGCTTCTCACTTTCGCCCTCCTCCACGTGCTGCTTCTCTCCCTTCGAATCAGCTACGCCTGCACCACGTTCTGACTGCGAAGCTGGTTCTGCGGCTGCTTTTGAAGTTTCTTCACCAGGTGCCGCTATTCTCACTGCCTGCCCTAGTGGCTCCTCTGCTTCATCCACTCGCAAGTGCTTGTTGCTCGCACCACTGGGCTGGTCTCCACCCTTTCTCTTCTTCACAGAGCCGGAGTATGGGGTCGGCTCAACCTGGGTCGGCTCAACCAGCACCACATCATCATCATCGTCATCCTCACCCTCCTCGCCACTTCCACCACTTCCACCACCTCCACCACCTGCACCACCATTCTCCTCCTCTGCTTCCCCATCCTTCCTCTCGTCTGCTTTTCCTTCCTGCGTTGCCCCCTCCTTCTCCTCCTCGGAGCCCCCCACCTCCAGGCCCTCATCTGTCTCGCCCTTTTCACCCTCTGCTCCCTTCCCAAGCCCCAGCTCTTCTGCAACCTCCCTCTCCACCTCCTCCTCTCCCTGTGCCTCTTTTCCGCCCTCCACACCCTCTTCTGCTCCGCCCTCCCCTTTGCCCTCTCCCCCAGCTGCTGCAGCATTCACGTGGCCATTGCCCCTCGCTGTACTCCTATCAGCTGCAGTCACACCCCCTCCGAGCTTAGCCTCAGACTCCGCAGATGTTTCTTGGCTTTGCTGCAGAATCTTTGAAACCGCATCCTGAGACTCGCTGGAGCACGCAAGGGCCTGAAAATCCCACCACACCACACCCCATGATACAGCACCCCACCCCACCCCACCCCATACCACCCCATACCACCCACGAACAAAAGAGTGTGCAACCATCAACAAAGGAGGAGGAGCATGATGGTGGAACAAGGAGCAGCACAGTGGCAACATGCGAAGCAGAATCTGCATGCGAATGAATGACATCACATCAAGCCACTCAGCCTGACGTTATCGCCACTCTCACCACACGTCATCACCATTCAACCTGATGTCATCATCACTCACCCTGATGTCATCATCACTCACCCTGATGTCATCATCGCTCAGCCAAGCCTCCATCCGGCCCCTGGCAAGCGCCTTGAGCCGTGAGGCGTGCAGGCGGTAGGTCGTGTCCACCGCATTGGGGCGCAGGGCAAGAGCTCGGCGCACCAGGGCGAGGGTGAGAGAGGCGGGCAGGCGAAGCTTCTCAGCCAGCTTGCCCTGAAAGAAGGGGTACTGCCAGTTCGGACTGAGAACGATGGGAGAGAAGAAGGAAGAGAGTGGTCCGAAGGGAGGTGGGGAGATGGTGTTGGCACCAAAAAGGAAGGGAACAAGAAGATGGATGGGGAAGGGGGGAAGTGGGATCAGAAGGATAGCAACAGCTACTTGCCTGACAACAACACGACCAGAACAAGAAGGGGGATGGGTGATGGAGGGGGGGCCTCACAGCCTACATGCGTGGGAGCAACAGCTTTTGGCAACTTTGGGCTTCGGGACAAGGAATAGAATGCAGGGGGCGGAGGGAGAAGCCGGATGGGGCAATCCCAGCAGTAAAACGAGCAACATACGAGAGTGATTGGAGAATGCGGAAGAGTTGGAAGGCCAGGCGGCAGCGGTGCAGCCAGTGACCGTCCTTGACTTGCGTGTGCCTGAGGCGGTCGTAAGACGGCACCACATCCTGAATCGAGTCATACATCACAAACGCCAGCAGCTCCAACACACTCACCGCCCTCTTCCGCTGCTCCTCACACCCCTCCCATGCCTCCCCAGCCTTCCTCCCCTGAAGCCCCTTCCACCCCTTCCACGCCTCCCCTCCCAACCCACTCAAATCCTCCTCAAGAGCAGCCACCTCAAACGGAAGCCGGCACCCAGGAGTAGATATCGCCTCGACCAAACACCGCCGGCAACGCTGCCGGTACCCCTGCAGCCTCGCCAGCACGTGCCTGTACTCCTCCGCATGCCAGTCCGCAGGGCCCTTCATCTTGGCCCCATCGTTCAGCATGAGGTCGGAGGCCTCGTCGTAGAAGAGAGCGAGCTTGAGCCACGAATCCGTGTTGCCGGGGTGGTAGCAGAGGTCGAAGAGCAGAGGGGCAGTCACCTCGAGCAAGTGCGCGTGGCCCTTGGGCTCTAGGAAGAAGCCTGGGGGCATGTGGTGACCCATGGGGATGGGCTCGATGCGGGCTAGCATGGCATACAGGGGCTTGTACACATCAGCGTACATGTCACTGTTCATGGCACGGGACGGGTCTGCATGGTCGACTGCTGACTGGTGGGAGGAAGTCCACTCTGAGAGAAAAGCCTGGGGACGCAGGGCAGGAGTGTGAGCCAAGATGCCTGGATACGATGGGTACAATGTGCTGGCACGACTGAGGTGTTCTCCATCACTCATCCCCTCCCTGCCCTTCACACTGAACTCCCCATCCCTACCCCCCATGCTCCTGCCCTCCTCCCCGCCCTCATCCTCCCCCAGTGCATGCCCCCCTCCCAAGTTCCCCCCCTCTTCCAACGTCGTCCCCTGTGTCACCATCCTGCCCACCATGCCCCAGTCGTCCAGCCGCGGGTCGTCCAGGAAGGGCTCCACGGAGTGACGGGCGAGGAGGGCAGGCGGCGGGGAGGTGAAGGCGGAGCGGATGGAGGAGAGCAGCGGCAAGAGCTTCACAAGCCGCTCGATCTGGGGGGAGCGAGCAGTGGGTGCGAGAGTATGAAGTGGTAGGGAGATGAGTGGATTGAAGATTGGAAGGAAGTGGCAGACGGCAGCAACAACCGGAGAGCAAGGATGCACATGCCAGTGTGCTCACACGAGTGATGTAACAGTGAAGCATCGGCAGCAAACGACTCACAGTGAAGGAGGCCGCAAACGGCGCCATATGCCTCAACGCTCGAGCGCACTGGTCCTTGGACTTCAACTCCCCAGCTAGCGTGTGCTGATGCTGCACCAGCCCTGCCGCTGCTGCCTCCTGCCCACCACCACCACCACTGCTCTCCCCTCCCACATCCTCCTCGGCCCCTCTCAGCTGTACCCCATATAAGCACAGGAAGCATTGATCCAGAGCCCCTTCAATCTCCTGCAGTGCCCATGCCTTGGCATGCACATTCCCCGCCTTCCCTACCTGCCCACCATCACCATCATCATCATCATCACCATCACCATCATCATCACCATCACCATCATCACCAGCAGAACCCCCACCATTCTCACGAGTCCTTTGCGCGTCCCTCGCACTGCTGCTGCCCCCAGCAGCACCTCCTCCACCTCCTCCCTCCCTGCCTTCTCCTCGTCCACCCTTGGGACCTCGTGACCTTGCCTCCTTCCGGCCTGCAGCAGCAGCCTTGGCTTTTCTACTCCCTGCACGCACTGAGGGGTGCAGCAGCGACTCGAGGTCGGTCAGCAGCTGAGCAGAGAGCGCAAGGAACGCGCCTCTACCGCTGGGCACTCTTGCCGCTGCTGCTGCCGTGCCTTCCCCTTGCCCAGCCTCTGCTGTAGCTGTGCTGCTGCCGTTACCACCTCCTCTGCCAGATGATGCTGCAGAGACAGGTGCTGCTGAGATGATGTTCGGTGTGGGCGAGGGGGGTGCGTCAACAGAGTGGGAGGAGGAGGAGACCGAGGAGGAGGCGGGAGCACAGCAGAGGCCTTGAGAAGCAAGGATGGTGTGAGTGATGGCACAGAGGGCTACCTGTTGACACGGGCGGAGAGGCAGGAGGGGGGATTTGGCTTACAGGACCTCTGCACGAGCCAGGCACCAGAGTGCATCAGCAGGAAGCACCTACGTCTGAGGAAGCAGGCTGCGCACGAGATAGCTTCAACTCCACAACCTCACCCATCTCAACGCCCACCTTATCGGCCGCCTTCACAGCTGTGCGCAGGTGCTGCAGGCAGCAGAGCGCCATGCACAGATCCACCAGCAGCCCCTGCCACGCCACCACCATCCCCTGCCACACCGCCAAAATGCCGTTCCTTGCTGCTGCTGCGCCCAGGGTTGGCTGGTACACCTCCCTCGACAGCTGGCTCGCTGGCTGCTCTTGTATCAGGCGGTGCTTGTAGAAGGCCAAGTCCAGCAGCCCTGCCACCACCTGCTGCAGCTCTTCCAAATGCTGGTCGATCACCTGGGGGGTGGGGCAATAAGAGAACAGAGCAGTGAGACAGGGAGCAGGATATTGGGTCCAAAGCAGACTGCATTTGGTCTTTAACATCCCTCCGTTTTCTTTCTCTTCCCCTTTTCTCTTCACTCCCCTTTACATATGAAGACCATGGCTCGAACTTTACAGGCCCCCGTCTGGTTTGCCTACCTGAGAGTGCAATCTTGTCCCGAGAGCCATGGTGACGACCAGGTCTCGCAGCTCCCGCACTGCATGCATCAGGTCAGCCTCGCAACTCGCACCAGCATCCCTCTTGCCACCACCACCAGCACAGCTGTTCCCAGCAGCAGCAGCAGCAGAGCCTTCCACAGGAGCTGCTCCTACTGGCACCGTTTTCGCAGGCGCAGGAGCCAGCGCCCTCATGCTCATTCTGCTAGACAGCAGCGCGAGGATGTGCTTGTAACAAACCAGCGCCAGCGGCTGCTCCTGAGCCATTCCTCTTGTTGCGGCTACGAGTCTCTTGAGGGTCTCCAACCACTTGGCAAAGCTCTGCTCGCTGTGCTGCCTGTCTGGGTTCACACTGTGGAAGCCATCTGAATCTACACTGGGAGAGGCAAAGCCTTGGAGAAAGTTCTTCCTGGCCTTCTGCCTCCCAGCTCCACCACCCACCCCAGCTGCTGCCCCATCCCTCAACAGCAGAGGCTTCATCAGATCGATCAGCTGTTGCTGCTGCTGTGGCGGTTGGGGGCACTCCTGCCCCGTTTCACCCTCTCCTCTCCCTGCCAGCCCTGCCAGCCCTGCCAGCACGCAGTCCATGTGCAGCTCGCCCAACAGCTCGTCAAAGCATGGCACTGAAATCGGCCTACTTGCTCCCCACACGCATGCCATGTGAGGCACCTCCACTGCTGCAGGTGCAAGTGCTGCTCTTGCTGCTGCTGCTGCTGCTGCTTCTGCTGCAGGCCCAGCCGTGGCTGCCAATGAGACTGAGCCCTCTGCGCAGTCCCCACTCTGCTCTGCTCTGCCCAGCACGTCCCTGCACCACGTGAACAGCTCTATCGCTCTCGCATGCTCCCCCATCTGCATCGCCACCTGCCCCTGGCTTGCTCTCAGCCGAACCCAGAACTCCACCTTCTGCCAGCCCCCCAACACACCGCGCAGCTTGCCCTGACCTCCCTCCTCAGCCGCCCTGTCTGCTTCCTCTAGCTCTCCCCCTTCTCTCACAACCCCCACTTGGCCCCACGCCTCCCCATCCACCTGCCACGGCACCCCTTCCGCGTCCATCCGCCCCTGCTCTGCCATGGCCAGGCAGTGCAAGCACTCTCTCTCCAACGCCCCACCCACTCCCTCTCCCCGCCCTCGGCTCTCGCCATCCCCTTGCATCCCCTTCACCAGATAAAGCTCCCCCAGATACAGCCAAAGACTGGGAGGACGGTCTTCCCACGAAGCAGTCTGTCTCTCCAGCCAGAGGAGGGAGTCCAGGAGGGAGGGTGGGAGGGCGCGGAGGGGAAGGTGGGAGGCCAAGTGGCGCAGGATGAGAGAGGCCGCTTGGAGGAGAGGGAGGTGCCTTGGCAGGGCGGCAAGGAACGACTGCACGTGCTCTGCCTCTGCTGCAGTCACTTCTTGCACCTCAGCTGGCCTCGCTGCATCACCTGCAGAGTCACAGCCACCAGCATCAGGAGCCTTAACTCCCTCTCCAGCAGCCCCACCGGCATCTGCTTCCAGGCCTTGCGAGACAGACTGGGCTGGCTGGAGCGTCAGGCTTGGTAGTACCTGTCTCTGGTTTGCCTGCTGACTCCAAGACATTCCCGCGCTGCTCCACTCCTCGTCCTTGGTGAAAAACCTCACCAGCGCCTGCTTGCTGCGCAGCATGTGCAGCATATTCGAACCACCACATGCACCGCCACTGCCAACACGCGCACAGTCAGCACTGACAGCAGCAGCACCCGCAACAATGCCACCTGAAACAACCCCATCTGAGACACCCTCCTGACTCTCTCCATGCTTCCCAGCATTCCCCAATCCATCTGTGTCACAGGCTCCGTTAAAGCCCGTCTGCTGCCTGAAGCAAGCACTCAGTATGTCAAACACACGCATCCTCTTCGGGGGAGGTGGCTTAGCACTCTCCAGCAGGTTGGTCTCCTTGCCCCTGGCCTCCTTCAGCTGCATCTCCTTCATCTGCTGCCGCGTGCGCCTCTCCGTGCCCACGAATGACAGCGGGTGTCGGTGCCGCTTCCTTGACTTGGCAGGGATTGCAGGCGATGCAGCATCACGAGCTACAGCACCTGAGGCTACAGCATCTGAGGCTACAGCATTAACTGCAGCATGCGGAGCTAGAGCAGTAGCAGCTACATGAGCAGCCACAGCAGCAGTGGCTAAAGTATCAGGGGATGTGGCAGCAGGTGCCGAGGCAGCTGCAGCTGCAGCTGAGGCGTCAGGTGCTGGTCCCAAGGCTGCTTCTGACACAGTAGCGGGCGGCACGACAGGTGAATCCTGAGTGGATACTGGAGTTGCACCGGCAGGTGTCCCTGGGGTCTGTGTGAGGGGGGTCTGTGTGAGGGGGGTCTGTGTGAGGGGGGTCTGTGTGAGGGGGGTCCGTGTCAGTGGTGTCTGCATGGCAGGGGTCTGTGTCAGTGGAGAGACTGCAAGCAGTGTCTCTGTGGGCAGTGCAGTACTTGCAACAGGAGGACCTGGAGGAGGAGGCAGCTCGGCTGTAGGCGTTGCAGCAGCATCACAGGGCGAGTGTGACTCGTCATCCACGCTGAGGTCAATCACAGCAACGGCGTCCACTCCATGGCTAGCACAGGTCCCTTCCCCACCGTCAGCACGGCCGGCAGCATCATGTGACTCACTCGCCCGAACATCGTTTTCTTCAGCAGCAGCAGCAATGGCAGGGGAAGAAGCTGCCATGCCAGTGCTGCCAGGTCTACGAGTGGCATGGTCTACTGTGTCCTGTGTCTGGAATGCTGGCATGAGCTGGGAGAGCGCTGAGGGTTGATAAGGCAGGGTGGGCTCAGATAGTGCGGTGGGGTGGGAGGATGGGGTAGGCCCTGAGGCAGCACAGCTATCTGGTGTCTCATTCTCTTGCCGCCCCTCACTACTCCTTCCACGACCGCTGTAAACGCCCTCTCCAAAAAGGCCCTTGGTGTCGCGTCCAGGATCGCGTCTTTGGGCAGTTTCAGCCAGCACAACCGTCACAGACACACCCGCCACCAGATGAGGGTAATCCAAACCCCACCTTTCAACCGAACGCTGCTGTACTGAGTGGAACAGATCTACAGTCTTCAGAATCAGCTCGGCCCAAGAGCGACCGCCGAGCTCAAGCACCGGGCTGCGCTGACTGGCCACTTCGTTGCCCAATGCACTCCCGAGCTGCTCAACCGCTTGCTCGCGCCCCTCCCCATTCCTGCCTTTCTCTGTTAGGAATTCTGCAGTTGCACCACCTAACGGTCCAGCACCAGGGGCATTCTCATCACCAGCAGCAGCAGAGGCACGAGCCGCAGCAGAGGGGGTAGTAGCACCAGAGGCACCAGCAGCAGCAGAGGGGGTAGTAGCACCAGAGGCACCAGCAGCAGCAGAGGCGCGAGCAGAAAGGCCGTCCAGAGCTGCCTGCAGCGCCACAGGGTCGGGGTGGAACACGTCGTCCGCCAGGGCCAGCACTTGCCGCGCGCGAGAGTGGGTAGGGGCGATGTGCAGCATGTAGGTGGCGAGCTCGTGTGCTGCCTGCCAGTCGTCCAGCGACAGCAGCACCTCCAGCAGCTTGTTCAGACACCCCCCTGGCGGACGGGGCGGGGGATGCAAGCAAGGCAAAGGCAACGGTCATCAGACAGTGCAGCAGACATGGCATGAGACGACACGCCATGGACACAGCAAGCAAATGCTTGTGTGGAACATTCGTCTCATGGGTTAAAACGGCTAGCGCAGGCTGCACGGACGTACAGTGGTAGGGGCTGCACGTGAGGCCCTGTTCCAAGGCGTATCTTGCCAGACGCGCTCGACCGTCGGTGCGGAGAGCCAGCGCTCCGAGGCGGTGCCAGAGCACAGCATCCTGGCCGTCGATCTCCGTCGCACTGACGTAAGCATGCAGAGCTGACTCGCTATAGTCATCTCCCAGCTTCGCGTAGACGTCGCCGAGATTCTTCCATACCAGGAACCTGAATCAGCGTCACAGCAACGAAAAGCGCGGCCGTGGTTAGGTGACTGCGGGCTGGAGCAAGAGCGAGCGTGACGAAACGCGAAGGAAGTACGAAGGGCGGCTGACTTACTGAAGGTGGCGCATCTCCGTCAGCCCTCGCCCCGCTTCCGCCTGCGACGGCAACCGCAGGCAAACGAAACAAATTCACGGCTGGGATGAGGCATGGCGACCGTGACAGGAGCCGACAACTAAGGCGAGACGAGCGGACGCGAGAAAATCTTCCAGCGACGGCTAGATTGCTCGGGAACCATGCGGCTCTTAGCTTCGGACAGCCGCGCGTGAGCAACAAGATTCGCGAGGCTCGTACCTGGACTTCCTCCCATAGCGGATGGCGGGAGATCTCCTCCAGAGCCGCTCTCGCGTCCGACAAACAGCCATTCCCGATTTTAACGAGCGCGTCCTGATACGCGTCTTGCAACGCCGATTCCTGCGCGAGAGACGTTCGAAGTCCGTACAGACGTGAATCAACGGAGACTGTAGTGACTGTTCGAAACTGACGCGGAGAGGACGAGGGAAAAAGAAAGAGCGACGAGGGAAAGCGAGAGAGCGGCGAGGGAAACGACAGCTACCTGCGCTTCTCTGGTGGGACCTCCCGTCGTCTGTGCCTGAGGCCGTTCGGCATTGTTGATGCACGATATGGCGAACTGCGCAGGAACGAATTCAAACGACGATGGAGCTGCGGATCAACATTGGCAGACTCTGGAATTAATGCACAGGTCTAAGCGACGGGAAACAACAGAACTGGGACGCTCTGACTCTTCCAGTGCGAAGGAGCCCAAGCAAAACTAGTGTTCAAAATCTAGAGGAGGCGTGGTGCTGTGAAGAAAGACTGGAGGAAAAAGATCCAGCAATTGTGCACAACGAGTGATCTTCTGACAACCCTACCATGGTTTCCCAATGCTTGGCTCATCAGCGGACCTGCAATGGACGCTGCTCCCTGAAACAATTTCCAAGAACGATGAGGGTTTGCTGCTGAGGGTTCAAAAGCAGTTTTGCTGTTAGAGCAGCTCTTGCTTGCAGCAGAGATTGCTGGAGCAATCCATCCCTCTGCTGGAGCACCAGCTGTGGCTGCATCACCATCTGCAAAAGGTGGGATGGTGCCATTCACGCAATCAGGCTATTCTGATTTTTTCCAGCGGCTCATTGTGTGGAACCTTATGAAATTGGTGAATCTAGAAGCATTTGGGCCCTTCTGCAGGTTGAAGGTCACTATCTCCCTGAGCAGAGACAGAATGCCAGGATGACGTCGGGGACGCTTGTGATTCAGATTCGCGAAAATTGCACAACGAAGAGTTTTTTCATGGTAACCAGCACAAACTCATCTTTCACAAGTACACTCTTCACATTTTCAATATTTTCGAATACGGAGGTTGGTTTGGGGACAGTAGATTTGGTTGTTTGGATCTCAAAATCCCCCACGTTCCCGCGCGTCCTCGTTACTGGTCAAGTCTGGTCGTCCGTCTGGGCTGTCTAACTCCGCCTGCGTTCTCCGCACCACGTCACAACAGTCAGCGCAGCAATGGGCCCGCCCCAAACCGCCCTCGGTGTTCCCGCTGCCGCCAACCTCCTCAGCAGCTGGTTACCATCCGACAACTGGTCATACGACTTTCGCTGATTCGCTCACGTCGGACTCCCCCAGGATTTATCCCAACCCTAGATCGCAACAGTGTACGATGCCGCCATTCATTGTCGCCAGGCACCTTCGCCGTCCCTCCATCACCTCCACATAGGCCTTTCGCCAAGCGCGTAACCCCAATCTCACCTGCCATCGCCTCGCCTGATGAGCTCTGTCTGATTCCCACACCTCATCCCATCTTCCATCTCATCCGTCGATCTGATGTGGTGGCGACATCTCCACCCTCCATCTGCACCCCCCACCGCACTACCCTAAGGCCAGCCTGTCTCTTCTCGTGCAGCCTGCCATCTGAAAAGGTGTTTCCTTCTCCCTCCTCCAAATCACCATTTTTCAAAGCTCAAGTTTCTTTCATATCCGCCTCCTTTCATCCACGTCCCACTTCCCTTCACCACTGTAGCTGTTGCTCGGCGTCGTTCCCTAACCTCCGCCTGTCACACGTGTCTCGTCACTCGCAACCATGGCGTGGGGAAAGCCCGGCACCGGCGTGGTGAAGTCGTACGCCGTGGAGTGGTCGACCATGGAGCAGGCGACGGCCAAGAGCGTGGAGAGGCTGAGAGACGGCGAGCGGGTTGCGGAGGAGGAGGAGGAGGAGGAGGACCCGGTGTGCCCGCTCTGCATCGAGGACCTCGACGCCACGGAGATCCAATTCCGGCCCTGTCCCTGCGGGTGAGCTGCGTAGTGTGCGTGCAACACGGTTTAGGTCTGGCTTAGAGCACAGCGGATAGGGACAGTCAGATCTGACGTAAAGTTGGCATAGGCCGTGTTCGCGACGGACGAGGTTAACATCGGTTAGATCTGACGTCGCAACTCGGATGATACACTCGTTGCCGTCCTTCCATTTACTGTTCCCGCCTGCAGATTCCTTCTCTCTCTCTCTCATATGTTTCCCACGCCTCCTCCCTGGCTCCTCTCTTCACATCAGCTACCGCGTGTGTCTCTTCTGCTACGAGCGCATCAAGCTCGAGCTCAAGGGCATCTGCCCGAGCTGCCGCTCGCCCTACGGCGACCCGCAGATGGCGGCGCCGCCGCAGCCGACGGCGTCGGGTGCATCGTCGGGTAAACGGCGGGGGTCGATCAGCTCTCGCGGCGGCGATGGCAAGGCGCCGGAGCTGGGAACGTCGATTGCGGGAGCGTCGATGGGGGTGTCGATTCTGGGAGCCGGCGATCATCGCAACCACTCGCGAGTGTCGCCTGCTCCGCCGATTCTCGCGTCGTCGGAGTTCCCGACGCTCTCGTCGTCGCCTCCGCTCTCAGGTGCGTTCGTTGAGAGTGTCGATTGTGGGACTTCTATCGTCGCGTCGCCTCCGTTTTATTGCCGCTCATCGTTTCTTCCGTGCCGTGCGTTTGCCGCCTGACCATCCCTGCTTCGCCTGCCCGTCTCTCGTTCCGTCTCTTGCTCCCTCCAGTTCAACCTCGAAAGCTACCCTCGTGGGAGAAACCTCGCCCGGCCGCTCCACCGTCAGCCGCACCACCATTCGCACCACACTCGTCCACATCAACATCATCATCGTCGTCATCATCGTCATCAGCATCATCCTCCGTAGCGCCATGGGCCACAGCTACACCTGCAGCCACAGCCACCGCAGCCACAGTCGCAGCCGCGTCTACGCCGTCGTCGTTTCCGCCGCTCCTACCGCTCGATCCCCCGCAACAGTCCGGATCCATCCCGCTTGCCGGCCGGCAGCCGCCTCCCCAGAGTCACGCCGCTTCGAGTCACACGACGCAGAACCGTGCCGCAGCAGCAGCGGCGGCTGGCGTGCAGCATTCGTCGGCCAACGGCCTTTCCGCTTCGAGCCTGGTAACCCCCGCTGCTTCGTGGCCCGCGCTTAAGGCAGAGCCGGCTTCGGCAGGCGCATCCGCGTCCGCCTTATCGAGTCAGCCTCAAACGGGGAAGTCCGCGGGCAGAGATGCGAGGAAGGAGTCGGGCGGGGAGAGGGGTAAGGACGCGGGGAAAGCGGGCGAGGGCTCCAAGGCCGCGCCGGTTGCGTCTGATGGGCCGACGCCGGCGGGGAAGAAACAGCAAACCTCCGCGGGTGCAATGGCGAATGCCGCATCGACTTCCGCGTCGTCCTCCGCCGCTCGTCCCGCCGCCAAGGCGTCGGCCGTCAGTCCCCCCCCACCCGTGCCCGCCAACTCCGCCTCTCGCCTGCCCTCCGCCGCGTCTCACGAGCCCGCGTGCGACGGCGGTGCGAACAGCCGCGGCAGCAGCGCGACCACCGCCAGGAGCAACGCGAGGGACACCTCCACCGCCACTCGCGGCAGCGGCAGCGGTAGCGGCAGCGGCAGCAGCAGCAGAGGCAGCGGCAGCGGCAGCGGTAACGGTAGCGGCAGCGGTAACGGCAGTGGTAGCGGTCGCAGCAAGCGCAGCAGCGGCGGTGGCAGCAGCAGGAGCAGCAGCAGCGGGCGAGGGAGCACGTCGGACGACGAGATGGGGTTCGCTCTGAGCGACCAGCTCGCGGAAATGCTGCTCCACAGCCCCGGCCGACCGGAGCTGGGCCGCGCCGACCCTGGTGCCTCCGCTGCTCCAACCGTCGCAGTGCAGCCAGATGCGGCGGAAGCAGTTGCCCGGGGGTCTGTGCGCACTGCGCCCAGCCAGGGGAGCGAAACCGGCGCAATCTCGGAATTGGCTTCCGCAGCGGCCAGCTCAGATGCTCCGAAGCCTTCCGCGTCGACGCCGTCCCTCCAGAGAGTCCTGGACTCCGCGTCACCGCACAGCACCGATTCATCCGTCCCCCTCGCCGCTGCTGGCTCCCACGGCAGCATCTCGTCGCCGTCCTTCTCAACGTGGCTCTCGCCGCACTCCACCTCGTCCCCTGCCACTCGCTCCAAGCCGGTCCTATCCGCCACTAGCGGGGTGGGTTGTAACGGGGTTGCAGTGCCAGGCTGGGCGGCGTCCGTGGCTCCATCGGGGGGCGGCGGGTTGGAGCGGGTGCAGCAGCTGCAGGCGCTGCAGCGGCAGCTGCAGCAGGCGTTCGTGGGCGTGGGGTGGTCGACGGACGAGATGCAGCGCGCCAGTGAGATCGTCGCCGCCGCCAAGCAGTCGCAGAGCCGCTTCTCCGGTGCCGCAGCAGCGACAGGCGCAGCAGCGACAGGCGCAGCAACAGCAGCCGCAGGGATGCCAGCTGTAATAGCGATGCCTCTTACTGCGCTGACGGTTGTAGCACCAGCAGCAGTTGCCGCAACTCCGGTTTTTGCGACCCCTGCGCCTACTGGTGCTTCCGCCGCCCCTGCCTACGCAGCTGCTCCCAAAGCTGTCTCATCCAAGCCCGTAACCCCCCCTCCTGGCTTCCGCGCCACCCCTCCCCCTGGCTTCGCACCCCTTTCTCCGCCTCCTGGGTTCGGCCCGTCCGCGGGCGCAAAAAAAGCGGATGCGGGCGCGCTGGGGCAGGCGGACGTGCAGGCGCAGGCGGCCGCCGCCGCTGCAGCAGCAGTAGCAGCTCGGGGTGGGTCGGGACTAGGGCTATCCGGCTCGACTGGGGGTGCAGCAGGGGGGGGGAGGTTGGGTGTGCGATCTGCGGAGTCAGGGGGGGCAGCGTGGGGGGTGGGGGCGACAGGCACAGGCGCCTCCTCTGCCTCGTTTGGCTCGCCGCTGCTCAGCTCGGGGTACTCCAGCGCTCCCGGGTATGCCAGTGCTGCTGGCTACGCGAGTGCTGCAGGCTATTTCAGTGGGTCGGGCTACAGCAATGCAGGGACTGGGTCGGGGCGGATTGGGTCAGAGGTGGTGGCGTCGGGGGGTGTGGGGGAAGCCAGGGGGACGTGGAGTGGGGGGGATGCGGATGCTGCTGTGGCGGCCATTGCCAGCATTTGGGGGCAGGAGAACAGTGCAGCCACTGCAGTCAGTGCATTCAGCTCCTTGAAGCTGGGGTCCGCTGCCGAGTAAGTGTCCGCCTTGCTCTCCTCACTGGATGCTGGATCTGTCTGTGACTGCCGTTTGATTTTTGCTGCCAAATGTCACTGGCTGTGCATGTTGCATCCCTGTGGCATATGGCTTCCACGAACAAACGCACCCACTCAATGCTGCTTCAATCCATCTCCCTTTCACCCCATCTCTCTGCCCTGTGCAGGACCACCAAGTGGCAGTCAGTGGGGTCCGGCCTCTCATCGTTCACAGGAGGCGCCATCCCCATGTCCGCGTCACTGTCTCTCCTCGGCGCCTCCATCTGGGGCAATGGCTCCATGCAGGCAGCCTCTCTGCAGCCCGCCATGTGGGGCGCCTCATCCCTCGCTCGCTCCCCCTCTCCCCAGCCTGGACCTCTGCCTGTGTCTGTCGGTGCCGGCATGCAGTCGCAGGGTGGAGGGATGAGCGCCAAGGCCTGTGCTCCTCTCTTTCCTTCGGGGATCTCCTCAGTCACCTTTGGCCAGAGTGTTTCGTCCTTTCACCACCCTGCCTTGCCACTTGGACTCCCGCTGTGACCCGACTTGATGCTGCATTTGACTGCTGCTGCCATTCTTGACTTTCCAGTCCCGGCTCTTGGTTGAATAGACTTGCTTCAATGGTGTGTGCCTAGAAAGGGTGACCAAAAATTTTCTTTGCGCTGCTGTGCATGTGTTATTCTTCACTTTAATTCTTCATATAGTACATGCAAACATATTTGAGACATTAACTTGAGCATGTTCCTACCAGCCTCTTCCCAAGCAACCAGGGCTGATTATTAAAAAAAAACCACTCTGAGCCAACCCCCCCGAAAGAAAAAATACCGTAAAAGCCCGGATATAAGACCCCCATGGAATAGAACATACCGTACTATACTATGTCTTGTATTAGGCGTCTATCTTGTATTCGGATTTCCCGTTTATAAGATAAGATCTTAGAGTGGTATGAGATAAGATACTGTCAAACATGTGTATCTGTTATGTTTGCACAGACTGTATAGGGTCACCTCTTAGAGGGTACAATACTTAGGTATATTCACTTGTACTCTCTCACTACTCAACCATTATTCAGTTCTAGGATGGTATCAACAGTAGATAGGTCCCGCCGCCCGCCCATGCTTCCGCCCTAGGCCCTAGCCGCCCCCGCGCCCGTCCTAGTCGACCCCGCACCCGTCCTAGCCGCGCCCGCGCGCCCGTCCTAGCTGCCCCCGCCGCGCCCGTCCTAGCTGCCCCCCCCCCCCCCCCCCCCCCCCCGCGCCCGTCCTCACGGCCCTCGCGCCCGTCCTAGCTGGCCCCGCGCCCGTCCTAGCTGGCCCCGCGCCCATCCTCACGGCCCCCGCGCCCGTCCTCACGGCCCCCGTGCCCGTCCTAGCTGGCCTCGCGCCCGTCCTAGTCGGGCCCGCGCCCGTCCTAGTGGCCCCCGCGCCCGTCCTAGCCGCCCCCGCGCCCGTCCTAGCGGCCCCCGCACCCGTCTGAGCTGCGCCCGCGCCCATCCTAGTCGGCCCCGCGCCCGTCCTAGCGGCCCCCGCGCCCATCCTAGTGGCCCCCGCGCCCCTCCTTACCGGCCCCGCGCCCGTCCTAGCGGCCCCCGCGCCCGTCTGAGCTGCGCCCGCGCCCGTCCTAGTCGGGCCCCGCGCCCCTCCTTACCGGCCCCGCGCCCGTCCTAGCGGCCCCGCGCCCGTCTGAGCTGCGCCCGCGCCCGTCCTAGTCGGCCCTGCGCCCGTCCTAGCGGCCCCCGCGTCCGTCCTACAGGCCCCCGCGCCCATCCTAGCCGGCCCCGCGCCCGTCCTACCGGCCCCCGCGCCCGTCCTAGCTGGCCCCCGCGCCCGTCCTACAGGCCCCCCTGCGCCCGTCCTAGCCGGCCCCGCGCCCGTTCCAGGCCCGTCCTCTCCGGCCCCGCGCCCGTCCCAGGCCCGTCCTAGCCAGCCCCGCGCCCGTCCTACCTGGCTCCCGCACCTGTCCACACCGGCCCGGCGCCCGCCGCTACTGGCCCCCGTGCTCACCTTCCCGCCGGACTGCCGCCGATCTGCGTGCGGCCCGCTCTCCGTCCCTGTGCTGCACTGCCTCACCTGGCCCTGCCCTGCACTGTTCTTGATGGCGGCGGAGCTTCGCTTCGACGCTGAAGGCCAGCCTCTAGAGTTCGAGGCCTGGCTAGCCGACCTCCACCGCCACCTCACTGGTCAGCGGCAGGATGGCCACCCGCTCTCGGCACACCTTGACGGTACGCTTCCCTGCCCAGACCCCCCTGCTGTGCTGCCCGCTGACCCCACACCTGCTGAGCGCGAGTCTACTGCGGCCGCTGCCCTCGCTCGCTCTGTCTGGCTTTCCCGTGACGCTGTCGCCCAGCTTGCCATTAGTAACGCCCTTCCCCCGTCTGAGCGTCCTTGCTATAGGTCTCTCACCACCGACCAGGCTTTCGTAGACGCTGTTATCCGGCGCTATTCCGCCCCGCCTGCTGCCTCGGTGGGTCGCCTGATCTTACCGATGCTCTTTCCTGACCTTACGTCTTTCCCCACTGTCGCTGACCTGGCTGCCCACTTGCGCACGATAGATGAGACCTGGCGCGTTGCCTGCACTGACGCACAGTTTAGAGCCCACCAGCCGCCCCTTACCCTACCCTCTACCTGCTTGCTACCCGCCTCCCTGACCGCCTAGCCGCTCCTCGTGACCGCTTCCTTAGCATTCACCTCGGTGACCTCACCCTCACAGACTTCGTAGACTCCCTGACTGTTATTGAGACCCGCCACCGCTCTATCGCTCAAGCGAGCGGTACAGTGCCGGTCCCTATCTTTCAGGGTTGTGCCCCCGCTCAGTGCACCTTCTCCGATGGTTTTGCAGCTGTGGCTGAGACCGCCGCTGCAGCGCAGTTTCGTCCGGGGAAGGGCCGCCGCCCCAAGGCTGGGCGCGGCGGTGGTGGTGGGGGTGCCAGTGGAGGTGGTGGTGGAGTCGGGTCGTCTGGTGGTGGAGTGGACGAGAGGACCCTGCCAGGTCCAGCTGAGCAGCCGCCTCAGCATTCGCAGCAGCAGCAGCAGTCGCAGCAGCCGCCGCAGACGAGGCAGGCGAGTGCCCTCCCGCCCGGGTGGCCTGGCGCTGGTGGTGGTCGTGCGCGTGGTGGTGTACCGGGTGGCGGTTCAGGAGGCGTGCGCTGTCAGTACCAGATCCAGACCGGTCCTCGCCGCGGCTTCGTTTGCGGTAAGATCGGTCACGCCAGTGCTCGCTGTTTTCGTCACCTGGATGACCTGTTTCGTCAGCGCTTCGGCCCGTTGCCCGACCTCCCAGACTGGCACAGTTTGCTTAGTCGTAGAGTCCAGATTTTTTACATGGACATGGATGCCATTGTTTCTGCTCTGCATGTGATGTATGCTGATGACTCTAGTGTGCTCCCCTCCTATTATTCCTTGTCGCCTAGAGTAGGTGTGCCTAGCTTAGCCTCCCCTGCTGCGTCAGGCGTAGGAGCTTCTGCTTTGTTTAGCCTTGGTGCTTCCGCTGTCGCCCCGCCGCCAGACGCCACTGCTTCGCTTTCCTTCACCTTGGACTCTGGCGCTTCCCTGTGATTCTTCCGTGACTCTACTACGCTGACGCCGCTTCCTGATCCTGCTGCAGTTTCTCTTGCTGACCCCTCCGGCGGTCCAGTAGTCGCTCGCAGTTCCACCACCCTCCCCTGTCCGGCGGTCCCTTCGGGCTCTCTCACAGGTCAGCATATCCCCTCGTTCTCCAGGAACCTAGTTGGTGTCGGCTGCCTCCAGGACCTTGGCGTCACCACTACGTTCCCTAGTCACGAGCGGTATGCTGTCTGTACCGAGGCCGCCACTGGTGCCCCCCTGTCCACGTTCCCCCGGGACCCGGTGTCCGGCCTGTTCACCCTGGAAACCGTGACCCCCCCGGCTGGGACGCCCCCTCAGGTGGCTGCGTCGACCCAAGTTGCTGCTGCCTGCTCCTGTCCGTCCCTCACTCACCCGACTCTCCTTTGGCACCGCCGCCTAGGTCACCCTGCGCTCCCGCGTCCGCGTCACATGTCCCAGCACGGTCTCGTCCTTGGTCTCCCTGGTTCTTTCCCGGCTTTTCCCTCCTCCCCCGCCCCACCTTGCACGCCTTGTGTCGAGGGTCGGCTTCGCCGTACCCCTCACTCCTCCTCGTTTCCCCCTACTGCTGCGCCCCTGCAGACCCTGCACCTGGACGTCTGGGGCCCCGCCCCCGTCCATGGGCCGCGTCGAGAGCGCTACTTCCTCGTGCTTGTCGACGACTTCACTCGCTACACCACAGTCTTTCCCCTGGAGCGCAAGGCCGACGTGTCTGACGCTCTCATCCCCTGGCTTGTCTCTGCCCGTGTCCACCGAGGTTTCCCTGTCATGCGTCTTCACTCCGACCGTGGTGGCGAGTTTGCCTCAGGTGTCCTTGGTCGCTTCTGTCGTGCGGAGGGCATCACCCAGACGTACACCCTGCCGGACTCGCCACAACAGAATGGGGTCGCTGAGCGACGCATCAGTTTGGTCATTGAGGTGGCTCGCACCTCCATGATCCATGCCGGTGCACCCCATTTTCTGTGGCCGTTCGCCGTGCGCTACGCTGCTCACCAGCTTAACCTGTGGCCGCACCCCCCAGCAGCCGCAGGTTTCGCCGACCCTTCTTTGGACCGGGTCTCCTGGTGACGCGTATGCGTTCCACGTTTGGGGCTGCCTTGCTCATGTTCGTGCCTCTGGCACGGACAAGCTCACTGCCCGCACCCTTCCCTGTGTCTTCCTCGGTTTCCCCCTTGACGAGTCCGACTGGCACTTCTACCACCCGCCGTCTCACCGGTTCTTTCACTCTCGTGACGTCACCTTTGACGAGTCCGTCTCCTTCTACCGTCGCTTCCCCCACAGTGGTCCCCCGGTTACTCCCCCCTTATTCCTGGTCACTCCTTCCACGGTGGTCCCTGCCCCCCCCCCTCCCCCTCCCCGTCCTGCCCCTTCTGGTGTGTCCCACGTCACCCCTCTCCCGTCGGTTGTCCCGGTCGAGGAGTCCTCTGACTCTGGTGGTCCTGCGGCGCAGTCCTCGCCGTCTGCCCCTCCCCCGGTGTCTCCTCCCCCACGGCCTCTGCAGCCGCCGTCGCCCCTGCTGTCGCAGCCGTCGTCTCCGCTGCCGTCGCCGCCGCACCCGTCGTTCCCGCCGCCGCCGCCGCCGCCGTCGCAGCAGCAGTTCATCGACCCTGGGGGTGCCCGCGTTGGGGTGGGTGCTATTTCTGGGGTTCCTATTGTGGCCTGCCCCGGTGGCCCTGGGGGTGGCACTGGTGCTCGAGGAGTTTCGGGCTTTGGGGGTGTTCCTGCTGGGGGTGCCGGAGTGGAGTGTCCCGGCGGTAGCCGAGGAGCACCTTGCGGTCCCGGTGTTGGTGTTGTGCCGCCGCAGCAGCAGTCCCCGCCGGTGTCAGCCCTTCGCCTGCTCGGCCTTCCGTCCCCTGACCCTGCGTCTGTTCCTCTCCTGCCGTCTCCTCCTCTTCCTGTCTACGGCCCTGTGTTCCCTCCGCCGGACTCGTCCCCGGCTCGCCTTCCCCCCCGCTCCCCCCTTGTGTCCCCTCCTCTGTCTCCTGACCTGACGCCTCTGTCTCACGTCTGGTCCCGCCGTCCCTCCCGCGCTCGTCCTGTCTCCCCTGTCACGCGCTCTCACCCTATGTTGCTCCGTTCCCACGCGTCTCGTCCTCCCCTTCCACCGTCGCCTCCTTCGTCCTCTCTTACCGTTGCGCCTCCTCCTCT